TCTATTGACCAATTGGTCGTGTAGCACTAGTCAGAGTACCGGGTGAATTAGACAACCTTCACGAATCACGAATTTGAACGATGTTATTAAACATAAAATTGCACATTCCAAATTTTAGATTTTTCTCTGATTTCCACGCGTGAAAACGGCTTACAACAAATTCATATACCTTAAATGCTATAGTTTTTGATCAATTAAGTTGCTCAAGGTCACCGATTTTGCTATTAAATTTGCATTAGATTTGAAATTTTTAATCTTGTGATTGGGATCCAAACTTGCGTCCAAAATTAACTGCTAAAATATTTTTAGTTTTAGACTTATGATGTTTCTTATGTTTTAAAAAAAAACTACAGGAACTTTAAATTAAATTTTATTCAAATTTTGAAATTGCTAACACTTCATTTGGGAGCTGTAAGAAAACTATCAAGGGGTGAAAATTTCTTTTCTTATTATGACTGCTCAAATCTTTTTAGTGTACAAGATAAGACGATTTTTGTAATTTTTCCAAATTTTCCGAAAAAAACTCAAATAAAAAACTTGGGTGCTATCAGTGTACTCTCAAGGATTGCGAATTTTGCCTCCAAACAGGACTGCTCAAATCATTGAAGTTTTCGAGATACGACAAGTTTTATGATTTCTTTTTAATTTTCCAGAGAACTTGAATTTCAAAAAACTCAAAAGATTTGAAATTTTTAATCTTGTGATTGGGATCCAAACTTGCGTCCAAAATTAACTGCTAAAATATTTTTAGTTTTAGACTTATGATGTTTCTTATGTTTTAAAAAAAAACTACAGGAACTTTAAATTAAATTTTATTCAAATTTTGAAATTGCTAACACTTCATTTGGGAGCTGTAAGAAAACTATCAAGGGGTGAAAATTTCTTTTCTTATTATGACTGCTCAAATCTTTTTAGTGTACAAGATAAGACGATTTTTGTAATTTTTCCAAATTTTCCGAAAAAAACTCAAATAAAAAACTTGGGTGCTATCAGTGTACTCTCAAGGATTGCGAATTTTGCCTCCAAACAGGACTGCTCAAATCATTGAAGTTTTCGAGATACGACAAGTTTTATGATTTCTTTTTAATTTTCCAGAGAACTTGAATTTCAAAAAACTCAAAAGATTTGAAATTTTTAATCTTGTGATTGGGATCCAAACTTGCGTCCAAAATTAACTGCTAAAATATTTTTAGTTTTAGACTTATGATGTTTCTTATGTTTTAAAAAAAAACTACAGGAACTTTAAATTAAATTTTATTCAAATTTTGAAATTGCTAACACTTCATTTGGGAGCTGTAAGAAAACTATCAAGGGGTGAAAATTTCTTTTCTTATTATGACTGCTCAAATCTTTTTAGTGTACAAGATAAGACGATTTTTGTAAGTTTTCCAAATTTTCCGAAAAAAACTCAAATAAAAAACTTGGGTGCTATCAGTGTACTCTCAAGGATTGCGAATTTTGCCTCCAAACAGGACTGCTCAAATCATTGAAGTTTTCGAGATACGACAAGTTTTATGATTTCTTTTTAATTTTCCAGAGAACTTGAATTTCAAAAAACTCAAAAGATTTGAAATTTTTAATCTTGTGATTGGGATCCAAACTTGCGTCCAAAATTAACTGCTAAAATATTTTTAGTTTTAGACTTATGATGTTTCTTATGTTTTAAAAAAAAACTACAGGAACTTTAAATTAAATTTTATTCAAATTTTGAAATTGCTAACACTTCATTTGGGAGCTGTAAGAAAACTATCAAGGGGTGAAAATTTCTTTTCTTATTATGACTGCTCAAATCTTTTTAGTGTACAAGATAAGACGATTTTTGTAATTTTTCCAAATTTTCCGAAAAAAACTCAAATAAAAAACTTGGGTGCTATCAGTGTACTCTCAAGGATTGCGAATTTTGCCTCCAAACAGGACTGCTCAAATCATTGAAGTTTTCGAGATACGACAAGTTTTATGATTTCTTTTTAATTTTCCAGAGAACTTGAATTTCAAAAAACTCAAAAGATTTGAAATTTTTAATCTTGTGATTGGGATCCAAACTCGCGTCCAAAATTAACTGCTAAAATATTTTTAGTTTTAGACTTATGATGTTTCTTATGTTTTAAAAAAAAACTACAGGAACTTTAAATTAAATTTTATTCAAATTTTGAAATTGCTAACACTTCATTTGGGAGCTGTAAGAAAACTATCAAGGGTTGAAAATTTCTTTTCTTATTATGACTGCTCAAATCTTTTTAGTGTACAAGATAAGACGTTTTTTGTAATTTCTTTAAAAAACTTCAGAAAACTTAAATTCAATGTTTTTTTTTCAAATTTTGAATATCTCAACTCTTTGATTGGAAGCTTCAGAAATCTTTCAGAAGTTTCAAATCTTGACTCCAAATATGACTAGTCAATTCTTTTTAGTTTTTTTTTAAGAAAAAATTTTTCAGAAAACTCAAACAAATTTTCTTTCAATTTTTATTTTCTCTTCCTTATGGGAAAAATGGGAGGCTCTAAGAAAATTTTCATTGGCTGCAAACCTTGCATTCAAGTATTGTTGCTCAAAAAACTTTGAGATTTGACATTTTTTGTAGTTTTTTCAAACGTTTTCACCACACTTAAATTATCTTCTTCAAATTTTAATTGAAATTTTCAGTCTTTTTTCTTGTAATGGGGGGCTGCATAGTACTTTGAGGGGTTGTAAATCATGCCTCCAAAACAAAAATAACTGCTAAGTTATTGTAGTTTTAGAGATATGACAGTTTTTTCAATTTTTTCAGAAGGTTTTCAGAAAACAGAAGTTTAATATAAAATTTTTTTAAACTTTTTGAAATTCTCAACGGATTTTTAAGGGGCTGTCAGAGAACTCGAGGGGCTTGCAAGTATCGCCTAGACATATGACTGCTGAAGTTTTGTAATTCTTGAGATGTGACGTTTTTTATTGTTTCTCAGTTTTTTCTCAAATTTTGTTTTGAAATTCCTAAACCTGTAGTTGGGTACTGTGAGAGTACGTACTCTCAGTAGTTGCAAATTTTGCATCCAAATACGACTGCTCAAATTCTTTTAGTTTCCAAAATGTGACGTTTTCTAAGTCGTTTTAAAACTATTCAAAGAACTTAGATGTTTAAAAAAAATCCACAAAATTCAATGGCTTTTTCAAAGTTTGAATTTGAAAAAACTAATGAAAAAAAAAACTTTTTGAAATTACGAACCATGTTATTGGGAGGGTGCTGTCAGATTACATTCAAAGGTTGCAGATCCTTTTTCATTATATTTGTTTTTTTTTAGTTCTCAAAAATTTGAAGCACTGGAGGTGTATTACACGCTACCCTCTCTTTAAATCAGTTTAAATATCTGGCAAAAAAGCTGACCTAACATTGGTGTGAGTGCAGAAAAAAAACAAATAGCTCACATAAATGGACTTATATTATTGGAATGTCTTTGCTGCAAAGAGTCAAATAGCTGACATAAAAAGCTGACATAAGCGCCCTGTCTGAGCCGGAAAATCCAAGAATTTGACATGAATTGAATGAGGTGTTAAATTATTGAAAAAGTTCAAGTAGCTGAAAAAAAATAAAAAAGTTATTGAGTTACTACGACATATATACCCCCCCCCCACACACACACGCGCGCACACACACACACACACACACAAACACACACACAAAAACACACATACACACACAACTCACACACACAAACAAACACATGACGTATCTCTGAAGATAGATTTGAGCCAGCAGCTGACATAAATTAAGTAAACTTTTTTTATCTCGCTGCGGGTCTACTCGACCTAAAACAAACCCAATGAAAAATTATAAAAACGAATCGATGACCAGTCAGTTCTATACCATTAATCAAAATCTCAGACCATAGCGTGAACATTAGCGTGAAGAGAAAACTGTTCAAATGAGCCCAGTAGTTTAGTTAGGAATCTTGTTGATTCTCTTTGCGCCTTGTTGTTAGAACAAATTTTTTCTCTCAAAGTGAAATTATCAGTCGTTGTAGCTACTCGAGAAACCCAATTTCAAACTAAATTTGAGAGTTTTGAGCAATTTTTTTAGATGATTGCGCAAAATCTTGCTTGAGCGGTTTTGCGTGGTTTTTCACAAATATTTTAGCGGTTTGTTTAAAAAAAGCCGCCCAACAAAAACCGCGGAATAATCAGTGAATTTTGAGATGTTGACTTTGAAAATAAGCCTCTGAACACCACCCATGTTTTATCTTGAAGGTTTTCAAAGGTTTGCAAAGAAAATCGGGTATATATTTTGCAAGCTTTCAAAAAAAGTTTATCCAAATTTTTAAGGACTTCTCTAAGATGTTCTGCCACTCGTGACTTTGAGCGAGATCTCAATTTTATACAGCCAATCCTGATTTCTTAATAACCGATCGAAGAGAACCGGAGTGAAAAGACTGGCGAGAAAATGATTATACTATAATAGTTCTTAGATTTATTCCTATGGTTCTTCTAATTCTATAATCCTAGAATTATTACTATAGTTCTTTTGACTCGATTCATGAACTTAATGACGCTGGCCTTCAGTCAGTCTGATAACGCTAGCGCTGATAAAAACTGTAAAGTTGTTACATGTTTTATATGGTGGTTATTACTTAAACATCCAGCCTGTGCATGTAACAAAACCGCCATATCTACGAACCGCCAATGCGAAGCAGAAATTAAATCAGAATCTGCTGTTAGGTGCAAAAGTTTTAGTTGTTACTTGGGTCCCTTAAAACTTTGATTAGTTTACGAATAATTTTTCAAACTTTCAAAAACAGGGCAAGCTTGTCAAAAAATTCGTCGGACCCATCGTTCACTATAGGTTTTTCAAGGACCAAACTATCATACTTGTACCTTTTTGTTATCATGCAAAGAAACGCTAGTTTTTAGCTTGTTCGAAGGGTGTTTTTTTTCTGCTTGTTGGCCCTTCGGCTTGTTGGCTCTTCGGTTTATTGGCCCTTCGGCTTTTTGGCTCTTCGGATTATTGGTCTTTTGGTTTGTAGGCCTACCGCCGTTCATATGCGTGCGATTCTGCAGAATGAGTATGTAATTTTCAAAGAGAACTCAAATCTCAAACTTGTGTGCAAATATCAGTTATCAAGAATTCATCTATAAATATTGCCAATATTGTATTAAAATGAATCTGGATGTTAAAATTGTGAAAGTGAGAAGCTGGGATGTTCGCTTTCCTACTTCAAAAAACGGTAAAACTCTAATTTATTTGAGATACTTTGCTCTATTTGCTCAGTTGCGTAGCTCAACCTGAAACTTTTGAGGGCAGCAATGGGTGGTTTTTGTTTCAAATTTTTCGACCTCTGTTTGTAGAAAACATCTAAAACGTCTAATTTAAGAGGTATAAATTTCTGCGCCTTTAAAAAAAAATTTTTCGACCGGGTTACATCAAGGAATGTTTTTGACTGAACACAAGTTTGCACTTGAAAAAAATTTGACTTCGGAAAAACAATTCTATATCCATTATCAAAAAAATTGATGATGGATACTATTGTGCTTCAGAGTAATTTTTTTCAGCAAAATTTCATCAAAGGGTTGCCCTGAACTAGTCGTTTTTACCTCAAATTGATTTTTTTTAAACAGATAAAGCTTTTAGAGGCTTCATCAGAAACAGTTGCTCTCGTTTCTTTTCTGTTGCTGAGCTTCTAAAAATTTTGTTTCATTGAAAAATTTCAACATGTAATTGTGTTTTGCAACTGTAAGTTTCGGGGAATAAACCTCTAAGCAAAATTTAAAACGATCTACTACGCCACTGACAATATCCTTTAGTACTGAGTTTTGAGGGGGTGTCCGAGGTTCAAAACTACTCACATTCTCAAAAAAGCTGGTTTAGTTGCAAGTAACTCTTATTTGTATTATGTTTATTGCCCCTTTTCGTGATTATCTCTCGAATGTCTCCCTTTTCACTGAGTCGCAAAAGTTTTGGTAAGGTAAGTGAACTGAGAAAGTAGTTCATCAATTTACTTGAAAAAAAAAGATCCGCGATCGTTTTTGACAGTTGGCTCTAGCAATTGATTATTCCACCGTTTCTTTTTTTTTGCTGTCTTTATTCTTAGTTGTTATCCCCAATAGACTAACTGAGAATCAAATAACTTCTTGCTTAAAAAATGCTGATTCTTGTCTACTATGAGAACCGAACACTCGAGTCAATAGCAAAAATTGTTCTGAAAAATTGAGGCCCTCCGGTATCCTCCAGTTCCTTTCCTTTTTTTTCTTCTTGTTTTAGCTGAGTCACGCCATTCTCTTTCAATCCAGGCATCCGCTTAATTCACTCCTCCGCACATAATTTATGACCACATCTATCCAACTGTCAACAGTGACTAGAGCGACCTCATTTTTTTTTTTCAATTTAGTTGCTCTTTTCTAGATAGAGGTATGCGGTAGATGTTACAATGCGAACCAATCAATTTATTCCTGACCTCCATGAATTCTTGCCCCCGATTTCAACCCAGCCTCCAAATCATGCTATGCTTACTCAGTGAGCCTCCCAAGGTCTTTGTTTTAATTATCCCGAAACTGTTTCAGTACTCCTGGGTTAAGATAAACATTTTTCATTGGTAGCTAATTAGTTTCAGGCTTCCACAAAATCCCCTGAACACTTTATTCCATTCACTATTTTTCGCCATCAGGGGAAGGTGGTTCGTCTATTAGGGGTCAAAAGAGCCCAAAAATTGACTTCGGGGAGCCCAGTGAGTTTCCCACTGAAACATATTAATTCGTAGACTTAGTTCCCATGCCGTGATCTCATTACTGCAGAATTCCTCTGGGCCTATAAATTTTTCATGTCTTATTGAATTGCTATTAAAATACCATAACTAAGCCGAGTGCAATTTTTACCAAGTCAACTTTAATTGGTTTTGAAGAAGTAGATATTTGAAAAAGCCGCAAGTCATTTTTGTGCCGCCTACGGGCACCCTTCATCCAATTTCAATCTCATTATTTGATCGCATTCCATCCCAAGTAAATACCTAGAGATACTTCACTTTCCGTAAGTTCAAGGGTTTCTACGCCCTTTGGGGTCACAACACTCAAAGGTCAACTTAAACTCACCATTGGATCACCAGTGGTCAAACTTCCTCGAACAATTTTGGGGTCTTACGGCGGTTGCATTCAACAAATTTGACCAATATCCAATTAAAACTTCTCGGGTTCTTCCACTTTAATGGTCCATCATCACTCTTCTCGGGAAATGACTATTAACACTGAAAAATGGCATCGGAGTGGTCTGGTTCACAAATGTTTTTTTTCCGTCGCTTGTGACTAGCAATTTTGCCGCTATAAAATACGCATAGTTTACTCATTATTTGTATAAGTTGCCTCTTTCCGGTCTAAGAAGGTGTTTTTTCAAATTATAATAGCTTCCGATCCAAACGTTGGAAATATGTCAAACTATAACATTTGATGTATATCATCGCTTTAAGTGTCCGCTTTCTACAATCTATTGATGTCGAGAAATAACAAAAAAAGTACAGGTGGATTTGTTTAATTAGGGCATAAAATCAGACGTGAGGGTTCGGGGGGTCTGGGAATCTAAACTTAAGCTTTACTCAACTACTAAATTTAACATAACATAATAAATTTTGGCACCGTTCCAGCAGCTAAATGCCGAGTTTTGATAGGGCCATTTACACTTCCCGAGACCATTATTACTTGGGCCAGGGGGGTCCTAGGGATCCGGACTTAGGCATGCCCGGGTGAATTAATTATGTAAAATAAAGAAGCCGAAATTACTATTACTACTAGCTAATAAGAATCGATTAAAAATGCCAATTTCTCAAAAGTAAGCCAACGTTAAAAAAATTAAAATTCGAATAGTTACTTTTTTTGGGGAAAAATACCGGAAGGATGAATGCCGTTGAAACTCATTTCAGAACAATTAACGGCATAGCAGTAAAACGTGGAAAATGACAACCTTTAGATTGCTAACTCGCAGCTGAGTCGGATGAAAGTAACCGTAAATGTTCAGAAAGGGGCCTAGAAAACTAGACGACAACAAATGAGACGAACGTTTCAAAAGGAAGTTAGGCTGATCAAAATCATTGCTGTGAAACATATTATTGTGAACAAAAAAAGGTTAAAAACCGCGATAATTTTTTGTTACATGTACAATTCGAGTTTTTTTCACATATTTTGGCAAATAGTGGCAATATTGTTCCAGTAAGCATCCAAACTGATCGTTTTGTATTTTTAGTAGCCAGCTGGCTGCTAATTTTGTAGTACTCCAGGAAAAAAAATTTAACGCCTGAGTTGAATTTGATTGGCTCGTCTTAGAGTGTTTTCACAGCTTTTTTTGGATCATTTTGGATTTCGCCCAAAACTTTTTGCCTAAAAATTTCTTCGTCATTGTATATATCTTCAGGATCGTGATTATGGTTGCCGGGATTTCGGAGAGTTTCTAAGTTCGTCGCTAAGCTTCTGCCACAATCAGAGATAACACAATAATAATGACAACCGGACCTAGTTTTTTAATCTTTCTCAAATCTAAGTCCATCATCGGTAATAAGATTTTTTCGACCTTGGTGCTTAGACGCAACAAATTTGAAATTTTGCGTTTTTGACTGCTTAATTTGCAACTTAAAATGCTCAGTCGAATGTTATTTTAGACTGTAAACAATTTTTGCACCCAGTTTCATCTTTTTTTTCAAGGGTTAAAAATATTCGTCTAATTTTCTTTTAGCTTTTCATAATAATGGTCGTCTAATTTCCTTTCAAATTGCGGCGTCTAGTTTATTTGTTTTCTAGTTTCTCAAACCCGTTTCAGAAAGCTTTAACTCTTTTCAGTGCTTTTTTTAAACAAACAATCAAATTACCTCTTTTCAATGCTTTTCTCAAGCAAACAATCAATTACTTCTTTTCGGTACTTTTCGTAACCAAACAATCAAATTACTTCTTTTCAGAGCTTTTTCTTAAATAAACAACGAAATCACCTTTTTTCAGTGCTTTTCCTGAACAAACAATCAAACTTCTTCTTTTGAGTGCTTTCCTCAAGTGAACAATCAAATTACCTCTCTTCAGTGCTTTTCTTAATCAAACAATCAAATAATCTATTTTCAGTGCTTTTGTTAACCGAACAATCAAAGTACTTTTTTTCAGTGTTTTTCTTAAACAAAAAGTCAAAAAGATACTCCTAATCATAATCGGTTTTTGGGGTGCCGGACTTCCAGCCGAATTCTAAAATTAGGGAATTCAAGCCGAATAGTTCTTTTTAAAGTCGTGAAATATGATTATATTGAAAACTTTTTTGAAGAATTTCTGAATTTCTTGATCGGCTTCTTGTCCTACACTTTTTGGGGTGCCGGACATCAAGCCGACGGGACTTCAAGCCGAATTCTAAAATTAGGGATTTCAAGCCGAATAGATCCTTATAAAGCCGTGAAGTATGATTAATTTGAAAATTTTTTTGAAGAATTTCTGAATTTCATAATCTTTCTTCACTAGTTATTGGCTTTTTCATAGAATTTAAGCCTTCAAAGATTGTTTTGGAAAGTTGAAAATGAAACACGGTTGAAAGTTATTTTCTTGTTTATAAATTATGCTTTTCAAAAAACAGCTGATGTTATTAGCGGATGCCAATCACAAATGGTGCATTGTCATGAATAACGCTTCCCGTACCTTACAAAAACTTGGAAACCAGATCTGAGCATCGTAAAATCTTGCCTATTTCAGATCTTGTCCAGACATGGTGCATGTTTCGTTTGGACATGGACATGTCTGAATCAGGACTGAGGCAGGTATGGATTCCATCACAGAAGCAGATCTGCTCAAGGTCTGATTCAGACCTGGAACATATATGGGTCAGATCTGAACAGATCTGCACCAGGTCTGACCCATGTGTGCCCCAGATCTGAATCAGGCCTTGAGCAGATCTGCTTTTGTGATAGAATCCATACCTGACTCAGTCCTGATTCAGACATGTGCATGTCCAAACGAAACATGCACCATGTCTGGACAAGATCTGATAAAGGCAAGATTTTAAGATGCTCAGATCTGGTTTCCAGGTTTTTGCTGGATAGATTTCCACTCACTAAAATTTCAAAAAGACTCCTGTGCAGATCGATTCAAGGGTCTAAAAACAGTTTTGATCAATTTTTTTTCAGAAGAAACCTACGAGACTTATCTCTTTCGATGGTGTGTTTTACTAGGAGTCATTAAGCATGGCCAAAAGTAAAAACCCTCAGATAACCTACTGTTTTTTGAATTAATTCTTGGAAAAAGGATTTACACGTCGATTTTCATTTTTAAGGCCGGTATCACTGAGAGTATAAACATGACAATGAAATGAAAATAATTTAAGTAACTTGATTGAGGATATTTTCTAATCATAATTAATATTGAAGCAGTAAAATGAAAAGGGAAGGATACTAACATACTTGATTTGAGAAGTTTCTAAACATAACCGAATCAAACGTACCTTCACAAATGATAACAATCCAACCGAAGCTCGTTCCAAAGAATGAAAACGCAAATAATCAACAGAAGCAGCTAGTATCTTCTTGAGAACAAGAAGAGGAGTCACAAATGTTCCTCAATCAGAGGAACATGGATGACAGACATGACAGCAGACAACAGCCCAGCTGTCTTTATAAATTATCTGAAAAGAATTGAAAACAAAAGAATGCAAGCTATAACTGGTCCAATCAAAAATAGTTGTATAACTGTCGAAATAAGTTGTATAACTGTCACACAAAGAAATAAGTTAATTGTCGAATGGCTAAACAATAGCCGTGAAGCTATTTCGGAATAATAGAGAGAAGATGAAAAAAAATTTTTGTTTCGCAGGTTTTTATTTTTAGCCACCCGACATTTCGTTCCAGAATTATTACAAACACATTATTCTAAAAGATCTACGTCTATAGAATTTATTTCTATACGTGCTTTTCAAAAACTGAAAACAAGGACGTGATTTTAAACGAGTTTTAGTGTTATTTGTCAAAATAACAAGTTTCAACTATAAAAACAAGACACGTGACAAAAGTTGAGAAATCATTCGAAAATTTCAAAAAAAAAATTTTTTCAGATCTGATCATGTCTGATGCAGTTCAGGACAGATATGCAGTCTCACTACAAATGGATTCACCCTGGGCATATCTGTATTTCTATTTTTTTTCTGTAACATTAAAATTTTTGTATTTTCCAGGTCTGAACATGTCTGATACAGTTCAGGACAGATATGCAATCTCACAACAAATGGATTAACCCTGGGCAGATCTGTATTTTTATTTTATTTCTGTACGGGTTATTATGGACTAAACTTGCCAAAAATTTTGAAAAGCAACGTTTTACAGATGATAAAATCGTGTTTTGAGGTGTCTGTAAAATTTTAATTTCGGCTTGAAGTCCCTTCGGCTTGAAGTCCCGTCGGCTTCTTGTCGTAGACTCGGTTTTTGAATACTAAATTTAAAAAAAAATAGCATAAATATATTAAAAATATATATTCAGCAAACGTTCACTGATAGCTCATAGAGCGAAGGACTGCTTAAAAGCTGATTTTTTTAGATTCCTTGTTCGGGTATGAGTCGGGAAGGGATCAACATATTTTGGTAATAGAATTTGTTGGAATTTAATTTCATTTTCAGCGATCAATTAGTTTATTATACAGGAAACTAGCCCAGCAAAATGGACTACAATATCATTTTTTGAAATTAAACTAACATAAAAAAAATTCTTCAAATTCTTGCGGAAAACCAAACTTCTTGCAAGTTCTCGCTGCAACCAGGTGTCATTTTCTTTCAGCTCATGGTTCTGACGCGGTGCATGGCCTCGTTGACTACTCGTGTGTCTATGTGCAGATATTCACTGACGCTCCTGATGACAGTTTGATCGGGTGTGGGTTGACCTTCACAATAGGTATTTACCATAAATAGGTATTTACCATAAACAATTGCCATAAAAGGGAGCAACACATTTTTGGTCTTGTCTGTTCTTCTCATGTAGGTCGGGGAAATGAGGTGGTCAAAAAGTGTGTGGATAGTCTCAAGAGTAGAATTATGGGCGTGAACTTATCCGAAGTAGTGCGTGAATTTGGACAATTTGCGCACAGTTTAGCCAACGACAACCAGATGCGCTGGCTCGGACCAGATGGCGGAGTGTTGTCACTGGCTTGCTGTGCTATCCTGAATGCCATTTGGGACCTGTGGGCTAAAATTGAGCAGAAGCCAATTTGGAGACTACTTTGTGACATGAACTCAAAGGTTATGACCTAGTTTAAGCGTTCTCGCATCCAAGTTTAGGCGAGAATAATCAATTATAACGGATTATTATGATGATTTTTCGACAATTATAATTGATTATAATTACCAAAATTAGGTGTTTAAAGGATTTATAATTGATTATAATCGTGATATTTTCCAAGAGATTATAATCTCTTATAATTGATTATAATTGATTATAGTTCTTACAAAAAAACCTTAGAATCAATTATAATCGGATTACGAAACTAAGTCAGTTCCAATTGGAACTGACTTAGTTTCAGTCAATAAGCAAAACAGTTTTCGATTTCAATGGTGTGACTGGTTGGCAAAAATGGGAGGCTAGGTAGAATTTCTAATTATTTCCTTATCGTGGGAGGGGGATTCGTTACTTGTGTCAGGGGCTACAATATGTTCAGTTGTCAATCATCCTAGTTGTCAATCATCCTAGTTGCTATTCTTTATTTCTCATTCTTTAATTAAGTGTGAGTTTGGTACCTGCCTGTCAATCAACTAAAAGCTGTCTAGCTGTTATGTGTTGACCTCTAGTTCACTCTCTTATTTATGCGAACTAGAATACAGTCAATTGAGTATTTAACAGCCATCTTTTTACAAACCCTTGTTATGGCGCAGCCAGTGGATGGTGGGGGGAAAAACCCCCTTGGAATTGTGGCCTTCTGGCCTCCAACTCAGGCGGAACCGCAACTTTTATGGGAACACTGGAAACAACGATTTCATTGGGCGATGGTGGCGAAACATGGACTAGTCTCGTCCGACTACTACTTTGCATCGACATTAACTGAAGCACAGATCGCAGACCTGGGTGACATTGGTGGAAGACCACGGGCAGAAGGTGAACGTACATTGATATCGAATCTGTATTTATGCCTGGGACATGAGGGACAGAGAGCCTTGCATAACCAGCATCCACATTTAGATATGGAAACAATACGATACCCACGTTTTTTGGATATCTGTGTAGCTCTTTTTCAGAAAGAGCGGAACGAAACGTACGAGAGGTACCAAATGTTGTCGAGGAAACAAAAGGAGGGTGAGAGTCTAGAATCGTTCTATGCAGAACTTAGCGGAATGGCGGCAAGATGCAATTTGGGCACCCAGGAGCGGAAAATGGTGAGAGACATATTTATTTTCAACATGAGGAACAGGGACGCACAGAACGAGCTGTGTCGGGAAACTAAAACCCCGGAAGAAGCATTGCGAATCGCAATGTCATATGAAAGAGGAGACAAGTACGCAAGGAGCTACAAGGGCGCCGTATCCGGTTCCACGGGAATGGCGCATCCATCGCCAGGGGGTTCCCTACATATCAAAATGGAACCAGTCAGCAATATTCGCGGATCCAGGGGACGAGGAATGCCAAGGGGACGGGGTCAATATCCAAATCGTGGAGGAGGTCGAACACACGATCGAATGCAAGAGCGCAGATGTTACAACTGCGATCAACCGAACTTCACCCCAGAACACCGACAACGATGCCCAGCAAGAGCCGTCACATGCAATTTCTGCAAAAAGATTGGGCACTTTGAGAGGACTTGCCGGGGAAAACGACAATCCAGGGGGGGACAACCGGTTGGATTGATCCAAGCGGATGAGCTCTTCGACGAGGAAGATACCCCCTCGGATGACGTGGAGCCCCAAGCTGCGGCAAATTCAGTAGGTTTCGTTAAACGAGAACACCACAGCTGGTCATCAGAAAGTTCAGACGATTACATGGTGATGGCAATTCGACGGAAGAAGGAAACGGTGTTGAAAGTTGCTGGGCCTAAACTCAAAATATTCATTAATGGGCACCCGATGAACATTTGGATCGACAGTGGATCGCCGATATCCATTCTAACACTAGAAGATTTGAGAAGAACAGTGGGAAGAGCGGGAATCAACTTGAAGCAGGATAGCACTGACGATGACGAATTTCGCGACTACAGTAACAATCGGATCAAGATGTTGGGCAGAATGGAACTCGAGTTAGCATCAAACGGCTGGAAGACGACAGCAGAAGTCCGAGTCATTGGGGGGACCAGACCATCCATCGTGGGACGTGATTTGATGGGTAAACTTGGACTCCAGTTGATGCAAGCAGATCCAAGGGGGGAGTCATGAATATCCAGGGGGCGGAGGAAAATTCATGCAAGGAGAGGCACGATGAACCAGAGGATGAACAGATGGATCAATGGCAATCATACTTCAGTAAGCTATTCCCAAAACTTTTTACTAGAGTTGGAAAAATTAGGAACTACAAAGTTCAAGCAGAATTTTTCAAAAATCTTGTACCAGTGCAGCAGAAGGGACGGAGAGTGCCGGTAACGCTCCAAGAAAAAGTGGACAAAGAAATTGATAAGCTATTAACCCAGGGACATATAGAAAAATTGAAAGAGTGTTTGGATCGATATTTTGTTTCTCCGATCGTCATCACCGTGAAAAAAGACGGGTCCGTAAAATTAGCATTGGAATCACGAGAGCTTAATAAACAAGTGCATAAAAACAAATACCAGATGCCAAATATAGAAGAACTTGTAGATACAATAGGACAACTCATATCCGAGAAAAAACAAGGGTAGGTGTACTTTACTACGATGGACCTCACGTACTTGTATGGGCAACTACCGCTTAGTGAAGAAACAAGCGTGCATTGTAATTTTTCTTTGGTGGGCGGACGATCGACAGGAACTTACCGTTTCCGAACAGGGTTTTACGGGTTAACGTCAATGCCGGCAGAGCTCCAGCGAGTAATGGACTCAATTTTAAACGAATTCCCACAAGCGAACGCGTTTATTGATGATATTTTGGTTACAACCAAGGGAACGGAAGTAGAACATATCTCCTTGGTTGAAAAGATCCTCCGGAAACTAAACCATGAAAACATATCCTTGAAGTTACCAAAATGCGAGTTTGCGAAACGCGAATGCGAGTGGCTTGGCCATCGTATAACCGAAACGGGGGTTACGCCCCTTAAACGAAAAACATCGCCGATAGACGCACTAAAAGCTCCTAAAACAGTCACGCAATTAAAGTCATTTATGGGCTCAATCCACAGCTTACATAAATATTTACCGGCGATAGCGGAGATGTCAGCTCCATTAAGGCCACTCCTCAGCAAGAAAAACGAATATAATTGGACCGCGGAATGTGAAAATGCTTTCCAAAACATTAAAATGGGGGTAGCGAACATAGTTGAATTAAAACACTTTGATATTCATAAGGACATTAGAGTTGTTTGCGATGCAAGTCACAATGGCCTTGGAGCGGTTTTAGAGCAATTGGGTACAGAAGGGTGGCGCCCTATATCTTTTGCATCACGATTCTTGAACGCAGCCGAGAAAAAATATTCCACTAACGAGTTTGAAATGCTGGCGGTGGTATGGGGGGCCAAGTATTTCAGAAATTACATCCTAGGAAGATCATTTACAGTCATTACCGATCATAAGGCTTTAATTTCATTACTTAACGGGAATAACAAGAAAAACAAAACACTTTTTTCAAGACTGACACGTTGGCTGGACAGGCTGATTCCTTTTGACTTTGTAATAGAACACAAACCGGGCGCCAAGATTGGATTGGCAGATTATTTGTCAAGGCATCCTAGCGAACCCCCTAAACCGATAAGTCAATATGATAATTTGTTCACCGTGGCAAAAATCGCTTCGATTAGAAAATCCCTTGGTTTTACAAATGAATTAAAACCCCTTGGTAAACGAAACTATCAGAATATTGGAGAAACTGGTTCTAAACAGTCTAGACGGTTTTCATCCAATCACAAGCGAGAACGAATAACATGCATACAACCAGCGACGGTTGAGGGCGGAAAGTCATGCGTGAAGACAACGACCAATAGGAAACGATCAATTTGCATAACGCTTAAATCAAAGAAATCCAAGGGATATTCAGTGTGCTCTATATATCGTTCCCTTGGAAGACGGTTAAACTTGCCTACATCGACACACTCAAACAAAATGGATAGCGACTCTAATTGTTCTTTCCCAGTATTTGAAATTGAAAATGTTGAAAATGAAACAATTGATTCCCAAACTAACAATCCGAATATACTACAACCTCAGATCAACTCTCCGCTTAAATTAGATGAAAATTTATTGAGTAGCGATGAAATAACTGTCATTAACCCTGAAATTGTTGCAATTACTAAAAACACACGGGATTCAAAAATTAATACAGTACTTTCAATACCTTCGAAATTTCCAGGCGAGCTTTTTCCTACTGTTAACCCGAATCAGCAAATTATGTCCATCATTCCCCGTGATTGCAAGGTTATCAAGAAGTCCCAATCGTTACCAGAACTTTTTAATTTAGAATTTGTTGCCTCGAACATACCGGCGGATGTGAACTTAGTACGAGTAAAAGAAGCATTGGAGAAGAAGACTAACTTGAAAGAAGAACTCCTGAAGATTGGGAAGTACTGGGCTCAATACGCTAACGATCTGTCGTTACGGGACGATTGTGTGTGGTTGGATGGACGGTTGGTCATCCCTTTACCTTTACAAGTCCCAGTGGAATCGCGGATACACTATTACCATCACGGTAAAAGAAATATGTTCGAAGCAGCGCGTGACGTCTGGTATCCTTACATGTACCGCAGTTTGGCAGCAAAGGCCACGTACTGTCAGCAATGCACGGAAGCGGGTAAGAATCTAAAATCGTTATTACCCAAGGGAGACATGGGTAAGGTCCCAGAACCAAGGGAACCCAATGAATGTCTACAGTTGGATTTCTGGGGGCCGATAAATTACTTGAATGAAAGTAAGAAATATGTTTTGGTTGCTACGGACCGATTCTCAAGGTGGCCGTCAGCAATGGTTACTACCACTAATACGTCAGATAAGGTCTTAAAATTCCTTGATAAGTACATATCGCATCATGGAGTACCTCGGAAGATCCACGTTGATCAGGGATCATGTTTTACATCTAATAAATTTAAAAGCTTTTGTAACGAAGAAGGCATCGAGCTAATGTACTCCCCAGTGAATGATCATCGAGGCACGGGGTCCGTTGAACGGACAATAGGAAGTTTGAAGAATTTTGTCCTAACATATGCGGCAGAAAAAGAACATAAGTCTCTAGAATCTATGGTCGATAAAGCGCTAGGCGCCCTACGATTCTCCAAAAATGCAACTACTAAATTAACACCTTTCGAAGCTCACCACGGCAGGGAGGCCAATACCGTTTTACGAAACCTTACGAAAAAACCAAGTTTGAAAAATTTGAATTGGAAGAACGTCTTAAAACAAAAATGTTTGTGTTTAGACGAAACTGATCCTGAGATGAGTCAAGTTGCATTCCCCCAGCATTCGAGTTGGGAGGAGAGGTCTGACCTTACATACGCTCCAGCTTTGCGAAGGGCCCCTATCACGCTGGATAGTGACCAACAAATGGACGCATGTCCAAGGGAGGTATCGGAAGTTGCCCCACAAATCCAAGGGGTGGAGACACTGGCCCTAACATCCAGGGGAGTGGAAGAGGACGCAACCTATACCAGCGTACTATCAGCAAGACCCTAAATCGGTATAAATTACTAAAATCCAATGTAATCTCTGAATCCGAACATACTTTAAAACTTAAAAACGGATCCGTTCTTAGGAAAAGTGCAGTGGCATCAAAACCGAAACCTGACCTTTCCAAGAAACGGAAGCCGGCTACGCTCAAGGATATGCTAGCGAGCGCAAAGAAAGGGGCAGTCGTGAGCCCGAAATCAAAAAGAGCTAAGACCACGCAGACGGTACTAGTAGCCACCTTCGAGTCCGACAGTTCGGATACTGAAGACTATCAGCCATTAAACATTCCGGTACGACTACCGGTAGAAATGCTAGCGAGACGCGAAGCAATTGCGGCGGGACAAGGCCCAAGCGGCAGAACGACGGTAGTGGAAGGAGGAACGGGAGCTAAAGCCAAACCCAGAGTGACAAGAGCTAAGCGAGGAAAAGGGGGCCAAAGAAAACAAGTGAAGGAAAGCCAGGAACGTCCAGCGTTAGTGGCGCGAGAGTGCATTGTAAATAGCAGTCAAGAAGAAGACTTGGAATCAGGCAGTCAAAGCGAAAGCTCGGGAACCAGACGGAGTACTAGAAGGAGAAAGCCAGTAGACAAAATGGGAGGGGTTATGATCGAAACTATCCAGGGGGCGGAACAAACAGGAAAACATCCAGGGGGAGAAGGAAAATGAATCTTATTCTACATCTATTCAAAAACTCGTTAACCCAGGGAGAGGGATGGCCATAAGCCTAAAACTCAAGTTTGTTAAAACTCAAGTTTTTGTTGTATTATAGTTGAGGCGGCAGGTTGAAGGTGTAGTTATTATATTCAAATTTAAATTACTATGTATTTAAATTTTACATCCATACGGAAATGTCAGGGGCTACAATATGTTCAGTTGTCAATCATCCTAGTTGTCAATCATCCTAGTTGCTATTCTTTATTTCTCATACTTTAATTAAGTGTGAGTTTGGTACCTGCCTGTCAATCAACTAAAAGCTGTCTAGCTGTTATGTGTTGACCTCTAGTTCACTCTCTTATTTATGCGAACTAGAATACAGTCAATTGAGTATTTAACAGCCATCTTTTTACAAACCCTTGTTACTTGGTACTAGGTACAAAAAGCTTATTAGAATCATAGAAAATCTTTTTTTTGCTGATCTTTTTTAGCCCAATTTTGTTCGCCAAATTTGTGTTTTTTTTTAAAGAGGCCCAATTAAAATTCGGAGTCGTGAAATTGAGTCGTCCTTGATAATGCAAAGAGAAATATTCGAGTTTCAGGATTTGATCAATTGTGGTATTTGGAAACACTTGGCGGACGAACTGAGTCCACAAGAGGCGTTGGACATGTTAACTTCTGTTGAGTCAGCAGATGATATCAAAAGAAGAATAGATCACGTGACTAATCACGGAGTGGCAGCCTATACAACTGCATGCGGGTGGTTGGGCTATACAGATGATTATATGAAGGACAAAATTCAGGTATAATTGATGACAACAACTGATTTTTTAATAATTATAATTCTGAACTTGCCAACATAATTCAGTTTTTACTCAACACGACAAATTTCAGCTTCAAATGCAAAGCTCAAAAACGGAAATTGCTTGTTTTGTTCACTATTTCTTTCCAAATGGTTAAACTTGAAATGGTTATTTTGAAAGCTTTAGGCGAAAGTTCTCAAATGGTTGAAAATTGTTAACATGTTGATGGCTTCCTGTAAAACCATCTGCATGCGATCCCCAAATTAATCAGTGAATAACCTAATGAGCTGTGATGTTGTTTAAGAATTTCATGAGTGAAGGATGGACGGCATTCAAAATAAAAGTGGGGGTCAACTTGCAGGACGACATCAGACGTTGCAAAGTGAGTTTCAAATTTCATTACACTCGATTTGCAATAGCGGATGATCAAAGTTCTGATTGCAAAAAAACTTTTTAAAAAAGTTGGATTAAATTTCATGTTGTTTTTGCTATTTTTTCGAAGTGAAATGACGAACAAGCAGATTGTAAAGTGCTTTTAAAGTAGGTCAATGTACCATTAATATCTTGAAACAATATCCACAATCTTCCCGAAATTTGAGTCCGAATAGCAAAAACGCTATTTTTTTTGTTCTGGGACATTTTTTTCGGAATGCGAATCACGACAAACAGGAACTTAATATGTTACCTCACTTGACGCCTCACGAGCTTTCCTCGGAGTACTTAAAATGAGGTCGTGAAAAACTACCCTCACGCCAAAGTTACTTCCAGCCACTTCCCTCCAAAGATTGAAAACTTCAAAATTAGTCGAAATTGTCGAAACTGGAGGTACCATTTAAAAAATTCAGCTATAGTGCCAATCATGCCCTCGAAACAGTATGTGCTTCTCGGAAATCAGCTAGTCAGTAAATGGAATCTTTTTTAAATTTTGGCATCTACCAATCACAGAAGATTTAGCAAACGTTGTTTAACCTGTGAAGAATACAATGCTGTTATAAAATTTTCCGGACAAAAGGTATCATACTTGAAAAATACAGCGCTTTATTTTCGAATTGGATTGCCTTTAAAAATTAGACAAAAAATTAAGAGACAAAAATTAAGAGAAAAAACTTGCTAGAAATTATAGCCGAATTGATATGGTGCATATGATTTTGAGAGATTCCAAGTTTACCCCCAAAAACTATCATCAACTATTTGACCAACTGCTGACTACATGAAAATGAGCTTCTTATCTAAGCTATCAAAGTTTATGAAAACGGTTTTTCAATAAAAGATTGGTATTTTAAAGATTAGAAAAGAACTTTTTGGCTTTGTCGGTTACACGAAAAGCTCACTTTCACATGCAGTCTTTGGTAAATTTTGGGCCCGGATTTCGCAAAATACATTGCATCATATTAATTCTGCTAAATTTCCAGGCAAATTTTCATATGAACTCTTTCTTTAATTCCAACCCAATTTGACAAAAACGCTACGTAATTTTTAATTTAATCTGTTTTGTCCGGATAATTTAAATCAACACTGTAGACTCTTTTGCATCATTTCTCCACATTCCAGTCAAAGCTATGCTCTTGAACACAGCTTTTTTGCTACCGAAAGCTATTTTTGTGGCTACAGCTGTAGCGCAATACAATTATTGCAGCCCAAATCAGTCAAACTGCGGTAGGATTCAATCTAGAAATAAAGAGAGCTCAACCTCACACACCATCGTTGCCACGACAAGGGAGCCAATACACCATAAGGCAATCTGAATATGAACGCTTTAAAAGTAACCTAATTAGTTCAGTCTAAACTGAAGGTACCATTTAAAAATTTCAGCTAATAGTGCCAATCATGCCCTCGTCGAAGCAGTATGTGCTTCTTGGAAATCAGCTAGTCAGTAAATGGATTCTTTTTTAAATTTTGGCATCTACCAATCACAGAATGTTTAGCAAACGTTGTTTAACCTGTGAAGAATACAATGCTGTTATAAAATTGTCCGGACAAAAGGTATCAAACTTGAAAAATACAGCGCTTTATTCTCGAGTTGGATTACTTTTAGACAAAAAATTAAGAGAAAAAATTTGCTAGAAATTATAGCCGAATTGATATGGTGCACATGATTTTGAGAGATTCCAAGTTTACCCCAAAAACTATCATCAACTATTTGACCAACTGCTGACTACATGAAAATGAGCTTCTTATCTAACCTAACAAAGTTTATGAAAACGGTTGTTCAATAAAAGATTGGTTTTTAAAGATTAGAAAAGAACTTTTTGGTTTTGTCGGTTACACGAAAAGCTCACTTTCACATGCAGTCTTTGGTAAATTTTGGGCCCGGATTTCGCAAAATACATTGCATCATATTAATTCTGCTAAATTTCAAGGCAAACTTTTATGTGAACTTTTTTTTTAATTCCAACCCAATTTGACAAAAACGCTACGTAATTTTTACATTTAATTCGTTTTGTCCGGATAATTTAAATCAACACTGTAGATTCTTTTGCATCATTTCTCCACATTCCAGTCAGAGCTGTGCTCTTGAACACAGCTTTTTTGCTACCGAAAGCTATTTTTGTGGCTACAGCTGTAGCGCAATACAATTATTGCAGCCCAAATCAGTCAAACTGCGGTAGGATTCAATCTAGAAATAAAGAGAGCTCAACCTAACACACCATCGTTGCCACGACAAGGGAGCCAATACACCATAAGGCCAACTGAATATGAACGCTTGAAAACTAACCTAATTAGTTCTCAATCTATACTGTATTTCAATGCGTGCGACACGTACTTGGCCATGTTTAAGCGTTTTTGCAACATTAAGGGGCATAACGTATCTATGTGTGACTAGGCCATACCGTATATTGCAATGCTTAAAATTTTTTTTGATTTTACAGTTTATCAATGCTGTGCCTTTTGAAAGGCCAAAAGAAAGCCATAGTTTATGATGTCACTACGGGACTGGAGGAGGGGTGCGTAGTTTAGGGAAGTGTAAAGGTTTGATTCAGCCATCTATACATTATGTATGAACGTTTTTTGTTTCAGGGTAATCTCAATAAATTTCAAAGCAGCAACCCTGTTCTCCCTGGGGTTCCGAAGTTGACCCCCATATCTGAGTTCCCATTTGTTTCTGAAGCTTTTGGATATGACAATTTTTGTAATTTTAGTTCAAAAATTCTCAGTAAGATTAGATTTCAAAAATTCTAAAAATTTGAAAACCCAACTCTAGAGGTGGCGCTGTCAGAGTATGTCAATAGTTGCAGAATTTTACTCTAAATTGGCATGCTCAATTTTGTTTAGTTTTCGAGATCTAATTTTTTTCAAAGTTTTTTTGAAATTTTAAAAACCTACATTTAAGAACATTTGACAAAAATTCAATTTCAAAACCCCATAGTTGGGAGCTATCAGGGTACTCTCAGGGGATGCATGTCTTACCTCCATAAGTGACTGCTCAACGTCTTACTTTCGAAAAGCTTAGATTTGAATTTCTTATTTTAATTTTTTTAAATTTTCAGATCCACGTAGCCATCTATCCATATTTGTTTGCACCATCTATCCAAACGGCAATCCATTAAGCCATAAACTCATTCATCAAGCTTCTGATTTGTCAAGCAATCCATCCAACCAGCCATCAAGCCAATCATTCATTAGTCGGTCTATCTCTGTAGCCATCAAGCCTTTCATCAATCTACTCATTCATCAAATCATTATTAAGCGATCCATCCATCTAGCCATCAATTTATCCAAGTGGCCATCAATCAAAGCATTCATTCGTCAACTCAAGACATCGTTCAAGCAATTCATTTTTTCAGCCAATCATCCAGTCAACCAGCAATCTAGCCATTCACTCGTTCTTATATCCTCCCATTCATGCATCCATCAACCTCTACATCTTTTTAGCCCCTCTCAATATTCCCATGCATGCACACAACCAGGCTTTCATCCACAAATTAAGCCACCATACATCTACTCATCGGTTGATGAATCGAACCAGCCATCCATTCATCTTGCCACCCGTCCATCCAAATAGCAATTCATTCTTGTAGCTATGCATTGATATAGCCACCCATCCATCTTTCCAGTCAACCAGCCTTCCGTCTACCAATTTAGCGCTTCATCATCCCTGCTATCTTTTCATCCACCCATCTAAGCCGACCATCAATCATACTGCAGTCCATCCACACATTCGCCAGTTCTCCATTCAGTCATTCATCATCGATCTAGCCGTCCATTCATCTAGATTTCAATCCGTCCCGCATCCATCCATCTAGATAATCATACATCTCATCAGTTATCCATGCAGCTGCTCATCGTCGAACTAACCATCCATTCAAACTGACATCACTTTATCCATCCAACAAGTTATTCATCCAATCAGCCGCCATCATCCCATCAAGCCATTCATTCTTCAAGCGATCCACCCTTCTAGCTTTTTATCCATTTAGCCATCAATCCTTCCAAACAGACATCCATCCATCCAAAAAGCCATCCATGCAGCTGGCTCTCCATCCATTCAGCCGTCCATCATCCCATCATCCATCTATCGTGCCTTCCATCCATCTAGTCAACCAGCCTTCCGTCTATCATCATAGCCCGCCGTCAATCCTGCCATCTATTCATCCATCCAACGATCCACCAATCTCAGCCATCCATCAATCATCCGACCGCCTAGCCACACACTCACACAGTCCTCCATCAAGCCGTTTATCATCGATCTAGCCATCCACACTTGTTGATATCCATTCAACCAAGCATGACCTCAGTCATCCATCAATGCAGCTGTTCATCGTCGATCTAGCCATCTCGCCATCCATCCATTGATCCAACGGGCCATCCATCCAACCATCAAACCATTCAGTCTTCAAGCGATCCATTAATTTAGTTATCCATCCATCTAATCGTCAATCCATCCATTAATCCATCCATTTAACACGCTATTTGTGCACCTGGCTATCCATCCATTCAGCTGTCTCTCAATCCCGCCATCCATCCATACCGCCATCTATTCTGCCGTCTCTACATCCAACCAGTCGTTTTTCACTGCAGCCATCACTCAAGCAGTCCATTACTCCGACCATCTAGCCATCTATGCGTCCATCGAGCTATCCATCCTGTCTTCAATCTTTTATTTTATCCATCCAACCAATCTTTCTAACATCCATTGATCCGTCCAGCTATCCTTCCCACCAGCTAAACAGTTTATTTTTCTCTTAAAGATGAACGTTTTAATTTTTCATGCAGCTTTAGCTGCAGGGTGCTTTCTAGTTTAATTTAATATTTCTTCTTATGTTTTCAGATGGTTCTTTTTTTTCAGATGGTTTTTTTTTTCAGATGGTTCGCGAGCTGATCGGGTCGGGAGGTAAGTTGATGGTGGACTGTAACCAAAAGTGGGAAGTTGATGCAGCAGTTAAATGGGTCAGGGAACTCTCCCCTTCTGACATCTACTGGATAGAAGAGCCCACACATCCAGATGATATAATTGGTTAGTTTTGTTGATAACAATATCCACAATCTTCCCGAAATTTGAGTCCGAATAGCAAAAACGCTATTTTTTTGTTTGTTCTGGGACATTTTTTTTGGAATGCGAATCACGACAAACAGGAACTTAATATGTTACCTCACTTGACGCCTCACGAGCTTTCCTCGGAGTACTTAAAATGAGGTCGTGAAAAACTACCCTCACGCCAAAGTTACTTCCAGCCACTTCCCTCCAAAGATTGAAAACTTCAAAATTAGCCGAAATTGTCGAAACTGGAGGTACCATTTAAAAAATTCAGCTATAGTGCCAATCATGCCCTCGAAACAGTATGTGCTTCTTGGAAATCAGCTAGTCAGTAAATGGTTTCTTTTTTAAATTTTGGCATCTACCAATCACAGAATGTTTAGCAAACGTTGTTTAACCTGTGAAGAATACAATGCTGTTATAAAATTGTCCGGACAAAAGGTATCAAACTTGAAAAATACAGCGCTTTATTCTCGAGTTGGATTACTTTTAGACAAAAAATTAAGAGAAAAAATTTGCTAGAAATTATAGCCGAATTGATATGGTGCACATGATTTTGAGAGATTCCAAGTTTACCCCAAAAACTATCATCAACTATTTGACCAACTGCTGACTACATGAAAATGAGCTTCTTATCTAACCTAACAAAGTTTATGAAAACGGTTGTTCAATAAAAGATTGGTTTTTAAAGATTAGAAAAGAACTTTTTGGTTTTGTCGGTTACACGAAAAGTTCACTTTCACATGCAGTCTTTGGTAAATTTTGGGCCCGGATTTCGCAAAATACATTGCATCATATTAATTCTGCTAAATTTCAAGGCAAACTTTTATGTGAACTTTTTTTTTAATTCCAACCCAATTTGACAAAAACGCTACGTAATTTTTACATTTAATTCGTTTTGTCCGGATAATTTAAATCAACACTGTAGATTCTTTTGCATCATTTCTCCACATTCCAGTCAGAGCTGTGCTCTTGAACACAGCTTTTTTGCTACCGAAAGCTATTTTTGTGGCTACAGCTGTAGCGCAATACAATTATTGCAGCACAAATCAGTCAAACTGCGGTAGGATTCAATCTAGAAATAAAGAGAGCTCAACCTAACACACCATCGTTGCCACGACAAGGGAGCCAATACACCATAAGGCCAACTGAATATGAACGCTTTAAAACTAACCTAATTAGTTCTCAATCTATACTGTATTTCAATGCGTGCGACACGTACTTGGCCATGTTTAAGCGTTTTTGCAACATTAAGGGGCATAACGTATCTATGTGTGACTAGGCCATACCGTATATTGCAATGCTTAAATTTTTTTTGATTTTACAGTTTATCAATGCTGTGCCTTTTGAAAGGCCAAAAGAAAGCCATAGTTTATGATGTCACTACGGGACTGGAGGAGGGGTGCGCAGTTTAGGGAAGTGTAAAGGTTTGATTCAGCCATCTATACATTATGTTATGAACGTTTTTTTTTCAGGGTAATCTCAATAAATTTCAAAGCAGCAACCCTGTTCTCCCTGGGGTTGCGAAGTTGACCCCCATATCTGAGTTCCCATTTGTTTCTGAAGCTTTTGGATATGACAATTTTTGTAATTTTAGTTCAAAAATTCTCAGTAAGATTAGATTTCAAAAATTCTGAAAATTTGAAAACCCAACTCTAGAGGTGGCGCTGTCAGAGTACTGTCGATAGTTGCAGAATTTTACTCTAAATTGGCATGCTCAATTTTGTTTAGTTTTGGAGATCTAATTTTTTTCAAAGTTTTTTTGAAATTTTAAAAACCTACATTTAAGAACATTTGACAAAAATTCAATTTCAAAACCCCATAGTTGGGAGCTATCAGGGTACTCTCAGGGGATGCATGTCTTACCTCCATAAGTGACTGCTCAACGTCTTACTTTCGAAAAGCTTAGATTTGAATTTCTTATTTTAATTTTTTTAAATTTTCAGATCCACGTAGCCATCTATCCATATTTGTTTGCACCATCTATCCAAACGGCAATCCATTAAGCCATAAACTCATTCATCAAGCTTTTGATTTGTCAAGCAATCCATCCAACCAGCCATCAAGCCAATCATTCATTAGTCGGTCTATCTCTGTAGCCATCAAGCCTTTCATCAATCTACTCATTCATCAAATCATTATTAAGCGATCCATCCATCTAGCCATCAATTTATCCAAGTGGCCATCAATCAAAGCATTCATTCGTCAACTCAAGACATCGTTCAAGCAATTCATTACTTCAGCCAATCATCCAGTCAACCAGCAATCTAGCCATTCACTCGTTCTTATATCCTCCCATTCATGCATCCATCAACCTCTACATCTTTTTAGCCCCTCTCAATATTCCCATGCATGCACACAACCAGGCTTTCATCCACAAATTAAGCCACCATACATCTACTCATCGGTTGATGAATCGAACCAGCCATCCATTCATCTTGCCACCCGTCCATCCAAATAGCAATTCATTCTTGTAGCTATGCATTGATATAGCCACCCATCCATCTTTCCAGTCAACCAGCCTTCCGTCTACCAATTTAGCGCTTCATCATCCCTGCTATCTTTTCATCCACCCATCTAAGCCGACCATCAATCATACTGCAGTCCATCCACACATTCGCCAGTTCTCCATTCAGTCATTCATCATCGATCTAGCCGTCCATTCATCTAGATTTCAATCCGTCCCGCATCCATCCATCTAGATAATCATACATCTCATCAGTTATCCATGCAGCTGCTCATCGTCGAACTAACCATCCATTCAAACTGACATCACTTTATCCATCCAACAAGTTATTCATCCAATCAGCCGCCATCATCCCATCAAGCCATTCATTCTTCAAGCGATCCACCCTTCTAGCTTTTTATCCATTTAGCCATCAATCCTTCCAAACAGACATCCATCCATCCAAAAAGCCATCCATGCAGCTGGCTCTCCATCCATTCAGCCGTCCATCATCCCATCATCCATCTATCGTGCCTTCCATCCATCTAGTCAACCAGCCTTCCGTCTATCATCATAGCCCGCCGTCAATCCTGCCATCTATTCATCCATCCAACGATCCACCAATCTCAGCCATCCATCAATCATCCGACCGCCTAGCCACACACTCACACAGTCCTCCATCAAGCCGTTTATCATCGATCTAGCCATCCACACTTGTTGATATCCATTCAACCAAGCATGACCTCAGTCATCCATCAATGCAGCTGTTCATCGTCGATCTAGCCATCTCGCCATCCATCCATTGATCCAACGGGCCATCCATCCAACCATCAAACCATTCAGTCTTCAAGCGATCCATTAATTTAGTTATCCATCCATCTAATCGTCAATCCATCCATTAATCCATCCATTTAACACGCTATTTGTGCACCTGGCTATCCATCCATTCAGCTGTCTCTCAATCCCGCCATCCATCCATACCGCCATCTATTCTGCCGTCTCTACATCCAACCAGTCGTTTTTCACTGCAGCCAACACTCAAGCAGTCCATTACTCCGACCATCTAGCCATCTATGCGTCCATCGAGCTATCCATCCTGTCTTCAATCTTTTATTTTATCCATCCAACCAATCTTTCTAACATCCATTGATCCGTCCAGCTATCCTTCCCACCAGCTAAACAGTTTATTTTTCTCTTAAAGATGAACGTTTTAATTTTTCATGCAGCTTTAGCTGCAGGGTGCTTTCTAGTTTAATTTAATATTTCTTCTTATGTTTTTTTTTTCAGATGGTTCGCGAGCTGATCGGGTCGGGAGGTAAGTTGATGGTGGACTGTAACCAAAAGTGGGAAGTTGATGAAGCAGTTAAATGGGTCAGGGAACTCTCCCCTTCTGACATCTACTGGATAGAAGAGCCCACACATCCAGATGATATAATTGGTTAGTTTTGTTGATAAAAACAAACCTAAAATCAATTAACCTGTAATAATTAATATATATACAATTATTTTAATTTGCACGAGGTCAAAATGAATAAGTTAAGGGAACGGTGGGGGGGGGGGTGGTTCTATGAATAACATTGCAAAGGGGTGAGTGTGCAGTGTTCTTTTATCCAGGTCACCAGAAGATCAAAAGTGAAGTGAACAAATTGGGAGTGCGGGTGGCCACAGGGGAGGTGTGCAAGAACAGAGTGCTGTTCAAACAGATGTGCAGTCAGGGAGCACTGGACATCTGCCAGATAGACTGTGCCAGAGTGCTGTCCATTAACGAACTCATACCCATTCTCCTACTCTGCAGAAAATACAACATCACTGGTAGACTAAACTACTAATTAACTAATTAACTAGTGTGTAATAAGTTAAGTGTATAATAGGTAGACTATAGTGTATAATAGGTAGTGTATAATAGGTAGACTAATTAACTAGTGTATAATTAGTTAATAAAGAAAAAATGAAATAGACAGAGTTAGTAAAAGTAGCTGTTTTCTTAATACTAACACCTCAAAACTGGTAGTTCATCATAGAATTCGTAGAGTTTATATCTGAAGGCTGCCTGAAGACTTGAATAATCAAGCAAAAATGGGTTCAAAATTAACAAATGGCTCTTTCAGTAATGGCTCTTTTAACAATTGGCTCTTTCCAACTTTGTTTTTCTCAGTAGTCAACAAGGCTGTTTATAGTTTAAATTGTTTGCAATACATAGCTTTGATCACGTTTCTTGAAAATGATTTAAAAATATCTTCATTCCACTCTGAATCTAGCTCTGCAATATTGGCACCAATGAGCTTGCTTTCAGTTTCGATTGACATATACCCGGGCTGACGTCCATAGAAGAAAAATGCTTATCATACAGTTTCATAGATGAAGTCTATGGAAAAATGCTTGTCAAAGAAAATTCATACAAAATTTAAAAAGTGGTTTAAAAAGTTTTAATGAACATTTTTGGTCTAATTGCCTCTTTTGAAGGTTTCTGGTCATTAAAATTATATTTCATCACTTTTGCTACGCGTTCATAAAGAAAGTATATTTCGCATCCTGGATCGAGGTTTGCCATTTATGTTTCGCTGTCGATATTCGACCAAAAACCATGGCTAAGAGGGCCCTATAGTTAAATTCAGACACGAAACGTGACTAAGTTGAGTTGGTCAAAACACAAATTCGAGTATGAGCAGAAAACTTCAAGCTGAAAACAGAAAGACGAAATGACTGTTTTAAGACCATTTATCCACGGGGGAAAGGACCAGCACAAGAGCTGTACAGCTCATCACGGCGAACCGCTGTTGTGCCCTTGTTTAAGAACTACATGCTATTTTTTTTTTTGGTTATTTTTCTGGGCTGGGTAATGTTGCTTCACCCTCAAGCAACGAGCACGGATCATGGTGGGCCTCGAACATCCGACCTTTCGATTGAGAGGCGGAGACGTAACCACGTCTCCACCGCTCCCAAGTATTATTGTCAAATACAAAAAAGACCATTGGATCCTTGCCCAATCTCAAAAAAACTCTCAAAATCATTCTCAAATTCATTCTCAAAATCAAAAGAATCAAAACAAAGTCGAGCTCAAAAAAAGAAGATACACATTATCTTAAGCAAAAGACCAAGAAGCAATTTTCCATGAATAAAACGACGCTTTAAGGTCTTTGTTGATGCAACAGAAACATAATGATTGTAATTTTTGGACAAAAAAATGATGGTCAAAATAGAATTAACATATCATTAATTAAATAACAGATCAGTGGTCTGCCAGAGGTCTGTCAATTTCTTTCTGTCTTTGGTAACCAAAAAAAAACATTTAGCATCTGCTTCTTTGAAAATTAAAACAATTAATCACACTCTGAACTTATGTATTTTATTGGCCGATTTCTTTCATGTTGAATATATTGCTTGGTTGAAATCGCGTCAAAGATCATTTCCTCAAGAAAACGCAGTCAAATGAATTTCCTTGGTTGAATACAATTTGTTATCGAATTTTCAAAATGCTTTTGCTTTGCCAAATGCCCTTTGTCCGGCAAAGCCCTCAATGTTTTGAATGCTTTTTAATGAATCTGCGATATTTTTTTTATTCAAAAAATTTTCAGAAAAATAAAAATTCTTGAAATTTTCCAAAATTTTCCCGCACGCGTGCAATTTCCAGCACAAAGTTAGTTACTTCTCATCCAGTAAGTAACAATTTATTTGAAGGAATTGGGTTACCTCACTTCATTTTGGAATTTGGACTTTTTTATTTTCGCTTCATACGCTACGACATAATAAAAATTGGTGAATAGCGCGCATTTGTTATCCCGAACTTGCCAAACAAATTAGCAATTTTTAACAACTTGTAACTTTACAAAATTTAGTCGCAAGCAAAATTGAGCTTCAATTTCGAGCGTAAGCCTGATGGTGTAAAAACTTCCGTCAAAATTGGTTAGATAAAAATCTTTCGAAGTTTTTTGAAAATTTTTCCACCACGCGTTATGTAACGTATGAAGTGATGTATGTATCGTGTAGTCTCGTGCTAATAAGGCTAAAAAGCTCCCCTCAATTCATTATCGAAAGTCGATAGCAAAAAAATTTTGAGCGTTTTTTGTCCCAAATGGATCTAGGACAACATGTGGGCGGGAATTCAAGCTAAATGCTGAAATTTAAATTTTACTAGCAGTTCAAAACGTTGAAATTTCATTTTTAAACTGTAATTTTAAAAAAAATAGGCAAGTTAAGTTCAAAATAATCAATTTTGGCAGAAGCACACGATTGAAAGATGGCCTCCGCTAGTTACGTCAGTCGGATTGATAACTGTCCAATTAATACACAAGAAAAACCATTTCAACAATGTTTCATCTCTGTATATCCTTCAACTCCTCTTTACGGCCCAAAATAAATGAAAAAGTCCATAAACCTTGAAAAAAGCATGAAAGGAAAAATTTGTTAAAAATTTTACAAATTGATCAAAATTCTTGATTTTTTGAGAAATAGGGAAAATTTTGCAATTTCTTGAAGGTTTTTGAAATTTTTTGATGTCTGGTGCCAGTGCCAACTTAATCTCGATTGTTAAATTTCAACCTCTGTAACTCTACAAAATGATCAAATATCAATTTGATTAAGAGCTCAGCACCTTAATAGTTTCAAATCAAAATAGACTAGTTACTCGAAATTGGTTACTCGAGAACTAGTTACTCGAACAACCCCTCTCTTACCCCAAGCAAACATGCTCAAAAATTATATTTCTGAGATCCCGAGGATATAAATTCGCTAGTCAACCAATCAAAAGCCACAATTTCATCAAATCAGATTTCTCCATGTACACTCTGTTTTAGTCTGTCCCCATGGAGGCGGAGTTGGATTATGCGAAATGATACAACACTTGGCCGCCTTCAACTACGTCAGAATAGCCCCGCTGGACCCAAACAGTGACTCACCCCCTCTGGTGGAACATGCTGACCACCTGTCGCATCACTTCGAACACCCTCTGAACTGTTTTGGGGGAGTGTATAACGTGCCGGAAAGTAAAACAGCAGGATACACGACTACACTTAAGACTGAGTCTTTGGCAAAGTATGCGGTGTCTATGAGTGAATGAACTGAAATAGTTGAAGCAAAACGAAACAAATTGTGAAAAGAATTAAGTTTTTGGCTAATATAATGACATTATAAAAGTAATTGATGCACGACTGTTTTTCTTTCAATCACTTCGTGTTCGGGTTTAGTTTCTCAAAACAAAATCAAGTATCAAAATTAAACATGAGATGTAAGAAAACACAACTTGAAATGACTTCTACGAGAAAAAAAAACAAATTTTGAAATGTTCGTTTTTCCCATCCGTGTAGGGAAAAACAATTAGTTTTGATGAATTATTAATGGCAGTCAAAGGTGTTCCGGCAGCTTATGAAGAGTGGGAAGGAATTACGGTGTAGGGTCCGTTTTTCAATTTTTCATCCAAACTTAAATACCTCGAGGAAAACTCAACTGTAGTATTATATTACAACTACATGAATCATAATAAAATTTTGAATTTTTTTTTCGCAATGTCAAGAAAAGCAGGTCTTCGTTTTATTTTCGTTTTTCAAACTGAATTAGTCAAAGCTTATGACACTGACGTCTCAACAAGAATTTAAACGCTATTTTGAATTTCTTTTCATAATTAGAGTTTTCTTGCAATTCCGTTTAATTTGATTGCCTTTCAATTAATTTGAAAGAAGAAAGAACGGGGACAATAGCATTTTTAGTTTTTTTTTCAAAAAGTTTCAAAACAAATTCTGACAAGACCTCAATAAATAACCAGTAGACAAGACAACTCATTGCAGCATGCAAAAGTGCCAATTTTTTTAAATTGTTTACAGCAGCAAAAAACCTGACTCAGGTTGGATTACAGTGAACAGGTGTTTGCTTGTATAATAGCAATAAAAAAGGGCATTGGTTTTCAAACTGGTAGTTTTCATATAACTTTGATCGAATTGTGAAAAAGCTAACAAAACTTTTCACACAGAAGCAAAGCTTCGCTTTGCAAACACTTGCGAGAACACGACCAAAAAGTAACTCTATCGAGTAAAATAAGAAACAGTAGAAATAAGCCTCGAAGTAGCAAAAACTCGGCTATGTGTATGATTCAAATCTGCGACTTACTGCAATCAAGACATTTTGAGTATCACGCACTGTCCACTCAGCCAAGCAAGCTTAACAACCGACAAACACTATGCGATTCCGCAAAAGTGGCACCAAATCCAAATAGACTCAATTTTGCATGTAATAATTTGGAACATAACAAGCTGAAGGCATCCAGACAAACTTTGCATGCAACAAATCGCAAAGCATGAAGCCACATTATGTATCAATCATGCATTTCAAAAAACTGCGAGATAAATTGAGTTAAAAAATTTCTGAAATCGAGTTTTCATTATTGTTGTTGTTTGAAACAAATCATTTTTTTCGGTTCATTTAATGAATTAAAAATGCATCAACTGTTTTAACTTATTACTTTTCGAATTTCAAAGCATATGCTATCAAAAAATTGTAAAGGTGCTCCATCATTATTGTGGTGCCGCACCATAATGGTCCCGCACCAATATTTGCGACTTAGATTGGGAAAAAAGGAAAGTTCGTACTAAAACACATTGCTTCGCAAGTTTATTACTGTAGAGATAGCCTATTTAGAGCTGGAAAATTTTTGTAGGGTTCACTGAAGAAACTGACGTTTCTCGGGTTTGTTCAAAAAACTTTGCTCTAGAAGGCGCTATTGAATTTTGTTGATGACGCGTTAAGCTTTTTAAAGCAATTGTTACGTTAATATCAAGTCACTTTGGTTTTCTAATGTTTCATTTCTTTTTTGATTGGTGCTAAGAAGAAATTTTGTTAAATCATTCTCAAAAAGCTTTTTTCGAGATGCTAAGCAATTCTTGTTTGAACTGAGTTCTACCTGAACTTTTCAATCAGAAATTCAAAAATTTCAAGTCAAGTTTATTTTGCTCGGCGTACTCTGGCAGCTCAATGCTAGAAAAGCATTATAAAATTTGCAAAACTTCAACCAGAGGCGTTATTTTAAAAGAAATTGCAATAAATTTAAACTACCAATAAAAAAATCATGCTGCATTAGCCTTTACAAATTTCTCTGAAAAAACAGTCGTTTGTTCCGGCAAGTCCTTTTCAAACTTAGGAGGTCCAATTAGTTGTTCAATGTCTTTGTAAGTTAGAGATTCTTTCTTGAGCAACTCTTCGGCCACTAAGTCTAACTTGTCTCTGTTTTCGCTGATGATACTTTCCACTCTTTTGTAGCATGTGCTTATTTCCGCTTTCATCTCTCGATCCATTTCTCTGGCCAATTGTTTGCTGTAAGGTCGCTCAATGTAGTCTTGTTGGAAGGATATGAAGCCAATGTTTTCGTTCATACCTGAAGAACGAAAAAGCATCCATAAATGTAATTTCTTTGAAGTACGATGAAATTATAAACATGGTTAACAGACAGCTGGAAGAGTCAATGAACGCTATTTACAAGAAAAAAAAACTATTGCCTTGTTTTTTCAAAAAAATTCAAGTTTCGAAATTCAACGAATAAAATAGATGGCCTTAAAGCTCTTTGAATTTCAAAAACGAATAATGATTGACACTTTTTTGGTTAAATTACCCAACTTGAGAAAACTGGATCAAAATTTTCATTTCACTGGAAAATTAACCATTCGCTGAAAAATCTGAATATTAAATTCCACTTTCAAAATTCGAACTCGATCACGTTTTTCGTGACCTTTACCCGTTCGTGTTTGATAGTGGACTTTGCCTTCCTTTTAACAAAGTGAACTTGAGCCTGAACAAATATTAAGACTTTTCCTGAAAAAAATCAGCACCACCTAGATAAGAGTCTGAACTACATTCCTCGACTCTTAATAACAAAAAACTTATGCTTGTTAATTTATTATACTCTACATCAAAAAAGTAAATTCGTTCGCATCGTGAGGCGGCAATTCGTAACAGGCGACAATTAGTAAAAAGCCACAATTCGTAACAGTAGATTAAGCAGGGAACACTGATTTACGCGCAGTATTCCTCTCGTGCCGAATGTAAGCGCAGCGGAGCAAGCGTATTCTACTTGCCAATGCTTTGTTGCAATTGTCGCTTGTTAAGAATTGTCATCTGTTACGAATTGACGCTTGTTACGAATTGTCGCCTGTAACGAACTGTCGCCCTACCCATTCACATATTCTCTATTGCCTTATATCAATTAGTGAACGCTTTTAACTAGGTACCATAGGCAGATATTATTAGGAACTGTTTTTTATCTTGCAACTTCCTGTAAAATCTATTTTTACACCCTAGTAGACAACTACTTCACTTTTTGATAGTAAAATAAGTACAGAAAAGAGCCCATAATGTTAGCTTTTACGTACCATATTTCTCCACCCTGTCCTTTGCTATCTTAGTCACTTTCTGCAGATCTTCTGCTCCATGAGACGACACCTGGTTGAACACCTTCAACATGCCAATATACGTTAAATTACAACTACTCATTTTTTGCTTCTAATAAAATCATCCAGAATTAGTTTTTCAACAAATAATCTGTGGTAATAATGCAGTATTTTTCCCAGTGTTTCGATCAACCAAGGACTTTTTCCCATTAAAATTGACCCTCCATTAAATTATAGCCCCTTTTCTGTCATTATAACAAAAACTAAGTTTGGACGATATCATGAATAGATTTGGATGGATTGGATAAATTGAATCGTCTGCAGCTTACCTGTTGTTCGGCCACTCTGCCCGCCAGACCGAGACACATGCTATCTAGCAGGTACTCACTTGTGGCCAGATATATGTCCCTGTCCGCGTGCCATGCTGACCCTATGGACTTGCTATAGACCACGATGCTGATCTGAACAAGACATTTACTATTTCCATAACATATAAACTTCAATAAAAATAAACAACACTAAGTTCAAATAGTAGCGCAAAAATTTACCGCTATCCATTTTTTTATGTGCATTAACCCTTTAGAGTTTCAAAATTCAATTTTTCAGATGCTTTTGTTAAAAATTTCCATTGAATTGATTGATTGCAATAACTAAGATCTGAACAAAATTTAGAAAATTGTGTTTGAAATCAAAAACTAGAAGAAAAAAAACTGATACTTTCAATCTTCGATTTAATTGGAACAATTTATCTCATACTACGACTACCTCAAATTGATAAAATTTTCATAATGGCCGACAATTTTGTAAACTCAATATCAACAAATGTAAACTCAATATCAACAATTGGTTCTCCCAGAGCTGTTCTCAAGATAAACCCTTCGTAGGTCGAGCGGCAAGAGCTTAATGAATAAACGGCTCCTGTTGTTGGCAGCAGCTTTAGAATTAGTGATGTAATTCATCAAATTGCTCTAAAACAATTGCTCTGGATTTAGATCATCGCTAATCGATAACTTGTTAATTCTTTCCTTTTACTCTACTTTCTCTCGAAATCTATATTTATGACAGCATATCTGAGTTTCAATCGAATCTTCGACTGTCCTTTCTTTCTTACTGGATTGCTTCTGACTAGATTGAAAATGGAGAAGAGCTTTGTATTCGGGTGTCTTTTTTGTTTTCTACGCAAAATCAGGTAGGTAAAACAAACATTTCATCGGAATGGTTCAAATTAATATATAGTTTCCAAAGTCTTTCAGTCGTGATACGAACAACATTCAAAAATGTTCAAACATTTGTCTGTGTCGAGAAAAAGCGGTTTGAAAATCTAGACTAATTTCAGTGTAATTTATTAGATCTTCTTACAAAAAACGGAAGGGGAGCTTTACACCACTTCCGATACAATCGTTAAAAAATCTAAAAAAGCCAAAACAGTTGAAAAAAAATGGAACAGCCAAAAACAATAGATGTATCAAAACGAATAAGACTAGTGTTGAGAAAACTAAGCCATGACAAAAGAATTCGCAATGTCAAGAAAAGCAGGTCTTCGTTTTATTTTCGTTTTCAAACTGAATTAGTCAAAGTTGATGACACTGACGTCTCAACAAGAATTTAAACGCTATTTTGAATTTCTTTTTATAATTAGAGTTTTCTTGCAATTCCGTTTAATTTGATTGCCTTTTAATTAATTTGAAAGAAGAAAGAACGGGGACAATAGCATTTTTAGTTTTTTTTTCAAAAAGTTTCAAAACAAATTCTGACAAGACCTCAATAAATAACCAGTAGACAAGACAACTCATTGCAGCATGCAAAAAAAGTGCCAATTTTTTAAAATTGTTTACAGCAGCAAAAAACCTGACTCAGATTGGATTACAGTGAACAGGTGTTTGCTTGTATAATAGCAATAAAAAAGGGCATTGGTTTTCAAAGTGGTAGTTTTCATATAACTTTGATCGAGTTGTGAGAAAGCTAACAAAACTTTTCACACAGAAGCAAAGCTGCGCTTCGCAAACACTTGCGAGAACACGACCAAAAAAAACTCTATCGAGTAAAATAAGAAACAGTAGAAATAAGCCTCGAAATAGCAAAAACTCGGCTATGTGCAGGATTCAAATCTGCGACCTACTGCAATCAAGACATTTTGAAAATCACGCACTATCCACTCAGCCAAGCAAGCTTAACAACCGACAAACACTAGTCACAAATGAAGCACCTACATATGCTAATAACTTGCCAATGCGATTCCGCAAAAGTGGCACCAAATCCAAGTAGACTCAATTTTGCATGTAATAATTTGGAACATAACAAGCTGAAGGCATCCAGACAGACTTTGCATGCAACAAATCGCAAATCATGAAGCCACAATATGTATCAATCATGCATTTCAAAAAACTGCGAGATAAATTGAGTTAAAAAATTTCTGAAATCGAGTTTTCATTATTGTTGTTGTTTGAAACAAATCATTTTTTTCGGTTCATTTAATGAATTAAAAATGCATCAACTGTTTTAACTTATTACTTTTCGAATTTCAAAGCATATGCTATCAAAAAATTGTAAAGGTGCTCCATCATTATTGTGGTGCCGCACCATAATGGTCCCGCACCAATATTTGCGACTAAGATTGGGAAAAAAGGAAAGTTCGTACTAAAACACATTGCTTCGCAAGTTTAATACTGTAGAGATAGCTTATTTACAGCTGGAAAATTTTTGTAGGGTTCACTGAAGAAACTGACGTTTCTCGGGTTTGTTCAAAAAACTTTGCTCTAGAAGGCGCTATTGAATTTTGTTGATGACGCGTTAAGCTTTTTAAAGCAATTGTTATGTTAATATTAAGTCACTTTCGTTTTCTAATGTTTCATTTCTTTTTTGATTGGTGCTAAGAAGAAATTTTGTTAAATCATTCTCAAAAAGCGTTTTACGAGATGCTAAGCAATTCTTGTTTGAACTGAGTTCTACCTGAACTTTTCAATCAGAAATTCAAAAATTTCAAGTCAAGTTTATTTTGCTCGGCGTACTCTGGCAGCTCAATCCTAGAAAAGCATTATAAAATTTGCAAAACTTCAACCAGAGGCGTTATTTTAAAAGAAATTGCAATAAATTTAAACTACAAATAAAAAAATCATGCTGCATTAGCCTTTACAAATTTCTCTGAAAAAACAGTCGTTTGTTCCGGCAAGTCCTTTTCAAACTTAGGAGGTCCAATTAGTTGTTCAATGTCTTTGTAAGTTAGAGATTCTTTCTTGAGCAATTCTTCGGCCACTAAGTCTAACTTGTCTCTGTTTTCGCTGATGATACTTTCCACTCTTTTGTAGCATGTGCTTATTTCCGCTTTCATCTCTCTATCCATTTCTCTGGCCAATTGTTTGCTGTAAGGTCGCTCAATGTAGTCTTGTTGGAAGGATATGAAGCCAATGTTTTCGTTCATGCCTGAAGAACGAAAAAGCATCAATAAATGTAATTTCTTTGAAGTACGATGAAATTATAAACATGGTTAACAGACAGCTGGAAGAGTCAATGAACGCTATTTACAAGAAAAAAAAAACTATTGCCTTGTTTTTTCAAAAAAATTCAAGTTTCGAAATTCAAAGAATAAAATAGATGGCCTTAAAGCTCTTTGAATTTCAAAAACGAATAATGATTGACACTTTTTTGGTTAAATTACCCAACTTGAGAAAACTGGATCAAAATTTTCATTTCACTGGAAAATTAACTATTCGCTGAAAAATCTGAATACTAAATTCCACTTTCAAAACAAGAAGTCGATCACGTTTTTTGTGACCTTTACCCGTTCGTGTTTGATAGTGGACTTTGCCTTCCTTTTAACAAAGTGAATTTGAGCCTGAACAAATATTAAGATTTTTCCTGAAAAAAAATCAGCACCACCTAGATAAGAGTCTGAACTACATTCATCGACTCTTAATAACAAAAAACTTATGCTTGTTAACTTATTATACTCTACATCGAAAAAGTAAATTCGTTCGCATCGTTAGGCGGCAATTCGTAACAGGCGTCAATTCGAAACAGGCGTCAATTCGAAACAAGCGACAATTCGTAACAGTAGATTAAGCAGGGAACACTGATTTACGCGCAGTATTCCTCTCGTGCCGGATGTAAGCGCAGCGGAGCAAGCGTATTCTACTTGCAATGCTTTGTTGCAATTGTCGCTTGTTAAGACTTGTCATCTGTTACGAATTGACGCTTGTTACGAATTCTCGCTTGTTACGAATTGTCGCCTGTAACGAACTGTCGCCCTACCCATTCACATATACTCTATTGCCTTATATCAATTAGTGAACGCTTTTAACTAGGTACCATAGGGAGGTGTTATTAGGAACTGTTTTTTATCTTGCAACTTCCTGTAAAATCTATCTTTACACCCTAGTAGACAACTACTCCACTTTTTGCAAAGGGGGTTGATATTAAAAATAAGTCCATAAAAGAGCCATGTTAGCTTTTCCGTACCATATTTCTCCACCCTGTCCTTCGCTATCTTAGTCACTTTCTGCAGATCTTCTGCTCCATGAGACGACACCTGGTTGAACACCTTCAACATGCCAATATACGTTAAATTACAACTACTCATTTTTTGCTTCTAATAAAATCATCCATAATTAGTTTTTCAACTGAATGATCTGTGGTAATAGTAATGGAGTGTTTTTCCCTGTTTCGATCAACGAAAGACATTTTCCCATTAAAATTGACATTCCATTAAATTATAGCCCCTTTTCTGTCATTATAACAAAAACTAAGTTTGGACGATATCATGAATAGATTTGGATGGATTGGATAAATTGAATCTTCTGCAGCTTACCTGTTGTTCGGCCACTCTGCCCGCCAGACCGAGACACATGCTATCCAGCAGGTACTCACTTGTGGCCAGATATATGTCCCTGTCCGCGTGCCATGCTGACCCTATGGACTTGCTATAGACCACGATGCTGATCTGAACAAGACATTTACTATTTCCATAACATATAAACTTCAATAAAAATAAACAACACTAAGTTCAAATAGTAGCGCAAAAATTTACAGCTATCCATTTTTTTATGTGCATTAACCATTTAGAGTTTTATAATTCAAAATTTCAGATATTGCTGTTTAAAATTTCCATTGAATTGATTGCGATAACTAAGATCTGAACAAAATCGAAAACCAGAAAAAAATTGATACTTTCATTCTTCGATTTAATTAGAACAATTTATGTCATACTACGACTACCTCAAATTGATAAAATTTTCATGATGGCCGACAATTTTGTAAACTCAATATCAACAAATGTGATCAATGGATGTTGGTTCTCCCAGAGCTGTTCTCAAGATAAACCCTTCGTAGGTCGAGCGGCAAGAGCTTAATAAATAAACGGCTCCTGTTGTTGGTAACAGCTTTAGAATTAGTGATGTAATTCGTCAAATTGCTCTGAAACAACTCGAATTTAGATCATCGCTAATCGATAACTTGCTAATTCTTTCCTTTTACTCCACTTTTTCTCGAAACCTGTATTTATGACAGCATATCTGAACGGTAGAGAGTTTCAATGAAATCAAACTCCTTCGACTGTCCTTTCTTTCTAACTGGATTTCTTCTGACTAGATTGAAAATGGAGAAGAACTTTGTATTCGGGTGTGTTTTTTGTTTTCCACGCAAAATCAGGTAGGTAACACAAGCATTTCCTCGGAATGGTTCAAATGTTATATAGTTTCAAAAGTCTTTCAGTCGTGATACGAACAACATTTAAAAATGTTCAAACATTTGTCTGTGTCGAGAAAAATTGGTTTGAAATGTTAGACTAACTTCAGTGTAATTTATTAAGTTTTCTTACAAAAAACGAAAGTGGAGCTTTACGCCACTTCCGATACAATCGGGAAAAAACCGAAAAAAACCAAAATAGTTTAAAAAAATGGAACAGCCAAAAACAACAAGATGTATCAAAATGAATAAAGCCTAGTGTTGAAAAAAATATGCCATGACAATATAATGTGAAATTAGTATCGGAGGAAATTAGTATCGGAGGAAATTAGTATCGGAGGAAATTAGTATCGGAGAAAACTTACCAAGCGCTATAAAGAGTCGAAAGTACATGAGCAGAAACTGTTTCAGCCGAAAAAAGATCAATAATACATTAAAAACTATTTAAAAATGTCCCCTTCTCCTCAAAAAAACCTCACACACACAAACAAATTCTTCAGTCACCAAACGACGCAATATACGGCCACTAAGCCGATAAAACAAAACATATTCTGAAATCATTAAAGCAGAATAAAATTTTCAACTAAAAAATACCAAGTCACATTGGTAAAATTACGAGCAGCAGAAGTAAATTAAAACACAAAAAGCAACTAAAAATTATGTACAACAAAAAAACAATACCACGATGTGGCAACTAAGCCGACAATACATCAGCAGTCAAATCATAAACCGGCAATTTCTTTGAAACCGAATATTTTCCATGTTGAAAAAAACTTGTCAGATTTAAACCCAGGAACTTTGCCGTACCAGGCTCTTTCGTTACCTCTAGACATAGTGAGCCGGAGACGCAAAGAAAATTGAATTCATCAACTGGGTCATTCGGTCTAGGTCTCCTCTTTTCCTAGTTTCCTACTTACCCTTAGTAGAGGTGCCGTGTGTTCCAACTGCCAAGCCACAATGGCATGTCCCGCCTCGTGGTAAGCGAACTTCCTCTTCTCCATCTGCTGCACACTGCCACTCCTTTTCTTCAGACCAAACTTCACTCTCTCAATCGCATACCAGAAGTTCTTATCTGTCCCACATCAAACTCTTTTTCATTTCTTGCTGCTTTTTCACTTTTTTTTCTTCAAAAACTTGCTGCTTTATTAAAATTCGGTATGGAAACAAATCCTATGAAGTGTTCAATATAGAACAGATTTGACATTCTGTGTCAATGATAACAAAATATTGTCGATTAAACAGCTTTCAAAAAAGTCGATTAAAGTGTAAAGTGTAGTCTACACATTGCTCATTAAATTAAACTTTCTCTATTTTCCGAGCTTAAATTAGGAAAGGAATCAAAAGTTTTCTCGGTCGGTGTTTTATAAATTATGCATTGTTTATTTAAGACCTGTACATTAGATTCTCAATTTTTTTTATCATAACGATAACTCTGAAACATTTTACCGAATAATCGGTTTGATAAAAACAAAAAAAAACAGAAGTGTTTCACCAGTATGACAAATCAAACGTTTAAGCAATCGGTTGGATGAAAACGAAAAAGAGCCCTGATATAAACTCGTGGTTGTGTGAGCCAGCATTAAGAGCTGCCTCATTGCAGAAGTTAGAGATGTCAGCCCCCGTGAATCCTGAAGTGTATTCTGCCAGTGACTCAGCGTATGACTCATACGGGTTCTCTAGCTTCAGTTTCTTCAGGTACACGTTGAATATTTCCACTCGCTCTGACAGAGTGGGGAGAGTCACTGTGATCTGTCGGTCAAATCTCCCTGAAAATCAGAATTCGTATATAAGGTTTATTTGATATAGAAGTATAAATCGCATTTCATCATCATATAAATTAGGTACATTTACAACTATATCAGGGCCACTATACGGGATAAACCAAACTTCAAATTTATCTGTTGCTATTGAAACCAAGGTTCTCGAAGGTATATATCTTTAAATATCACTTCCTCCAGTGACTTTCAATTGAAAAAGTTGAATAACATAAAACTCTGAAATATAGCCAAAAAACTATGTTGACGATAATGAACCCTGCCTTTGAAAAAACTAAAACGAAAAACTACAAGAATATGCTACTAGCCTGGTCGGAGTATAGCCTGGTCGAGTGTATCCTGCCTGTTGGTACTGGCTAACACCATTACCCCTTCGGATGACGTCATCCCATCCAGTTCAGTGAGCAGCTGGTTCAGAGTCTGCTCAGCCTCCCCGTTTTCAGGAAAACCACCACCGCCTCCACCACCAGCTATAACAATAATAATAATCATATTAATTGTTCCCGAAATTTGATACTTAATAAAAAGAGGCAAAGTCTACAGAACAACGTCAGAATCGCCCGAAAAAAAGACATTAACATGCGTCGATGACATCTTTTGTCTATACAACCAACGACTTCGATATTTTTCTTTCATATCATTTGAAAGCCCTGGAAAAAAACGATACCATACGGTAAATTTGAGCTATTTTGGTATGTGTATAAAAATGATAAATTTTAGAAAAATGGCCCTTTTGACAAAAAAACCGACACCCGGTACGCATAAATCAACTTATTTGAATTTCACATATGACTAACACAACACGCAAAATGTTTTCAGTAATTACCCACAAGCTTATTTGTGCACCAATTCAATTGTTTGCGTAACAGCCATTTTATTAATTCAATCTTTGCTATTTGAAATTGCACTCGTTTCTTACTGCTTGCTTAGACCGAAAATCTTACGAAGCTTTGTTTAATACTTCTGAATTATTTTAACTGGCCTGTTTTTTTTAGATTGATTTGTTATTGAATTTTGTGGTAGAAAACACAGGAGAAGAGCCAACCCGAGCCAAAAAAGTATAGGACCAATCCATTTCCAACTACATGCCCGAGGATGAAGAAACAGCGGAGAAATACCCTTTAAGAAACTACGCAATCCTGATAGACGAGTTTCGGGGTTAAGAGTCCAAATGTGCAAGAACAAACAAAAGGATCACCTCCAATTTACCGAACCCAAAAAATCAACTTTCTATCAGCCTGAAAGAGTAGAATTACCAGAAAAAGTCGTCACACATTCATCCAAAACCGCAAACTCGATTGAAGAATGTCTTTAGAAGAAAGTCCCCGCGACGCTGAATAATGAGTACAATGAGCAGGAAGATCTAAATTCTGTATTGGAGCTATTTTGAGTCAACAAAGTTTGCAACAGGAAGATTTGGGACAGTTTTCCAACAGCACTCGGGCATTCCGCTGAGACCAGATAAACCTAAGTCCGAAGTCCAGCAGAAGGGCCGAAGTCCAGCAGTTACAAAACCTGCAAGTGAAAAACTTGGACGGAACCGAAGAGTTTCTTGACGTTGCTGTCAACAAAAGGCAGACTACAGAAGAGGAAAAGAGTTTGCAACGCGAGCCGTCCAAAAGTGCTGCAGAATCTTGGTTCGCAAAAGGCCTACAGCTTTTAAAAGTCGGACCAAGTTGATCCCAATTAGGTTTACTGTATAAAAAGCCTTAAGATGATTCGGTTGGCGGCAGCCATTTCATGGATCTGACAGGAAATATAGAACAGGCAAATAATTGTATCGTATCGCCCGTAAAAAGTGTTTTGGCCATTCAGACTACACAACGCCTCCATTAAAAAAGTTATAACAAGAAATGATATCGACGGAGCCTGGTTGATCTTCAAAGATAGAACGGACAAATTTACAGTTGACGACGATATAAACGATATAATCAGGCCCCTGGTTAACCAGATACTTGAAGTCCGCCGAGTGATACCGAAAGGACAAGTCCAAAATCGGGCAATTGCATTGGAAGGTGAGACCGACTTTTAGAGGTGAGGCCTTGGAGCGGCTGGTGACTTAAGTCTATAGCAAGATGCGGACTGAATCAAAAACTGCGATTAGAACGTTTGTTTATCTCACTTTTGTGTAACCTTCAAGGTTCAATTAAAATCAATGTCTCCTAACTATAAAGGTGGCAACCAGACATGATATGTGAAATTTTTGGTCTGGGTTTTGGTACATACAAAGCGTCGTTAGATTTTTTTCTAATAGAAGGCTCAACATTTTTCGACTTTTGTTTTGGTTCTTAACATCCTGTTCAATCTGCAAACTGCCGTTATTGTTGGCCTTAGGCGAAGCTTTCTTTAAAAATTTTAATTTTTCACACGACGTAGGATTTTTCTACCGAAACGAGCATTTCAACCGCAATACGACTAGTGGGAAGCACACTCGCTTGGCAATCCCAAATTCCCGGATCGATCCATACGATTACCAAATTTTCGTGGTAAAACTGGTCGAATTTTAAAAAAAAATCATCCCAAGCATATATATATATACCTCAATTTTTTTCGTAAGTCGTTAATAAGTCCAAAATTGACTAAAAAATACCACGCATAAACATTCCGTAATTTTCAAATATCTGAACGATTATATAATCAATCACATTGTTCTTAACTGATTTTCGAGGCTAAGAGAACGCCATTAGACTATTTGGCTCGTTTTCAGACGTCTACGAAACAATAATTATTGCGACTATCGAATAGTACGCTCGAGGTGGTTTTTTATTCCGTCAAGTCTAGATGATCGAAGCAGGGGCGGTTTTAGGGAGGGGGGCGGACGCCCTCCTACACCCCCCCCCTCAGGGATTCGACCCCCTGCCGACCCAAAGGGTCCCCCTTTGGTACTTTTTAAGAAATCCATTTTTTGCCGACCGACCCTAAAATTTTTCTAAAGGCGCCAATAAAGACTAACTTTGAGGGGGAGCGCGCGCCAAAAAAACCCGATTTTTTTGTCAAAATTTTTCAAAAAGTGCCTAAAAACGGCTTTTTTGACCTGTTTTTTCAAAAATTTGGCCAAAACAGGGACCTTTTAGTGCTTTAGAAGAGCTCGGAAAATCAATTTGGTCGACCTAAAAAAAAAAGGTCGTCAAAATTTTCGAAAATTTATGATAATGCAAATAACGCAATTTAATTTTGCGCAGCGAAATATATATCGCACTGAAAAATTGTTCCAAATTCGGAATTCAGGCAAGATAATTGGTCGAATACGTTTCATACGTACGATTCAAATTTTCCCTCTTGATGTGACATTGCCCAAAACAAGTTAAAAGTTCCTTAGTTGACCACTCTACGAGTGGTCGGAACAAAATGAAAACAGCGCTGCAATACAAACTAAGCTCAACCTTCGTACTATATTTTATCTAATAACCAATCAAAGGCAATCATTTCTACTTGCATATTTTCGAATTTTTTTATTCGGGCTGACATCAAATACAATGTCCCTTATTTTGAAAACTGGCCTCTTTTGGCGGCCAGAGCATCCAGTTCGTCCAGAAACACAATACAGGGTGCATCCTCTCTAGCCTTCTTGAACAGATTACGTACCCTCCTCGCACCTAGTCCCCCAATCATCTCCACGAAGTCACTGCCAGCCGCGAAATAGAAGGGAACCTGAACATGAAAATTATCATCATTCTCTTTGAAATATTTCACACCTTTTTATGTATTTCGCGGGTAGACAAGAATTCAGTCATCAAAAGCGTAAAAATCAATTGCAACTTTGTTTAAAAGTTAGCTACTTGGAGTTATCGAGTTAAAATTTGGACATGAGTAAACTAAACGAGCGAAAGAGTTAAATTCAAACCTTTGATGATTTTAATAGTTCCACAAAAGAACGACAAAATACTCCGAAAAAAGCTAAGTAGTATTTTGACTACTAAGGATAGATAAAGGCGCACGGTCACAAAGATTTCTTGTACAGAGAAAACGATTTCCTTTCCTTTTCCAACTTTTTAAAAATTAAACAAGGATAGCCGGTTGCTGTGCGAGTAGCACAATGTTCCCACCACATTAGTAAATAACTACAAAAAAAGAGTTGTTTTTTTTTCTTCAAATTACTGTCGTTTCTTGTGCGTGGTATGCTTACAGAACTATACAAACGCGTAGAAAGCTAGTAAATTAAGCATAAACAATTAAAGTTGGCTTCAAAAAATAAATAAACAAAAAGAAATGAAAAAAAATATATATAAAACAACATTCTAAAATTTTTTCCTATTTTTTTTTGCTCTAAAACTTTATTTTTGAAAAATTTTTACTGCCGAGGAAGCGCTAAATGAAGCTTCCAAAACAAGTTACCGCCGAACAATTTTTTGAAAAAAATTTAATGTCGTTCGAATCATGACTGAAAGTTTTCATTATGATATATCTATCTGATTTTGCGTGGAAAAAAACATAGCCAACAGACAGATGGAAAAGAGTTGAAAATGAAAACGCAAGCAAACAGAAAAAAAAACACTGACTTGTTTTTTCGAAAAAATCTCAACTTTCGAATTTCCAAGTAAAAAACAAACATATGGCTTTAAAGCTCTTGGAAATTCTGGAACAATTTATGAACGACTCTTTTTTTGATAAAATTAACCCAATTTGAGAAAACTGGATCAATAGTTAAAAATTTAATACCACTGGGAAATCTGAAAATTAAAATCCAACTTAAGTTTGATAACGTTTTTCATGGCCTTAACTTTTTAGCTGTTTCATATTGGAGCTTTCCTTCCTTTTAACAAAGGAAATGAACTGAAATTAAAATAATCCGAAGTCAAACCGCAAAAAACTAAACTTTAAGGCTGAAACTAAAACGAAAAAATTTAAGGCAGAAGGAACGAAAAAATTTAAGGCTGAAACTAAAACGAAAAAATAGATCGCCACCTATACACAGAGGCGAAGCGGAGCTTCGCACTACTTGCGATAGAACAAAATCATAGAAAAAAAACAAATGGCTGAAAAAAAACATGATAGACCAAAATTTTCGCATGCCTCGATGAAGGAAACCAAGGGCCCAGCTAAAGCAAAACTTTTACGTTTTTGATAATTTTGAATTTGTTCTACCGATGCATGACGAATTGCGCAAACTCGAAAAGTGACTTTGAGAGGGTATTTTTAAAGAAAATTGAAAATGTTTCTAAAAAAGGAACAAAATTTACAAACTTTCCAAAATCACTAACTTTTTCTATTGAAACCAGGTCAAGGAGGGGGAAGTACAGAATATTTCTAAAATCAGGTTTCTCGATTGAACACTTAACTTGAGAATTGGCACGAAACTTTTTGAGTAGACTCAAAAAACGGTGAAATCTTCAAGGTTTCACTAGTATGAATGCCATAAATTTAAAAAAAAAACAAAGCAAATTATAAAAGTAAGCTTCCAACAACCTGTTGTGTCGATTAAACCTATATATCAGATTTGGCAGGATAGTTATCGAGAAATGTTCAAAAAACGGTCAACAAATCAAAATAAAAAAAGTGACACTTCCGAGAATCAAAGTATTTTGTTTTAAAAAAATTGGGCGTAGCCGCTTCTGCTGAAAAAATTCATCTGACCTGCAATTTCGATTCAACCCAAAAATCATGATTTGGGAGGGTAGTTTACGAGAAAAATTGAAAATTTTCATAAAAAACGGTCAATGAATAGAAATTTTGACTTTTCCAAGGGCCATAATTTTTTGTGTCAAAAACGTTGGGCGTAGTCGCGTATGCAAATGAGTTTCTTAAAACCCGTTATCTCTATTGAATCACAAACTCAGAAAAGGGAGGTTAGTTTTCGAGAAAATTTAAAAAAGATTTAAAAAATGGTCAAAAAAATTAAAAGTATGACTACTCCGAGGGCCATAATTTGATGTGTAAATGAAGTTTGGGCGTAGCCGCTTCTGAAGGGGAGCTTTTCAAATCTATTCCATTCATTGAAAATAAAATCTCAGATATTGTAGGTTAGCTTAGAAAAAAATCAAAAATATCTGTCAAATATTCCCCCATAGACTTTTTCGAAGGCTGTAGAAAAAGGAGTAAAGCAAAAAAAGAACACGGAAGTATGCAGGCACATCAGAATGTAGGCGCTCTTCTAATAGATATCCCCTTTTGAGAATCATTAGATGGGTTCTTTTGCAAAAAGTCATAAAAGTTTCCAAAGAGTCTCAAAAAACAAAAAAAAACCATCCCATACACTATCATAATACCTGTTTTTATCAAGCAGGAATTTTAGGCAAACAAGGCAAGCAAGTCATTTAAATTCAAATTAGCAACTGAACAACTAACAAAGCCGAAACAAGACCGACAATCCTTGAACAGGCACCAATTAAGCCGAAAAAAAACTGGCTTTTGTCAAAAGTTTCGAGACCCCACTGAAACTACCCTGTAGTAACTAGTACCTACCCAGTAGTTAAATTTGAATTTTCATGAAATTGAGCATGTCAGCTGCATAGCAGCATCATAAGCGATTCAACTGATTTTGTTAAACTTGTTGTTAACCCAAAAAAAAACTGTGTACATTCTGATTTGATATCGCTTGCTAATCGCAAGCGTAATCAGAGCCTGAACTACATTAATCAAATCTTAAGAAAAAAAACAAACACACCTACGAACAGAAAGTTCCTCCCCATTTTCAAAATATTCAGAGCAATTATATATTAACAGTTTGTGATGTTGATAAAAGCAAAGTTCAATTTAAAAAAATGCTGGATGAACTTTAATGTGCATGTAAGAGAAAATGTACAAGCAATTTTAGTTTTGAACATTACCTGAGCCTCGTTTGCAACTGCCTTGGCCAACAAAGTCTTGCCACATCCGGGAGGTCCCAACAAGAGCGCCCCTTTTGGTAGTCTGGCGCCTAATGTCGTGTACTTGGCTTGATTCTGAAACAGGTGAGACAAATGAGAAAGCATTGCAGTTTATCCTCATAATAGATAAACTTGCACGAATTTCCTATTTCGCTGATGATTGCTCATTGTCAACTGCATTTCTGTCATTAAATACGAATTTAGCGTGTTTTACCGGAACGACGACTAACAAGTCATTTATTCTTCCGACTTTCTAAGAAAATACGGAATACTTTAAAAACTGGGATTTAAATACTGTGGCAGAGATCTTCTGTATTACTTGCACAGCCAGTGGCTCACCTTGATGATCCTTAAAGAGAACTTGATAAACTGAAAATGGAATTAATTGACAAGAATTAAGAATTCCTTACCTTAAGGAAGTCGACAAACTCCATCACCTCTACTTTGGCCTCTTTCATGCCAGCCACGTCCTCCATTTTCACAAGCTGTTGCTTCTTTGGGTCAAACCTCTCCCATGGGTCCTTTGAGATCACCCCGAATATCTGTCCCAAGTTCATCCTCCTATAAAGAACAGCCTCAGAGCTCCATTTTACCAATACCAATGAATCGGTTCAAACTTATTAGCACAGGACTCGCACCTACGGTGCTTCAACTAAATCGTTGAGCGTGAAAAGATCTTCCTAAAATATTTACAAAAACAAGGACTTTTAATAGAGCCGTAAATTTGATAAATTTGAGTCGGCCCATCCATCACGGTTTCGGTTTTCCATTTCATTAATTGAACATTTTAAAAAGTTATCTTTTAGATTATTTTTCATCAAAATGATCTTATCTCTAAAACTACATTTAACCTTTAGGACTTAAACAGAATCCCTGACAGCCCCACGATACATGGTTGACAACTTCAAGTTTTGTCAGGTTTTAAAATCCATGTTAAAGAAAAAACTTTAAAAAGCATAAAATACGCTATATCTATGCTCTTAAAAGGCTTTGTTCAGTCATATCTGCAGGCCAAATGTGCAATCCTTGAGTGTATTCTGAAACACACCACCATAGGATTGAGAGTTTTAAGTTATGTTATTTTTTTTCAAATATAAATTTCTTGAAAAAAAGATAAATATATAAGAAACGACATAGCTCGAAAACAAAAAGGATTTGAGCAGTCATACTTGTTGCCGAAACGCACCCTTTAAAATCTCCTGAAAGCACTCCAGCATAAGTTTTAGAGTTTTAAGTTCTGTTAATTTTTTTAATCTAAAAGTTTTGAAAAAATCCTAAAAAACGCCATATCTCGAAAGCAAAAGAGTTTTGCGCGCTTAAGTTTAGAGGGCATAATTGCAACCCATAATGTTACTCTGAGAGCACCGCACCATAGGGTTGAAAATTTTCAGTTCTGTAAAAATTATTTAAATCTAATTTCTTTAAAAAATTTGTTTAAATCATAACACCGCCATATCTCGGAAACCTAAAGATTTGAGCAGTAATATTTGGAAGCCAGATTTGCAACCCCTGTACGCTACTAGCACATTACTATAGGGTTGAGAAAATTCAATTTTGTCAAAGAAAGATCGAAACGGAAAACTTTAAGTTTGCATTGCGAAAAAGGAAAAATGCTATAACGTTAACAGTTACTCTTCAACAGATGTAAAATTAAAATAAAAGGTGACCTTGGAAAATTAAAACGTTGAATTCAAAGAAACATATTAAAGGTTGCAAAATATTTCCTTATTACTAAACATTTCAACATAGGGATTTCAACATGTCAAGTGAAACGCCAACTAAATATGTATAAACAGATTGAAATCGGGAACTTTTTCTACGCAAAATCAGTTATCAGCAAAATCGTTTAATTTTTCAACACAAAATCAAAAACACACAACGCGTCTTACAAAGCCTAATGATATATGTTATTGAAGCAGTTACAGTGATGACTCAATCGATATTTAAAAACGTATATCATCAGATTAAACTATTATCAAATTAAACATATTATCAGATTAAACTGTGGAAGCCAAATTAAATCTGTTGTTGCCAAAATCGCATAGTTGATTAAATTATTTGTTCAACCATGTTTTTAATCTGAAAAACTTATGTTCCGATTTGATAAAGCGAGCTCGTATTTTGTGGTTTTAGATAAGAACTTAAATATTTTTCCGCCACGCTTTTACTTGAAAATAAAACCAAAATCTTAAAGAGCTGAATTTAGTTAGATTTATTTAAGATCTTTAAGATAAAATTATAATGAACTTTCAAACACATACGTTAAAGCGTATCCAGCATTAACGTCCATATCAATTAAAATAAAACGGATAGCGCGTATTTGAAGCATCATGAACATCTTAGTACAGCTTAAGGAAATTCTAAAATATGCGAGGCAGATTTCTTTTGCTATCGCAAAAAAAGAATACCGGGATTGACTGCCAACTAAAGAAACCCTCAGATCTATCTATTGAAAGATAATATTCTAATTTCAACAAACTTTGAAATATATTTAGCATATTCACTTTGCAATTACAATCAAGAAAAATGATAACCAAAGCTCTTGAGTCAGTTTTACTCACGACTATGTGGTCTGGGAACGTCCCACGTTTCGCCCCTAATAATTTCACACATTTCGTCCTCGCACGTTTCAACCCTAACTTATTACATAATTAATTAACGCCGCCTTCTTAATGTACATTTTAGGACACAGTTAATTAACGCCGCCTTAATGTATTTTATGAGGGGCGAAATGTATGAGGGCCGAAATGTGCCACTAGATTTAAGAGGGGCGAAACGTGTGAGGGTCGAAATGTATGAATACCGTGATCTGGTGGTTTAAAAGTTGAATCAAACAGCTGATCACTAGCATGTACAGACATCGGTTCGAGTCCGGTCACAGCTTAAATAACTTTTGCTTGAGTGATTTTCTCTCACCTTGACTGTGTATAGTTTATTGCATGAATGGAATGGCCATGATATCCTTTTTTCATGGTGGGAACTGAGGCGTCATTTTCGTATTGCTTTCTTTTTAACACGTACTTTCTGTTTGCTCCCACTGAAATCGACCTTCTCGAGGAACATTTCGTCAGCTGTGAAGAACTTTCAAGTGAGAAATTTGCTATTCCATACGAACTGTGCCGTCGGAGAAACAACGAAGACTTTGATGTTGATGTCATTTTATCAAAATGTTAATCGATTCATCTAAAAATAATATTAATTTATGAAATTCAGGTTCCGGGAAGCGATCATTACTTGCTTGGTTTAGAGTTGGACTAACAAGAAAAAAATTTAAATCATTTCTTCTCGACACTTAACAAGTGTTTTCGCTATTTTTCCACAGCGATCGAATCCCGACTAAAACGGCTTTATAATGACACTATTTGAAGCTTATTAGTCGTACATGCTTTTGTGCTGATGAAAGTATAGAAAAACTAAAATTCCCGAATACAAAACTCCTACCCTCTGCGTGGTTGGGACATCAAGTGTTGCCGGTTGGTGCGCACGTGGATTAGAAAAATGCGAACAAGCACATTTATTGATGCAAACAAACTGGGCTGTGGTATTTTGAACATTAAGAACTAATTTATTGAATTATTTGTTTTCGAAAGTTAGAAGACTTAATCGCGAAAGTTAAAATGGTCTAGGAAGCTTAAATTTCTCCGCCTGCGTTGCAAAAACGAATCGAGACTGCAGGGTTTAAATATTGCATAGAAATTTCCGATACCTGGATGGCTTTCGGGAAAAAGCTTTCGCTGGTCGGAACAAAAATGAAATCTATAAGGGGCTTAGCAAAAAAATCAAGGGGTAATTTCGAAGCAAAGGTTTTAAATTTCGTAGATTTTTCAGCAGCAAAGCAGCAAATTCAAATCGACTGGTTTCTTAAGCTCATATCCTGAAAGGAACATGCTCAGATGAAATTTCTCCCAGTTCAATCTCGCTTAAATTGCATATATTTGTATGTTTGCCGTGAGACATACTTCGTTAAATTTGAAAGTAGCTTTAAAATGCTCCATTCCCGAGTTTTTCAATGGCTTTGTGCGTTCACTAACTCTCAGAATGAAATTTGATTTATAATTATTATTCCGATCATTTGAAAAATGTGGAAGAACTTTGTATTCGGGTATTTTAGCTGATTTCTTTTTGTTTCAAGCCCTATCAGTCGTGATCCACATGACAATAAAATTTTTCAAAATTTTTTTTCCAGTGTCGAGAAAACCGGTTTGAAATTTCGAGCGAGTAAAGCGAGAGCAGCGAACATGCTTGTTTTTGCTTAACTTAGGCCGTTTACAATAGCTTATTTCTGTTTAGTTTCAATTTTACTCGTTTATTTAGATTTTGGAGTTTTAATAACGCCTTTTTGAAAATCACAAACTTTTGTAATCACTGCGGGATAACAAAAAAAAATGATTTTAAAAATTTTTTTTTGAATGATTTTTTTTGTTTCTCTTGTCATTTCTTTTCAAAAATTGTAGTCAAGTTTTCCTGTGTTATATTGACTGTCGAATATGCCTAAGTTGTATAAATAGCATTCAATATTTAAATAGCACTTTCAGAACCAGAAGTCGATCACGTTGAGTGTACACTTTTGTTCGATAGTGGAGTTTGCCTTCCTTTCAAAAAGAAAATGAACTGAACTTAAAAAGAAATCAACAGTCAAACCGCGAAAAATAAAATTTGAGCCTTAATAAATGAGTGTTTTAGCTGTCTTCTTTTTGTTTTCCAAGCAAAATCAGGTACCACAAAAAATTTTTTACACATAAGCGAAGCGAAGCTACGCGCCACTTGCGATATAACACAATTGAAAAAGAACGAGGTCAACCAAAATTTTTGTATGTTTTGATAAAAAACAACTAGGGGCCCAGCTAAATTTGGAGATAAGTGTTTGATATTAAATGAATTTGCTATACTGAAGCGAAAAAGGGATTTAAAAAATTCGACTTTGCCTTGAACCTTAGTTGTTTCTCTACTAAAATAAGTAAGAACAGTAAAAAAAATACTGAGATAAAAAATTTTCCCAAGGACATTGTAAGAGATAACATTTCTCTTACAAAAAATTAAGGTCTCGATGTTCCCATTGGAAAAATGATCGCAACCGGTTCTTTCAATTGAACTTTTCATCTCAGATTTGGTTGCAAAAATTTTAAGAAAACTCAAATTGAAAAAACGGTCAAAAGTTCTAAAAACAAAAAAATTCAAAAAACTTTAAAAAAACGAAAAGACTTTGCAAAATTCATAAATTTCTGAATTGAGGCAGATCATTTAGTCTTATCATTAGGACAACTCACTTGGTCTACCCATTAAAGTCTATTAAAGAGCAGGTTGTAACCGCTTCATCAGAGAAGATTCCCAACACCGAGTTTCTCGATTAAACACAACCTGAAAATTGGCAGGGTAGTTTTCGCGTAAAGTCAAGAAAATTCCAAAAAACGGTCAAAATTTCAAAACAATGACTTCTTTGAAGGCCATAACTTTTTTCAAAACAAACTGGGCACAGCCTAATATAAAGGTAGGCTTTCAACTACCTGTTGTTTAGATTAAACCTATGATATCTGATTTGGCAGGATAGTAAGCGAGAAAAGTTCAAAAAAGGTCAACAAATCAAAAATTTGATGTTTCCGAAAATCATAGCTTTTTGTGAAAAAACCGGAGGTAGCCGCTTATTCAGAAGGGATTCACGCAATCTTTAATTTTGATTCAAGCCAAAATCTCAGACTTGGTAGCGTAGTTCTCGAGTAAAGTAAAAGTTTTAACAGTACAAACGGTCAAAAACCAAAAATTTGATTGTCCGAGGGCCATAAATTGAAGTGTCAGAGAAAAACTTGGGCGTATTCATATTCGCACGAAAGTGCTTCCCACAACTCGTTTTTCGAATTGAACCCAAAATCTCAGATATGGCAGTGTAGTTTTCGAGAATATTCAAAAAATTTAAAAAACGGCCTTCTAATCAAAAATTCGACTTTTCGAGGTCGATAATTTTTGTTTAAAACAAATCTGTAAGTGGCGGCTAAGACAGGTAACCTTCCCGCTACCCATTATATCCATTGAACCAGCAATTTGAAAGACTAGATTTTGAGACAAGTCAAAAAGATTCACGAAACTGTAAAGAATCAAAATTTGACTTTTTCGAGGGCCATAAATTTAAGTGTAAAAAAATTGGGTGTAGCCGTTTATGCAGGGAAATTTGAAGAACCGTTCTTTTCAATGAAACCAAAAACTCAGATTTGAGATGGGTAGTTTTTGAGAAAACGAAAAAAAAATTGAAAATATGGGTCAAATATTCCCCCACAGACTTTTTCGAAGACTGTAGACAGAGGGGTTAAGTGAAGAGACTAAAGGGGAGTATGCAGGCACACCAAAGAGTAGGCGGTCTTTCATTCGAAATTAAAATTTTTCCAATATATTTAAAATTTTTGCAATATATATTTGGAAATAAGTTTCCATTGCAAAAAAAAATCAACAAACCGATTGGTAAACAAACAACCAATTACAGAAGTCCGGAGGGGAGTGTTATAATTTTTTTTACCTTTGAAACGACTCAAAATTAGATCATCAAGGCAATAAAAAATAGGCCAAAACAAATATTTAGCGAAAAAAAAACAAAGGAAATACGAAGTCAAGGTAAATAAAATTACATATTGTAGGAGTAGTTAAAAACATAAAAATCAACTTAAATGAACTGCATTCAAAAAAATAAAGATGTCGCAACTAAGCCGACAAAACTCAGGCAGACAAATCATAAGTCGACAATTTTTTTGAAACTGGATATTTCCAGATTGAAAAGAAAAAAGGGCTCTGCTCAGATTCAAACCCGGGACCTTTGCTGTCCCAGGCGTATTCGTTACCACCGGACTAAATGTACCGGAGATGCTTAGAAATTTGATTTCATCATGAACCAAGGTATCAAGTGATTCTGTTAAACAAGTTGATGACCCGAAAAAAAAACGTCTAACGTTGCAAACGAAAACGTAGAGTTTAAGAATACATATTTTTCATTAAGTCGACTTTAATATGTAGGGCGAGGTTAAACGGAGCTTCACACGACTCGTGAAGCAACAAAACATTTAAAAAACGTCGAAAATGAAAAAAAATATATGGCCACAATATTTGAGCAGACATAAGTTGATCCGAAAAAAAATCTGATTATATAGTAAAACCTTCAAGTTTTAAGTACCACCTGAAACTGCAATGAAGAACATTTGCAATTAAAACTACAAGAAAATTTTTTTATAGCATTAGTAAAATCTGTAATTTAGCAACTAAGCCGACCATCTTCGAGCAGACAAACTTAAGTCCGACAATTAATTTCAATAGAAAATATTTTTGAATTGCATACAAACTGACAAAACCAAGGTCCAGCCCAGACGCGAACCCCAGACCTTAGCAAGCAAAAGCGATCGCGTTACCCATAGGCCGACTAGGAAGGAACCTTTTAGATGTTAGGGTTCAAATTTTACAAAAAGATTTGTAAAAATAACAGAGTGAAGAAGAGAATGATTTGAGCCGAAAACTGTTGTCATAAATTCAATTTACTAATTAGGCTTTTAGCCTAATTGTTGTGATAAACTTATTAAATAGTTTGAGATGGGTATGTGCTGGTGATCACCTGGCTCGACCTTGCACACTTCCTGACCTGCCCGAAGTGGACCACTGGTCTTCAGGTAGCGTGCCATCCGCGATCTGGTCTGGAACCCGCACTGGAATTCTGGTCTCCTGGTGTGGAACCCGTAGCCCGATCTTGACTCTGGCTCTCCCCTTCTGCCTTCGTTATCTCTACGTCTGGGTGAGACCCCTCCTACGTTAGGCATGCAATTGTTTGCCTCTTTCTTCTCGACCGTGTTTCTGGTTTTAGCTTTCAACCGTGTGCAGAACGGTCACACCCCTGTTGGATCTACTCACATGCTGCTGCTGGCTCGCGAGAAACCTGATCCACAATCACGACAAGAACTGCGGTCACGCAAGTTTAAACTCAACTCAAAGCTGTCGTTTTATAACATTTCTATGCTCCTTCTTTTATGCGCTGGTGATATTGAGAGTAATCCTGGCCCGGCTGTCGACCCTACTCAGTTGTTCAGATTTGTTAACGCCGCGGAGATCTTAGTCGGGTCGTCTGTGGCCATCTCGGACCTAACCTCCGGTATCTATGATGCTTCTATCCTCAAAGTTGACAACGATCGCTTCTTTGCTCACTTTCGTGGTTGGAATAAAAGCTATGACTCCTGGGTCAACCTTGATCAAATTTTCCGGCTCCCTGATGGTTATGTTCCGATAGGCCGGAATTCTCGCGGTCCTATTTGCCTTCTCGCGCCTCCTGTCTCCAGTCCTATCTCTGTCGCTTTAACGAGTTCTCCTTCTCGGGATGCTCCTGTTAGCTCTGGCCTCTCTCAAGGGATGTCAAGTATGACGATCTCGGCTGAGCTCGCCGAAAGCGCTGTGCCGGATCTTTCTGACGTCATGTCTTCCAGAGTTGACACTGTCCGGTTCGTTCCGATTTCTCTTCGTAACGAGTGGTCTGAGGTTGTTGGTCACGCCCTTGACAACTGCGCCACCGCTCCGGACAAACTGAAAAACTGGATTCGGTTGCTCATGCTCCCCAAATGTATCTTGAAAGCCCCTCGCCGCGGAGGCAAGTCTCACGCCACTAATAACTGCAGAGACATTCGCCAAAGAATCAAGTCCTGGAAGGAGGGCAATACTCGGACCTCTGGTCTAACGCTACCAAAGGAACTAAAGAGCGAACGAAGAAAAACAGCAAACCTTCTCCTGACTTTAATGTCCGCAGAGCCAAAGAGCTAGCAGGCCTCGGTCAGTTCGGCAGAGCAGCTAAAGCCCTGTGTTCCGATGGCCTCGTGTCCAAAAGTGACGAGTCGCTTAAGGACCTTCGCAGTCTTCATCCTTCCGCTGACCCTCCTGTCTTTTCTGGCCGGGATGAATCCCCTCTTGCCTACCAATTCGAATCTGAGTTCGTTCATAAGTCTCTCAAAAGTTTCCCGAGCGGCACTGCTGCCGGTCCTTCGCGCTGGTTTCCTGAGCACTTTGTTCACGCCGTTGAGTGCCCCACTCCTCAGACTGCTGCCAGAACGTTAGAGTCTCTCAACAGGGTTGTTAATATCCTCGCTGCCGGGCAAGCCCCTTCTAGTCTCTCTCCGTGGCTGTGCAGTGCGAATCTCTTTGCCACCGCTAAACCCAAGGGTGGTGTCCGGCCTATTGCGGTCGGCGAAGTGCTCCGAAGGCTCACTGCTAAATGCCTTGCTAAAGCCGCCAACGCTGAAGCTCGTGATTTTCTGTGTCCTCACCAGCTTGGAGTCGCTACCAGCGGTGGCTCGGAAGCCATCGTCCACGCTACTAAAATGACAGTCAAAAAGTGCTCGGAACATGGTCACCAAGGCGTCTTAACAGTGGATTTTGAGAACGCTTTCAACACGCTAGACCGCACCGAGATCCTCCTTCAAGTTCGCAACCGTCTTCCCGGTCTCTCCGCCTTTGTTGAGTTTACCTACGGTCACCACAGTCATCTGCTGTTCGAGGATGTCATTCTCAACAGCGAGAAAGGAGTTCAACAGGGGGATCCGCTAGGGCCTCTCATTTTTGCGGTCACCCTGCACTCTCTAGTCGAATCTCTCAAGTCGGAAGTCCCCGGTCTCACCCTCAACTGCTGGTACCTTGATGATGGGATTTGTGCCGGCGACGAAGACTCCTTGCTCAAGGCTCTCGAACTCATCACTTCCAACGGCTTGCATCTCGGCCTCAAAGTCAAGCACAGTAAGTGTGAGTTGTGGGCCCCTGTGGAGTTCTCCTCCATCCCCGTCTCTATCCCGAGAGCAGCGTCTAATGGCTTCGAGCTTCTTGGCGCCCCCATTGGTGATACTGAGTTCTCAGTTAAAGTCCTGGACAAACGCATCTCGAAGGCCACCAAATGTCTTGAAAAGTTACCTCTTCTTGATGACCCCCAGCTCTCACATGGCATCACTCGCACTTGCCTTGCTGCTCCCAAGCTGACGTACTCTCTTCGCACTCAGCCGCCCTCTCAGCCTGTCGCAGCTTCCCTGCAAGTTTTTGATGAACTCCTCCGCGATGCTCTTTCTGTCATAGTTGGCTCACCTGTTCCTGATCTTGCCTGGTCCCAGTCTTCCCTGCTTATCAAAGATGGCGGACTTGGCGTCCGGCAAGCTCGCGACCAACACATCCCTGCCTTCCTAGGGTCTTCGTGTCAGTCAGCTCATTTGGTCTCGTTTCTTACCGAATGCGACATCACTGATACGCCGGAGTTCCTGCGTGCCTCGAACGAATTCCGTGAACAGTCTGGAAGCGTTAACACTCCCGGTTTTACTCAAGAAGCTTTCCAAGAGAAACTCGATAAGGCCACCTACAACGCTTTCTTCTCGTCTCTTCCCGATTCCCGCGAGCAAGCTCGTCTTCAGTCGCTCTCTCTGCCTTACGCCGGCGCTTGGCTTACTGCAGTCCCCATTAAAGGTCTTGGCCTGCACCTGCTACCTGCTGAGTTCCAAGCTGCTGTCAGATACCGCCTTGGTCTTCCTGTGTTCGCGTCTGCTCGTAGGTGCCCCGCGTGTCCGTCTGGCACTCTGGACGCCCTCGGGGACCACGCTGTCGCTTGTGGGGGGAGTGGTGGCCGGATCTCCCGTCACGACAGACTACGGGACATTATTTTCAATGCTACCTCGGCTGCCTCTTTAGCCCCCATCAAGGAGCAACGGAACCTCATCCCTGGAGAACGGTCCAAACCCGGCGATATTTTTATCCCTACTTGGAGCGCTGGTCGCCCAGCTGCTTTCGACGTCACCGTGACATCCCCGCTGCAGTTATCTCTTCTCTCTCGTGCGGCGGAGACCCCCGGGGCGTCCCTGGAAGTTGCTGAGGACCGCAAATTTTCGAAACACGAGAAAAACTGTGAGGAACAAGGAATCAGTTTTTTCCCGTTAGCAGTCGAAACGCTCGGGGGTTGGTCCGCTTTAGCTATCAAAACCCTCAAGTCAGTTGCTATCCTCGCTGATGCCAGACGTTCTGGTTCACGTGACGCTCGTGTTGCCCCAGTTCGCCTTCTCCAGAGCCTCTCAGTGTGCCTCATGAGAGGAAACGCCACTATGATTGTCAGCCGGGCCATCTAGTCTTGTGCAGTTTATTACGTTTTTTGCATTCCCAATTCTGGTGCTCCTTTGTTCCTTTGCTGTTAGCGCAAATTAGTTTTAGTTTTCTATGTTAAATTTGAAAGTTTTTCAAGATAAAAATTAATCAGATTTGCATTTAGAAAGTGACAATCAGTAAAATCGATATTCCCTATTTACCATTGCTACTAAAATTGACCATTCTGTGGAAAAAATTATTTACGGGAAAGTAGTCTAGTACCCAATTGCAATACCATTGCTTATTGCAAGGGTAAAAAGAGATACTTCAAGACTCGAACAAAGCATTTCAAAATGCCGATGTTAGTAAACATTTCTTAGCAATGAATTGGCCTTTTTTAACATGTTAACAGAGGGGCTTCTCAAACATGTGGCAATTGAAACGCCAATTCAATTGTGTGTATATTTTTTATGAACTTAGAGAGCTTCAGGGGCGGATTTAAGGGGGGACGCAAAATATTCAAATTTTGAAGGGGAGAGCCCGCCGAAAAAACGCAATTTTTTTGGGCAAAACTGTCAAAAAGGTGCCTAAAAACGCCTTTTTTGGACTGCCTTTTCAGCAATTCGTCTGGCGAGCTTTCGAAAAGTTTTGGGAAGATCCCCCCCCCCCGAGAAAATGCTAGATATGCGCCTGGAGAGTTTGGTTTAAGTGTGAAGATAAACTGAAGACAAAATAAGACGCTACGCCAATTTAATCTCAATAAACACATAATTTTCCATATACTTTATAGTTGAAAATTTCATCCAATTCAATCAATAACTTAAGCTAAATCGTCAATTTTACTGAGCGGTTCCCATAGATAGTCCAGTTCTTGTAGCAACGCCCCTTTACTATCTTCAACTTCAACTTTTCGCCTTTTGATCTGCTTTCCAGCATCTTCGTTCAAACTAGCCAAATACGATTCAGCTATAGACGCAGTTTGCATTGAACTAGTCGCACTGTTTTCTTCGTTGATAACTGAATTTGCAACTGCAGTTTTGAATTTCTGGATACTCATGATCCGCTCCTCGATGCTGTCTTTCGTGATTAGTCGGTACACTGTGACAGTTTTGGTTTGCCCGATTCTGTGGGTACGATCCATCGCCTGAAATCATCGCAATGAGTCAGATTATACGTAAACTAAATTTCAAGTTTTTTGTGCTTTGCATATTAATCATTCAAGCTTGTTGACAAAGTGAATCGTGAAAACATATATACAATGTTTTTTAATCAAAACAGTAAGCTTTTTTTAGGTCAAAACATTTAAAAAAAAAACTATTTCAGAGGAGCACTTGCTTTCGATCAGATTGCAAACTTTATTAAAAAGAACGAAAAAAATAACCCCCTTCTATAAAAATAAACCTCATCTTTAAGTCAAAGCCACTCCTTGGTCATTTGCCAACCTGTAAATCCTTCACAGGATTGAAGTCATGCTCTACAAAGACAACGGTATCTGCTCCTGTCAAATTCAAGCCCACCCCTCCCACTGCAGTAGTTGAAAGAAGGAGGTCAAATGTCGGGTCACCGTTGAACTTCTTCACCACGCCCATTCTCTCAGCTGGCGTCAAGCTTCCGTCCAGAATCAACAAGTTCAAAAACTTGAACTCTTTCTCCAAAACTTTCTCTCTAACTAATTTCATAGTGGCTTTGATTTGAAAAAACATAAGGACTCTATGTCGATTGAATCTTTCGTTCGAAAATATACTCGACAATAACTCGGAAAGTGCTTCCATTTTTCCTGAAGCTATGTTATAGCGCGGGTTCAATAGTGTGGGATCATTGCAGATTTGAAGTAAAATTTGCATTAGTTTTAATGAAGAAGTCTTTTCGGAACAGGTTGTTTTGAATTTATTTTCCGTTTTCTCGTATAGATCTTTTTGCTGTTGACTCATTGTGCAATAGATATCTTGAATGACTTTAGGCGGAAGTTCTTTGAGAACCGATTCTTTCTCTCTTCGTAAAATTAAAGGCAGCACTTTCGCGTGTAACTGTTTCAAAGCTTGCGAATTACGTTCCAAAGTTTTACTCGACTTGTTCAATGTCTCTTCATTTTTGTTCAAATTTTTCGAAAAATAAGATTTGAAGTGCTCAATTGAGCCCAAATATGAGGGTACCAAAAACTCGAACAACGTCCATAATTCACAGAGGCTGTTTTGAATTGGGGTTCCTGTAAGAACTAACCTATGTTTTCCTCTTAGCCTCTGAATGGCTAAAAAAGTTTTGCTCAGTCTATTTTTTATCACGTGACCCTCGTCGAGTATTATGTAATCGTATTCGTGACTGGAAAATTGTTCAATATCTGATCGCAGTATATCGTATGAAGTTATTCGAACAATATACGAACAGGACTGTTCTGTATTTGAAATCGATTTCCGTTTATCAATGCAGTCTATAATTAATTTTGGACAAAACTTTTGAATTTCGTGGTTCCAATGGTGGATCAAACTTTTTGGACACACAACAAGACTACATATAGGTTTTCTTTTTTCGATCACCTGATTTTTGTTATACATGACGTGACTAACTTTTTCGGTCACAAGATTTTTGCTTTTGACCACGTGATTTTCCATTTGTTCTGCTAGGACGCAGATGCACATAAGAGTCTTTCCTAATCCAAGGTCATCGGCTAGAATTCCGTTCAGGTTGTAATTTCTGAGAAACTGCAGCCAAGAAACGCCTTCCTTCTGGTACGAGCGAAGATTAACTGTGATCGATTTGGATATTTTTGGAGTCGCGAATGCCTACAAACAATCAAAAAGGTGAAAAAACATCGAATATTTGTCAATTCTATTTCTATCAGAGCCTTGGATTGCACAGTCCAAGGCTCATTAGAACCCATTCTGAAAAATTTCGTACTCCTTAGCTAGCTCTTAATAGTGAGAGAACTACAACAAGAAAAGTATCGACATCTAAATTCAAGTCCCCTTTTAGAGCTGAAAATAACGACATGCCTCAACGCGATGACTCGTAGTTTTCTCTAATCTGAGCAAAGACAATAATCTTATGCAACTATGCGTTATTTCAAGTAAAAACCGGAAAATCTAAGCTCACCTTGGGAGCTATGGAATCTTACCTTAACGATGTGATTGCCGATATTGAATGAAAATAGTGGACGATATGGCGGAAAAAAGGATCTAGCACTTCTGACTACAAGAAGAAAAGCACAAAGCAACTGTGACACAGAGGCAAAAATGACTTGCGATACAAAAATGAATGACTGTGATTAAAATCAAAAGAAAAAGCAAAAAAGACCCCGAACAAAATTACCAGCACCATTAGAAATTTTACACGGAGCTTTCGGGACGCTAAAAAAATTAAAGTAAAATTTTCCAAAAAGTTAATCTGCAGAAACTAAGCCGGCAAAAATAAGCAGACAGACAAAACTCTAAAAGAGCCAAAATTTTTCGGCTTGGAATCGAACTCCCGAGCTTTGTTGACAAGCATGGGTGTTAAATCAACTTAGAAGAAAGCTGAACCTTCAATAAATAGGGCTACGGGAATTAAGCTGACAAAAGTAAGCAGATGGACGATAGTCCGGAAAAGCACAAAAAGCACGAAGTTTGTAAAAAAAAACTGGTCCCGGTCAAATTGGAACGCAAGCCTTTGCCGTCTCAAGCAGGTGTGTTATCTCTGCGCCACCTGCGCCAGTTTGATTGTTTGAATTGATATATTTATAATAAAGGGAGTATATGTGTGAGTCCAGGATCCAGGATGTAAGTCCTGTGAACATAGTTATTAACGGGAAAAAAAGTCTAGCGTTCGATTGCAATACCCTTGCTTATCGCAAGGGTAATGATGATAATCAATTCATATCTGTGGGGGAAATAGCAAAATACCGTGTGATTAACTATCTTTTTCCTGGGTTTCGACTCAGCCCTAAGCAAGGAACACGGAATGTTCTGGTCCTCCAACTACTAGCCTCTCGATTAAAACGCAACTCCTCTGTTCTACTCAACAGTTTTTACGTCAAATTGCGCATTAAAACTTGAACTCTTTCAGATTCGGAAAGAAAGAATTTATTTCTCCATAATTGTAAATATATTTCAATTTATAACATCAATCAAAATAAACACATACACAAAATGAAGAAGTTAGATAACAGACAAGCATTTCTAATGAGAATCTAACCATGTTTGGTTTATAAACAATAAATAAACTATCAATAAGAGGAAAATTTTTTTTCTTTGTTATCTATATTAACTTTTCCTAATTTAGCAAAAAACAAAAACAATGAACTATCTATTGTTCTTAATGTGCAGTTAGAAATACTGTACACAATTTGAGAATATTATTCATAATTTCAAAAAACTACAATTTTGAAAAAAAAATCGCGATTTCTCGAAAACTACCGAGAGTTGGAACGTCATGTTTCGCGCCCAAACTTCGAAGTTTAAACCATGGCCTGGTACAAATTCAATAAGTGTACGAGAAAAGAAAGTTTGCAAACCTGATTGTTGATCAGCTTAGATAGAAACTCTGAACTTTCTTCATACGCTCGAAGCATCAATTCAGACCCCATTATTGCACGGCTAAAAATTCCTTTATCGACCGTATGTGAACTTTCACAGTCGACCACATTAACAGCTTTGTGCAAAATTAGTCCAAAAATCCTCGATGCCAGACATCTAACTTGGTTATCGTAACTCGTGATCGACTTCAAAACGGGCGCGACAAAGGATACAATCAAACGAGAATAGTCAAAAATTGTGCCGGCACTGCTCTGATTACTTCGGCGATTGATTTCCAGGACTGCCATATAAATTACCAGCATGTCAAAATAATTTCGACTTCTATCATGTTTATTTTCATCCAAAAGCGACATAAATATTATATCTGCACCTTGTCTCCCAGTTTGGGGATTCAACAATGCGTATACCATAACTTGGCTCCTGAGAAGGGTTAAATCTAAATGGACTTCTTTGTTGCTTAAATATTCTAAGGAGATAATTTTGCTGAGCACTGTTTCGACGAAACTTTCTTCAAGATTTTCGTCAGAAAACTCAAGCAAAGAGGAAACGTTAATCAACGCATCAATACGCATTTGCACATTGTTTGATTGATTTAAAGTGTCCAAGATAAATTTTTGAGTTCGAGTCAATGCACACGAAGCTACCAGGATCTTGATGACCATTTGAAGGTGAATTTTCTGAGACTCATTGAGAAAATTTACAAAATTCTCGATTATCTGAATTTTTTGTTGATTTTGGTCACCACTTTTTCCGAAGTCTTCTAAATATTCTGAGACCTTTTCTCGCTGAATTTCCGAAATAAAGCGAAGCAAAACTTCGCATAACTTTTCGGTTGCCTTCTCCGAAAGTCGATTTGAATTGAGAAGTGAAATCAAATATTTCGAAGCCAGCGAAGTTTGAGATAAATTAGCTCCCGATTTCAAACCAGCTATCAGTGCATTGACCAGTGGTGATAATTTCTCCGGTAGAGATTCTAATTTAATCAGAACGCATGCGGCAAGAAGCCTCAAGTTAGTCCAGAAAGATTCACACATTTCGTTAAAAACATTCAACTCCGATCTTACATCTTGTAGTAAATCATCTTCCTCAGACTTGTTGCCTTTGAAGCTTTTCAAGAAGAGTGAAATTTCATCAATACTTTTTAGCTTTTCAAAATTCGCGGAGTCTTTAGACAACTTTTTGAGCTTCGTCTTGATACTCGAAAAGAACGACAGCTGTTCTTGGAAATAAAATTTTTCGCAACATAAGTAATTTTCGACCTCTGAACAAATACTTGTCATATCACTTTGGGAAAATTTTACCCAGCTGTCATTTGCAATATTTAGTGCTTCGAGTCCAATTCTGACATTCAAAAACGCAATCCATCCATTCGTTTTTGAAAGAAAGGTCGGAACTATCTGAGCAAAGTCCGGCTGAACTGAAATGAGCATAGCTAAAATCCGAATAATTTGGTCATGAATTTTATTGTTTATTTTATTACATTCGTTCGGCACTTCTATAACAGCTTTTTGTAATTTATATTCACAGATTTTTGAATCTATTTCAATAATTGAAGTTGGCTTCAGTAACAAAATTTCAAGTAAATTTTGACAAACTTTCCCGATTTTCAAATAAATTTTCTTATTGTACTGATATACGAAGCTGTTTAAAGCAAATTCAACAAATCTTCTAATTTCATTAATAATTTCCGAGTTTTCGAATAGTTTCAAGCACAATAAAGCGCATAGGTAACAATCGGCAACAAAATTGCTTTCTATACTCCGAATAATTTGCAGACAGTCGATTACTTTTTGACTACTTTCAATATTTTCTGACAATGAAGTCAAATTGAAAATGGTCGACCAGCAACAATTTTTCACCAAATTTACCTCTAAGTCAATTTTGAGAGGATTTTTTGCCGTAAGAAGTGAGTGCACCAGTTTTAAAGTGGTTGGATTTGCAAAACTGGTAGATTCTGGTTTGGAACTTCTGGTAAGTTTTCCCATTACGAACGAAAACAGATCTTGTTTCCTTGAATGGTCTATATGTTCCATAACATTCAGAAACAATTCATCTTGTAATCTAGATATATCTGAATCGATTTCATCGTCAAACCGGTCATTTCTGATGATACCTTCAACAACTTGATTCCATTTATTTTTTGATTCATATCCATGAACCGCGTTTTTATGTTTCACTTCTGTGCAAAACATAGCTTTAAGTAAAAGATACGAGTTCATTTGTAATCTCCAAGTCCTGCCATTCAGCATTTTTTTCGCCAGTTCGAAACATCGTCCAGTTATTGACAGTTTGAAAACTAGTTCTGAAAAGACGTCGGCTAACAGTTCTCGAACTGGTATTGAAGTTTCCTCGCTCACGAAATCACAGAAGTTATCAAGTAGAAAAACTTCTGCAATAAAGTTCAAAACAAACATGGTTTTCGGTTTATTGCGCCAATCGCTCATCGGAACTATTAAATGTTTGAGACCTAATGCTGCTCCGTGTCTTCTTTCCCATGTCGATGACTTAAGAGCGTTCAAAACTGTCGCAGTTGTTTTTAAAAGAAACGACGCCACAGAACTTTCACAACCAATTGCTTCACTTCTCGTCTCTATTTCTTCTACAGAAAAAGTCGGCCAGGCGATTTGAACTTTTAGTTGACTCGAAAAACTTGGTTCCGATTTTAGGCTTCTTTCTGTTGTGAGCAATTTGGAATCTTCTAGAATCTGACTTGTAATCAATGAAGGAAGCTTGGAATCTTGATTTGTACTTCCAAATATATCGCCTATTTCAGTAGGTACGTCCTAAAGCCATGAAAAACTATTAATCATGAAAAAAAAACTTCGATCGCTACAGTTTTCTGAAGTTCCAAAAATTGTTAAATAATATCAACAAGTTTCCGATTGCTGTGCAAAAACACAGAAGTGCGCGGGCTCAATTATTCAAAAATATATTTAAAAAAAAACATTCTCAATTTTTTCAAATTCGGGCCATTTTTTGTGCGCGGTCTTTTTTTAAATTCTTTTTAATTCAAGCCGGTTAATCTCGACGCTGAGAAAACTAGACAATTCTTCAATGTCGCTCGGATCACGACAGAAAGGGCTCTATAATGATATATCACTCGATTAATTCTGATGATTATTTGTGGAACCTGATGTTACGTGAAGTAGAAAAAAAACACAAAACTATATCACGCAGAGACAAAGATCTTTCCAAACTTCAGAAGTAGCAGCAGAAAAACACAATTTGTATTTCGAAAACATTATCAAAATGATCGTGAATGATCGTAGTAAGAATTGTTTACTTACTAGGGAATCATAGACAGTAGTCTCTTTCGATTGCAACTCTTCATACGTATCCACAAACAACGAAGGTTCATCAAAAACAGAACAGCGTTCAAATGTTGAGCCTGTGCTCACAAGAAATTGTGAGTTTTCCAAGCTGAAGAAAAAATTGGTTTTATACTTTTCGGAGAAACTTTTCAGAACCGATGCACAGCATATTCGGCAATTGTTATTCCGAGAATCCAAAAGCTGTGTGCAAATTTGTTCCAATATACTGGGTACGCTATCTTCAGATTGAAGCAGAACTTCGGTGATTCGATCTGCAGCATCTCTTTTCAAAGAAAGCGAAGTTTTATCGCTAGACAACAGGTTCAGCGCCCTTTCTAAGCGTGAACTCATGTTTTCAAAACAGTCTGAAAACGTTTAGCACGTTATGCAACTTAAAACCAATTATTAAGTTACTTAAAGGGTGAAACTAGACTACTAGTTTAAAATAATTAATTATATGGGGGCGCTAGTTGTTTCATTCCGCGATCTCAACAACCAGTCAGTGGTCGTTTTGGTGTCAGAACAAAAAATATCATAACAAAACTTGCGCACGACAAAGATACCATGCCAAAAGATCGCATGTAACCGCTGCTTTGACCGTCTTCCAAAGCAGCGGTAAGTCTTTCCCTTTTGTAGTCGCCATACACGACATCCTTTCGTAAACTGCTTAATCTAAGTGAGGTGGCCAGTCATTGAGCAGAATAGTCTCCGAGCAGAAAGGTTCTAAGAGCGGAAAAACTTACAAACATGCAAAATTTATACGGGCAAATCAATGAAACAATTGTTAGAATCGTCCTTACTGCCATGGAAAAGAAGCTAGCACACAGGAAAGGAAATGACAGTCAATTTTTTGTCGCGTTAACAACTTGTGTGACAGAATCACTTGGTATCTTGGTTCATAATCAATTCAAAATGTTAAGCTTCTCGGCAACACTTAGTCTGGAGGTAACGAACACGCCTGGGTCAACAAGATCCTGAGTTCGAATATGCACAGGACTTGTTTTTTTTTGTTTCAAACGGTAAATATTATTCGTCTCCTTATGTTTTGTCAGCTCAGTTGACAAATCTTAGATTTTCTGCTGTATGCAGTTTTCATAGTAGTTGCTTTTTATGTTTTCATTTAATTCTGCAATTTGTAATTCTACTGGCCTTGACATCGTATATCTTCCTTTTCTTGTTTTTTCCTCAAATTTTTTTGGGCGTAAATGATTCCAGCTTAGTTTTATCGGCTTACTAACGTAATTTTGGGTCGTTCGAGAGAACCATTATTTGTATGCTTTCCTCCGGATTGCATAAAACGTTAAAAATCTCAGAATAGAATTTATAGTTCAAAGTTTTTCGTGACAACAATTTCACTTTTGCTCGACGCTTGTTTTTGAAATTTCATTAAACGCCGTTGAATGTGTTTCTGCACGTGTGTTTTGCAAATAGAACGTTCCTGATAACATTTTGAAGTTTTTTAATGTTTTTTTTTTTACTCGGTGGCTGTCATTTCCTTTCCAGTCTGCTAGCTTGCAATGCCATTTTTGTGGTATCGCAAGTGATGCGAAGCTCTGCTTCGCCTCTGTGTTTAATATAATTTATTCATTTCCTTGGTAGTAATGACGATTCTAACAATTTTTTTATTGATTTGCCCGTACAAATTAGCATGCTTGTAAGTTTTTCCGCTCTTAAACCCATTCTGCTCTGACGATTCCGCTCATTGACTGACCACTTTACGTAGAATTAGCAGTTTACGAAAGGATGTCGTGTATGGCTGCTAAAGGAAAAAACTTATGGGGGAGGGTCAAAGCTGCTGTTACATGCGATCTTGATACCAATATACCAAGTGATTCTGTCACATAAGTTGTTAACGCGACAAAAAAGTCTATATTCGGTTTCATAACGTTTGCTAATCGTAAGCGTAATTTCATCACATTTTTCTAGAATAAACTTTTAAAAAATGTTAATCAAAATACTCAGTTCATGCTTAATCTATTCCTTTACATCTGTGTATATTGACGATGCGTTTGTTTTACCGATCTGTTTTTCTGCCTTTTGGACTTTTTCTGCTCTTACACTATTCTCCGCCCCCTCTGAACATGAACAAGTACCAAAAAAGCTTACCGAAAACAAAAATTTTACCCTAAATTATTTCACGATTATTTAATGCGCCGTCTGAGCGATTATTTAATGCGACCCCAAAACTTCTCCAAAAAACCTTTGGCGCCAATATATGGAGTATATCAAAGGAATATATAAAAGTGCTGTAAGTTGAAAATGTTTTTGGAAATGGAAACAATTTAGTAGTATATATAAATTTCGAGGGCGGAGCTCTATCCCTTAAAAAATCAATTTCTGGTCACAGTCTTCCAAAAAGTACAAAGAAAGCAATCAGTTTAATGGGCCAAAAAACGGACGACAAAATTGTCCCTGTTTGAAGTCGTTACTTTAACGGATTACCCTTTCGATTTATTTTTACTATTGGAAACGTTTAAGACAACGATCGCTCTCGATTCTCACACCTTCCTAGTGGTTACGCAGCGACCCAAAAGAAGCAAGTCATAGTTCAACATTTCAAATAATCAAAATGTTCAAAATCTATTTCAATAATTGAAGTTGGCTTCAGTAACAAAATTTCAAGTAAATTTTGACAAACTTTCCCGATTTTCAAATAAATTTTCTTATTGTACTGATATACGAAGCTGTTTAAAGCAAATTCAACAAATCTTCTAATTTCATTAATAATTTCCGAGTTTTCGAATAGTTTCAAGCACAATAAAGCGCATAGGTAACAATCGGCAACAAAATTGCTTTCTATACTCCGAATAATTTGCAGACAGTCGATTACTTTTTGACTACTTTCAATATTTTCTGACAATGAAGTCAAATTGAAAATGGTCGACCAGCAACAATTTTTCACCAAATTTACCTCTAAGTCAATTTTGAGAGGATTTTTTGCCGTAAGAAGTGAGTGCACCAGTTTTAAAGTGGTTGGATTTGCAAAACTGGTAGATTCTGGTTTGGAACTTCTGGTAAGTTTTCCCATTACGAACGAAAACAGATCTTGTTTCCTTGAATGGTCTATATGTTCCATAACATTCAGAAACAATTCATCTTGTAATCTAGATATATCTGAATCGATTTCATCGTCAAACCGGTCATTTCTGATGATACCTTCAACAACTTGATTCCATTTATTTTTTGATTCATATCCATGAACCGCGTTTTTATGTTTCACTTCTGTGCAAAACATAGCTTTAAGTAAAAGATACGAGTTCATTTGTAATCTCCAAGTCCTGCCATTCAGCATTTTTTTCGCCAGTTCGAAACATCGTCCAGTTATTGACAGTTTGAAAACTAGTTCTGAAAAGACGTCGGCTAACAGTTCTCGAACTGGTATTGAAGTTTCCTCGCTCACGAAATCACAGAAGTTATCAAGTAGAAAAACTTCTGCAATAAAGTTCAAAACAAACATGGTTTTCGGTTTATTGCGCCAATCGCTCATCGGAACTATTAAATGTTTGAGACCTAATGCTGCTCCGTGTCTTCTTTCCCATGTCGATGACTTAAGAGCGTTCAAAACTGTCGCAGTTGTTTTTAAAAGAAACGACGCCACAGAACTTTCACAACCAATTGCTTCACTTCTCGTCTCTATTTCTTCTACAGAAAAAGTCGGCCAGGCGATTTGAACTTTTAGTTGACTCGAAAAACTTGGTTCCGATTTTAGGCTTCTTTCTGTTGTGAGCAATTTGGAATCTTCTAGAATCTGACTTGTAATCAATGAAGGAAGCTTGGAATCTTGATTTGTACTTCCAAATATATCGCCTATTTCAGTAGGTACGTCCTAAAGCCATGAAAAACTATTAATCATGAAAAAAAAACTTCGATCGCTACAGTTTTCTGAAGTTCCAAAAATTGTTAAATAATATCAACAAGTTTCCGATTGCTGTGCAAAAACACAGAAGTGCGCGGGCTCAATTATTCAAAAATATATTTAAAAAAAAACATTCTCAATTTTTTCAAATTCGGGCCATTTTTTGTGCGCGGTCTTTTTTTAAATTCTTTTTAATTCAAGCCGGTTAATCTCGACGCTGAGAAAACTAGACAATTCTTCAATGTCGCTCGGATCACGACAGAAAGGGCTCTATAATGATATATCACTCGATTAATTCTGATGATTATTTGTGGAACCTGATGTTACGTGAAGTAGAAAAAAAAACACAAAACTATATCACGCAGAGACAAAGATCTTTCCAAACTTCAGAAGTAGCAGCAGAAAAACACAATTTGTATTTCGAAAACATTATCAAAATGATCGTGAATGATCGTAGTAAGAATTGTTTACTTACTAGGGAATCATAGACAGTAGTCTCTTTCGATTGCAACTCTTCATACGTATCCACAAACAACGAAGGTTCATCAAAAACAGAACAGCGTTCAAATGTTGAGCCTGTGCTCACAAGAAATTGTGAGTTTTCCAAGCTGAAGAAAAAATTGGTTTTATACTTTTCGGAGAAACTTTTCAGAACCGATGCACAGCATATTCGGCAATTGTTATTCCGAGAATCCAAAAGCTGTGTGCAAATTTGTTCCAATATACTGGGTACGCTATCTTCAGATTGAAGCAGAACTTCGGTGATTCGATCTGCAGCATCTCTTTTCAAAGAAAGCGAAGTTTTATCGCTAGACAACAGGTTCAGCGCCCTTTCTAAGCGTGAACTCATGTTTTCAAAACAGTCTGAAAACGTTTAGCACGTTATGCAACTTAAAACCAATTATTAAGTTACTTAAAGGGTGAAACTAGACTACTAGTTTAAAATAATTAATTATATGGGGGCGCTAGTTGTTTCATTCCGCGATCTCAACAACCAGTCAGTGGTCGTTTTGGTGTCAGAACAAAAAATATCATAACAAAACTTGCGCACGACAAAGATACCATGCCAAAAGATCGCATGTAACCGCTGCTTTGACCGTCTTCCAAAGCAGCGGTAAGTCTTTCCCTTTTGTAGTCGCCATACACGACATCCTTTCGTAAACTGCTTAATCTAAGTGAGGTGGCCAGTCAATGAGCAGAATAGTCTCCGAGCAGAAAGGTTCTAAGAGCGGAAAAACTTACAAACATGCAAAATTTATACGGGCAAATCAATGAAACAATTGTTAGAATCGTCCTTACTGCCATGGAAAAGAAGCTAGCACACAGGAAAGGAAATGACAGTCAATTTTTTGTCGCGTTAACAACTTGTGTGACAGAATCACTTGGTATCTTGGTTCATAATCAATTCAAAATGTTAAGCTTCTCTGCAACACTTAGTCTGGAGGTAACGAACACGCCTGGGTCAACAAGATCCTGAGTTCGAATATGCACAGGACTTGTTTTTTTTGTTTCAAACGGTAAATATTATTCGTCTCCTTATGTTTTGTCAGCTCAGTTGACAAATCTTAGATTTTCTGCTGTATGCAGTTTTCATAGTAGTTGCTTTTTATGTTTTCATTTAATTCTGCAATTTGTAATTCTACTGGCCTTGACATCGTATATCTTCCTTTTCTTGTTTTTTCCTCAAATTTTTTTGGGCGTAAATGATTCCAGCTTAGTTTTATCGGCTTACTAACGTAATTTTGGGTCGTTCGAGAGAACCATTATTTGTATGCTTTCCTCCGGATTGCATAAAACGTTAAAAATCTCAGAATAGAATTTATAGTTCAAAGTTTTTCGTGACAACAATTTCACTTTTGCTCGACGCTTGTTTTTGAAATTTCATTAAACGCCGTTGAATGTGTTTCTGCACGTGTGTTTTGCAAATAGAACGTTCCTGATAACATTTTGAAGTTTTTTAATGTTTTTTTTTTTACTCGGTGGCTGTCATTTCCTTTCCAGTCTGCTAGCTTGCAATGCCATTTTTGTGGTATCGCAAGTGATGCGAAGCTCTGCTTCGCCTCTGTGTTTAATATAATTTATTCATTTCCTTGGTAGTAATGACGATTCTAACAATTTTTTTATTGATTTGCCCGTACAAATTAGCATGCTTGTAAGTTTTTCCGCTCTTAAACCCATTCTGCTCTGACGATTCCGCTCATTGACTGACCACTTTACGTAGAATTAGCAGTTTACGAAAGGATGTCGTGTATGGCTGCTAAAGGAAAAAACTTATGGGGGAGGGTCAAAGCTGCTGTTACATGCGATCTTGATACCAATATACCAAGTGATTCTGTCACATAAGTTGTTAACGCGACAAAAAAGTCTATATTCGGTTTCATAACGTTTGCTAATCGTAAGCGTAATTTCATCACATTTTTCTAGAATAAACTTTTAAAAAATGTTAATCAAAATACTCAGTTCATGCTTAATCTATTCCTTTACATCTGTGTATATTGACGATGCGTTTGTTTTACCGATCTGTTTTTCTGCCTTTTGGACTTTTTCTGCTCTTACACTATTCTCCGCCCCCTCTGAACATGAACAAGTACCAAAAAAGCTTACCGAAAACAAAAATTTTACCCTAAATTATTTCACGATTATTTAATGCGCCGTCTGAGCGATTATTTAATGCGACCCCAAAACTTCTCCAAAAAACCTTTGGCGCCAATATATGGAGTATATCAAAGGAATATATAAAAGTGCTGTAAGTTGAAAATGTTTTTGGAAATGGAAACAATTTAGTAGTATATATAAATTTCGAGGGCGGAGCTCTATCCCTTAAAAAATCAATTTCTGGTCACAGTCTTCCAAAAAGTACAAAGAAAGCAATCAGTTTAATGGGCCAAAAAACGGACGACAAAATTGTCCCTGTTTGAAGTCGTTACTTTAACGGATTACCCTTTCGATTTATTTTTACTATTGGAAACGTTTAAGACAACGATCGCTCTCGATTCTCACACCTTCCTAGTGGTTACGCAGCGACCCAAAAGAAGCAAGTCATAGTTCAACATTTCAAATAATCAAAATGTTACATCTAATAGTTTACAGACCTCTCGGTCCAGGAAACAATAAAATATTCAAATAGGATTAGTTTTCAGTTTTTCTAATATTGCTAGGTAAAGAAAAAGTCAGCCTATTTCTTGGTTGGCTTTTTAGCCGCTGTTTTCTTTGCTGGAGATTTCTTTGCTTTGGGTTTGGCGGGGCTTTTTGTCTTCTTAGGAGCTGGTGCCTTCTTTGTTGCGGTTTTTTCAGATGTCGCTGTTTCGGGTGCCACTTTTTTGACTGGAGATTTCTTCTTCGGGCTAGTTTTCTTCACTGGTTTCTTCGGTCCTGGTTCTTTTGCCGGCAGCTTGAAGCTTCCGCTGGCTCCGAGGCTCTTGCTTGAAGCATGGACTAGTTCCTTTTTGCTGACCATCCTTCGGAGGGCGACTTTGACGTGGTTGGCGGCCTTTTCGTCCACTTTGTAGTTGGCGTTGATGTATTTCATGATAGCTGCTTTGGACGATCCTCCTTTCTCGTTCAGCTCTTTCACTGCTTTTTTGATCATTGAGGCGAACGGTGGATGCGATGATGTTTTGGCAGCGACTGCCTTTTTGGGGGTTGCTGTTTTCTTTGGGGTAGCAGCAGGCATTATAGTAATAGTTCTGAGATTATATATCGACAGAAATTTGCTACACAAAAGAAAGAATTCAATGGCACAAACTGATATTGACTGGTAATTCTGTTCAGTATTTATACCATTGAGCTCAACCGGAACGAAAACTACCAAAGCAAGTCAAAAATAACATATCATTTTTACTGAAAAATGCTTAAATATCAAATTTAAAACCTTATTTTAAAAACAACCGCTAGACTAAAACCGAATCTTTTAAGCTAATATTTAGGCTATGAATCTAGCTGTTCATATGGTAAATATCTCGATTATAACAACCCACAAGAAAACCCCCAATTGTGAGAATAACGACCTTATGACATAATCAAAACTTGCGAAACCATCCAAACTTTTTCAAAATATTGTGATCGATAGCACATTAGATTTCAACTCACAAAAAACAAATATTAACAAGATAAAACTGAATAATTTTGGTAATTTTTAAAATTAAAATAACCTTGTGCTTTCGAGACAAAGAAGATTATTTGAAAGCAAAATGATGAAAACGTAAAAAAAGTGAGCTAGACTTAATAAAATAACAACGCAACAATCTATGATTTTGCAAGTCTTTTCCTTATTCGGGACAAATTCATGACAAAAATACCACAATTTGTTAAGTGGATCATCTAAATCGTTTGAAAAAAAATATGACTTGTTTTAGTAGGGCAGAAGGTATTTTTTTAATCGACTATTTCTTAATATTACCAACATCAGTAACGTGCTACCACCAACTTCATTGCTGCTTGCTAAATGTTAACATCATAACCGACAGACAGGTGGAAAAGAGTCATGAACGCAAGGAAACAGGAAAAAAATATATTGTTTTTTTTTTGACAACTTTCGAATTCCAAAGAAAATAATATTTGCGGGCATCAAAGCTCTTTGAATTCCGAGATCAATTTATGACGACACCTTTTTTGATAAAAAAAATTAACCTAATTTGAGAAAAGTGGATCAGCGAGTAGGTAAAATTTTTATTCCGCTGAGAAATCGGAAACCTAAAATTCACTTTCGAAACTGGAAGTCGATAACATTTTTCGTGGTGTTTATATTCTTGCTGTTGTATTCTGGTTTTTGCCTTCAACAAGAGAAATGAAGTGAACTTGAAAAAAAATCAGAAGTCAAACAGTGACAGTTCAAATTTTAGCGTGAACAAACTGAATAACTTTCTCCTAAAAAAAATCAAGAACTATATAAGAGTATTCATTCACTACGTCGTTCATGTCTCTTCAAAAGGGGTGAGGGTCAACCGCTTTGGTTCTTTTTTACAGTATTGGAGAATTTTTTACAGTATCGGAGAACTTCGACAACGAGGTTTAAAAATCCCAATAAACAAAAAGTTATTTGTATGACAACAAAAGGAAAAGGTAATCTCTAGACACATTAGAGACAAAAATTATTGACCTGCTCTACTCTTGCTATTTTCAACTTTAAAAAACTCTAATAAATGATAAGGCGATTAAAAGATAAGGCGCATTTTATATTAAATGGTCTAAGTTAAAACCATATTCAAACAGTTGCAAAAGATTCAATGAACGCAAGGAAACAGCAGAACCACTGACATGTTTTTCGAAAAATCATCTTTCGAAATTCAAAGAAAAAATAATTGCCCTTAAAGCTCGCTGAATTTCAAGAACAAATATAATTGGCATTTTTAGATTAAAAATAAAATATTTTGAGAAAACTGGATCAATCATAGAAACCGTTTTTTATTCCGCTGCGAAATCTGATAACGAAAACCCATGTTCGAAAATCAAATTCGATCTCGTTTCAACCGACAATTCTGCTTTCGCTGTTTTATAGTGGAGTTTGTTTTTTAAATAAAACCCAACGAACTAAATTTAAAACGAAAATCAAAATACAAACTTCAGAAAAATCAAATTTGAGCTAAAATTTTAATTGAATTGCTTTAATTTAATTAACAGTTTAAAAATGCAAAACTACAAACTTTTTTGTGACAAAGTTGATATCAATTGGAAACGAAAAGCAAAATTACCCCAATTTCTTCCAGTTTGCACAGCAGAAAAAAATTAATTCGCAAGAAATCAAAAGAACATAACTTGAAGCTTAAAACTAAGATGCCCTGAAGACTTGGAAAATATTTTGAGAAAGCATTTTGAAAACTATGAAAAACTGTTTTCAAACTTTCTTAACAAAAAGAGGTCATCACAATATAAAATTTTAACATAGCCAAAAAAACAGTTGGAAAATTGTCGATGAAACCAATAAACAGAAAAAACAACTGATTTTTTTTGAAACTTTCAAAGTTCAATGAAAAAAGAACAAACAGATGGCCTCAAAGCTCTTCGAATTTCACGAAAAAATTGTGCTTGATTCGTTTTTAAAAAATTAACCCAATCTGGGAAAACTGGATTTATAGGTTAGTTTTTTAATTTTGCTGGGATATCTGAAATGAACGCCTTTTTCAAAACTAGTAGTCAATCACGTTTTTTGTGGCCTTTACACTTTTGCTATTCGATAGTGGAGTTTGCCTTCTTTTACACAGAGGCGATGCTGCGGTTCACAAACACTAGCGAGACCACTAGCGCAAACACTAGCAAAAAAAAGCAGCCTCATTGAGCGAAAAAAAAAGAAAATATAAAAATAAGCCTCGAATTAGCAAACTTTGCTGCAAATGGGCTTCGAACCTGCAACCTCGAGAATTGGAGTCTCAAGCCCTGCCCTCTCGTCCAAGATGACCTAAAAACCGACAAAAACTAGTCACAAAGAAAGCAGCTACAGTGCAAATGCGATGCAGCAAAAGTGGCAGCAAATACGAATAGGCCACATTATGTTTAAATTATGCATTTCGAAAATTTCGAGATATAGAGTGAGAAAGTTTTTGAAATCGAGGTTTTATTATTGTTATGTTGTTTGGTTCATTTGATGAATTTACACAGAGGCGAAGTTGCACTTCGCATAATACACAAGCAAAAATATGACCGATAACGCTACTGGGAAAAACTTGAAGCTTAAAACTAAGATGCCCTGAAGACTTGGAAAATATTTTGAGAAAGCATTTTGAAAACTATGAAAAACTATTTTCAAACTTTCTTAACAAAAAGAGGTCATCACAATATAAAATTTTAATATAGCCAAAAAAAAAACAGTTGGAAAATTGTCGATGAAACCAATAAACAGAAAAAACAACTGATTTTTTTTGAAACTTTCAAAGTTCAATGAAAAAAGAACAAACAGATGGCCTCAAAGCTCTTCGAATTTCACGATAAAATTGTGCTTGATTCGTTTTTAAAAAATTAACCCAATCTGGGAAAACTGGATTTATAGGTTAGTTTTTTAATTTTGCTGGGATATCTGAAATGAACGCCTTTTTCAAAACTAGTAGTCAATCACGTTTTTTGTGGCCTTTACACTTTTGCTATTCGATAGTGGAGTTTGCCTTCTTTTACACAGAGGCGATGCTGCGGTTCACAAACACTAGCGAGACCACTAGCGCAAACACTAGCAAAAAAAAGCAGCCTCATTGAGCGAAAAAAAAAAGAAAATATAAAAATAAGCCTCGAATTAGCAAACTTTGCTGCAAATGGGCTTCGAACCTGCAACCTCGAGAATTGGAGTCTCAAGCCCTGCCCTCTCGTCCAAGATGACCTAAAAACCGACAAAAACTAGTCACAAAGAAAGCAGCTACATTGCAAATGCGATGCAGCAAAAGTGGCAGCAAATACGAATAGGCCACATTATGTTTAAATTATGCATTTCGAAAATTTCGAGATATAGAGTGAGAAAGTTTTTGAAATCGAGGTTTTATTATTGTTATGTTGTTTGGTTCATTTGATGAATTTACACAGAGGCGAAGTTGCACTTCGCATAATACACAAGCAAAAATATGACCAATAACGCTACTGGGAAAAACTGAATGAGTCAAATTTTGAGTTTACAAAATTTCATAAGTGACGTACGCCAATTATGATTCTATATAATTGGTAAGTGACACAAGCCAATTATGACGCATTAGCAGCACCAGTCAATTTGAAAAAAAAAATTACCGCGCGAACGCATTTTATTTAGTATACGAAAAAGTTCTTTAAAACATCCGACCCTGTCCAGTTTCGAACCCTCTTATTTTGCTGCTGGGTCTCCTTCCCTACCTCTACGGTACAGATCCATGATGCCTTGAAGCTTAAGCTCTATTAGTAAAAGAATCTGTGTTAATATCCTTAGCATTGGCTGTAACCTTAACACTTTCAAAATGAACATATTTTGTTGCAACAAAGGCATCGCAACAATATTTGAGACTTATCTTGGAAAAAAAAGAAAGTTCACACTATAACACAAGCTACGCTGGTGTAAAAACTCATCAATTGAATTAACTTATTACTATTAGAATGTCAAGGTACATGCTAACAAAAAGTCGTAAAGTGCCCCAAAAGTGGCACCAATATTTGCGACTTAGGCTAGAAAAAAGAATGATCCTAGTATAACACTAACGCTCACTGAAGCTCGCTAAGGTAAACAAAGAAATGAACTAGAAAAGAAAACTAAAAACAAAATTGAAAGTAAAACGCGAAAAAAGAGAATTGAGCGTGAACAAAATTTAAGATTTTTTCCTGAAAAAAAGCCTTAAAAATACCAAGAATTATATAAGAGTACTACCTTCGTCAATTAATCTAAACAATATTCACCCAATATGAAAGAAAATTGATCAAAGTAAGTTTTTGATCACGCCGGGGCATCTGAAAACTATCGGAACTAAATTCCACTTTCGGAATTAAAAGCCTTTCGGAACTAAATTCCACTTCCGGAATTAAAATCCAATCACAATTTTCGTGTCCTTAAGTTTTGCTTATCAAAAGTTAAATTTGCTTTCATTTTAACAAAGGAAATGAATTGAAAAAATCGAAAATCAAACCTGAAAGAATCAAAGTTGAGCCTGAACAAATTTTAAGACTTTGCCTGAAAAAAAAACAAGAAAAAACGAAATATATAAAAGTCTCTTAAAAATAGACTCTCACATTCATCGACACTTGAAAAATATTACACTATTTACACTACCGACACTTACACTATTACTATAATTATTATACTTATAATATCCGAAAGCAATAAATATTACGTTATTCAAAGCAAAATTTTAAAAATCCAACAAAAATGGCTTCAGGCTTCAAGTTTTTCAAGGAACGCTCGCTATGTGTCGACTATGGCATCATGTTAACGCTTTGCTTTTTTCTGGCTCTGCTAATTTTAACGTTTTTACATATTTTTTGTTTCTTAAGGCTTTATTGAGATTAGAGCGGTGCGAACACTTTGTACTCCTTCAGGAGAATCCGATTAATCTTGTTAGCCAAATAATTTCAATTCACCAATAAAAAGTTGAAACAAAATCGATTAAATCGCACAATTTAATTACAGCTATAAACAGATACTGGATTTGAACACAAAAACTAAACACAAAAAGTTGCGAGCCAGGTTGAAAAAAAAAGAATACATTTTTGACACAATCGTTGCTTGCAAATAAAAACTACCTCTTCTAACTGATTTTTTGAATATCTGGTTTTTGAATAACTAATGAAAAAAATAAAATAGCTTTTTGTATTGTGTTAAGCTAATGATTCTAGCTACTGTCTTCTTCCCGTACAGGTGCATTTACATTAATTTTTTTAAATTGATTGAGAGTACCAATGAGAAGTAAGCTATTCTTCTAAAATAATTAAACATACGGTGCATCAATGAAAAAGAATATCATGATAAGTTTGAATTACCTAGCGAATACTATTTACAACCCTGGTCCAATAAGTGTATGTACAGTAGAATTTACACAACCAAATCAAATCACTTCCAATAAATCACTTGACAAAAAAATGTGGAAACTAAACGGACATTTTAATAATACACGGATAAAAAAAAGTTTTTTTTTCAGCTAAGTTTTCGTGCATCACAGAAACCAATCAAAATTCTTCGCCGAAACTTCATTGTAACCAGGGGCGGATCTAGGATTTTCTCGAGGGGGGCGGGGGCGGATTTTCGAAAAATATTCCAAAATTTTGACGACCTTTTTTTTTAGGTCGACCAAATTGATTTTTCGAGCTCTCCCAAAGCACTGTTTTGCCCCTATTTTGGAAAAATTTTCTGCGCCGCAGGCAAATTTTTGAAAAAACAGTCAAAAAAAGCCGTTTTTGGGCACTTTTTGAAAAATTTTGACAAAAAAATTGCGTTTTTTTTGGCGCGCGCTCCCCCTCAAAGTTAGTATATATTGGCGCGAAAGGCGCCTTTAGAAAAATTTTAGGGTCGGTCCGCCAAAAATGGATTTCTGAAAAAGTATCAAAGGGACGACCCTTTGGGTCGGCAGGGGCTCGAATCCCTGAGGGGGGGGGGGCGTCCGCCCCCCCCCCCCCCTAAATCCGCCTCTGATTGTAACCACATATGAATCTTAGCTTTAAAACGGATACTTCCCTTGGATTTTTTTTCAGTGCCAGAAAACAAAGCTGCAAATTAATTAACCTATAGCAGAATAATCTGAAGAAACGAGAAATAGAAAAAGCTTTACAATTATAGGAACAATCACGAATTTGATATGAATAAATAATGATAAAATGTTAGGATATTTCTGATTTAAGATACTACTTATTGCATAATTTCTGGAAGATAAAATGCCTGATGATGACGACTGATTGGCTGAATATTTCTAAGAAGACATTTTGAGACTATCGATTTTTCCGAGCTATTCTTTTTGGTAATACTGCTTTTCTATATTAGAATAGAAAGATGAAGCTTTTAGATCTTACTGATTCAAGATGTCTTATTTATTAAAACCAAATGAGGTTAAGTCACATAAATGACACAGGAGCGAAGCAGAGCTTCGCACTACTTGCGATATATCACGAGATTTTATCGTTAGCTAGCAATTAAAAGAGAGACAAGCCACAATGTCGAAAAAATTTATATTTAAAAAACTAACTTTACCAATTTTTTCACATGTTTGTCTCCATTTGTCCGGAGAATCAAAATAATTTTGCAAAAATCAGCATTGAAACAGAATTTACGGATCGGTACTCAAGCCGCAAATATTTGTTGAGTAAAAAAAAGCAAAAAAAAGGCATAAAAATTGAGTAATAAAAGGCAATACTCATAATCGCTTGTTGTCGTGCCAAAAAGCAATAAAAGGCGACCAAGCCTATGTAAAAAAACAAAGTTGAATGAACATTTAAAAAGAAAAAATTTTAAAAAACGGTTGTAAATTTGCAATAAAAAAAACTAATTGACGTTGTATGTATACAAAATTTGTTTTTTTTTGGTTGCAAATTTACAACCGTTTTTTAATTTTTTCTCTTAAAAGGTTCATTCGGCTTTGTTTTTTTTTACATAGACTTGGTCGCCTTCTATTGCTTTTTGGGACAGCAAGCGACAATGAGTATTTAGGGAGATTTAAAAACTTGTTTCCAAAGATTCCAAAATTTTTATGACTCAACGGAGGTCTGCTCAAATATTTGCGGCTTGAGAACCGATTCGTAAATTCTGTTTAATGTGATTTTTGCAAAACTAATTTGATTCTCCGGACAAATGGAGACAAACATGTGAAAAAATTGGTAAAGTTAGTTTTTTAAATATAAACTTTTTCGACATTGAGGCTTTGTCTATCTTTTGTTCCCGATTACAAAACACTTGCTCTCACATTTGTAATGAAGAAACTATGATTCCGAAGATTTGCCAGGATCCCTCTCACCTGACCGAGATCCACTATGACTCATGGGAACTTGAGGATACCTTCTCAATGCTGGCGAATCATCATTACTATGGCCATCCAGATCAACCTCGACATACCCACTTAATCCGGTTGATTCTTTTCGGACGCCAACATTTTCATTTCTGGTGTTTGAAGCTAATTTACTTGAAGTTGATATATTTGAAGTTGATTTCTTTTGCGATTCTATGTACTTGAAGAACGTGTATAGTACACCACCAAGAGTGTTCAAAATAATACCAGCAAAACCAGTCCCGTTAACGTGCACGCCGCCGAAGGTGAAAAAGCCGATGATAGTAGTCAAAACTGATTTCATTGTAGCACCTAGACTAGTCGTCAAGGCTGACGTTACTGCTGTGCATAGAAATTGCGAGTAAACTAACACTGTACCTGATACTGTCACTAAGCTGAAGTGAAATAGGAATCCTTCCAGGAACCAACCATGAAAGTCGCGAAGTTTTGAGAACTCGTCAAAAATGAATATCGCACTGAGGCACAATGGGAAGGCATTGACTGCAGTGATGTAACTGATATCGAGCACTGATAAATTGTCTTCCTTTGAGGACTTTTGCACCATCAGTAGATATATGCTCTGGGCTATTGAGCTCAAAATTCCATAGGCGTAAGCGTCTAACTGGAAAGAAAGATCCCCGTATCCTGCAACACAAAAAGCGGTATTCGAACGATCTAATCAACATTTAAGAGATAACTATAGTTATAGTGATAACTATTTTAGTGATAACTATAGTGATAACTAATGTGTTCTAGTTTGAATGCACCTCAAAAAACTTATTGACGACTTAATACAGCGCTCTCATAACCCGATACCTTAAATAAAAAACCTTGAAGTGATTGGTTCAATCCATTAGACCCAAACAAAGATGAATTTCAATTGTCAAAAAAGTGCATTGAACGTTTTGCTGTTTTTGGGCCGCATAACGGAAGAGAGATCTCTCAAACTATTTTTATTGGTGATTTTTCCTAACTGATCTGGAATTGATCTTTCTTATTCGGTTCAAACTGGAAGATCACTTCCGGATTTTTGTTAAAATTAGCTGGTGAAACATGACCTTTAGTCATTGGTTCGAGCAACTTTGTGCGGGTGATTTACCATATATATTTGATCTGAATTGCTACTGGAACTATCACTCAAATCTCATTAATTCATTCCTTATTAATCAACCGTTTGTCGCTGCAATAACCTTGATAGGTTATGGGCCCAGATGCCCAATGACGAGTGAGAAGTCAGGAGTCAAGATTGACTGTTTGTTCAAACGAATAAGAAAAAAAGCTGAGATTTGCAGTGGAGTTGTGACAGTGAAAAACACAACTTGAAATATACAACTGATCAGTTAGAGAACTCCGAGAATAGGAGCAGGCCAAAACTACTTGGAGGTAGACGATTGACCAGACACAGAAGTGCAAAGATAGAAGAAGGGCAACACAACTAGTAGAGACAGGCAACTTTGACGACAGAAGCAGGGCAACACAACGTCTAGAGATAGACAACTCTGACTATAGAAGCAGCGAAACACAACACAGAAGAAGAGAAGACAGTCAAAAGCTACACGAAGGGGCACTGAATGAGCACAGCAGTGGAAGAAGTATTACACTATTGATAGTGAAAGAAAACTGAATCAAACTGATAATATATATGTTTTATTTGTAAAAGTTGCTGATTTATACCGAATTTTTGCGGAAGGATAAATTCGTTCGTACGCGGTTGCTCGAATCCGACACAAAATCAATCCAAAGAATAGATTGCCATTAAAATATAAAGAAACTGATACCATACCCCAGAATAAAAAGACGAACTTCTATTTTGCTAATATAAATTACCTAGTATGAAATCTGAGGAGGGACCTCAGCTTTGCTAATTTGCTGATGTGTTATTCGGTACGCACTCCGTTAGGTTCAAAATCGAATTTAGGTAATCAAATATACTTGCATAGTTATATAAGCGGGCGATATTGATGTTTATAATATATGATTTTGATGTCAGAGAAAACGGGGTCATTGAACTTTACCTAGGGCAAATTTTAACGTTTTGGATTGAAGCTTAACCTTTGTGAAAAAAGTTAAGTCGAAAATAAAAACTTGGATTAGGAAAGAAATTTCGAATAGGATAGTTTTTTTGGGAAAAGAAGAAGATTTTTCCTACTTTGAAGAGCAATTCGAGGCACGAATTTTTCACTTGAAGTTAAACAAGATTTTAGATGAGACAGTTGATTATAGAAATTTTATGCCAAGTTAAAGACCGAATGCAAGCAGTGATCAAAAACAAGCTGCAATAGATAAAGGAAAGGAGATTTTGAAGAAAACCAGTTGCATATCTGGTACGAACTTAAGCAGGCTCTAGATAAGAAATCAGTTTTGTTTTTAAGAACTTATAAAGGCAATGGTAGCAAAGCTTGCGATGTTTTACGGAAAAGGTTTAAGAGTTTTGAAAAACCCAGGCTGCAGAAACTAATCTGCGAACTTACAACTTCGAAAAACAATAGCAATAAAACAGTGATAGATGATTTGACAAGAGCAGAGGAGACTCAGTATAACTTCGAACAAGTGAACGAAGGAGTGAGTGAAAAAATGTTAATTTCAATTACTTTGAAAGGACTTCCCCAAAAATTTGAAACTTTTTCTAATATAGCTAAATTTAGTAGAGATGAGTAAGGTTTAAATGAGTTGAAAAGAGATTTAGTGAATTTTGATAGCGAGAGACAAGTAATTGAAAAAGAGCATGCTTTTAATAGCGAGAATAGAGTTTGTTTCAAGTGTCATAAAAGAGGACATGTGTCGAAACAGCGCAGAGAAAACTTAGGCAGCAGACAAGATAGTGGATACAGAGCTCGAAAAATTCAGTGCTATGAACGCAAGGAGCTTGGACATATTGCAAAAAAATTGCCAAGCAAAGAAAAAGTTCATTAGTAAGACTAAACGAGAACAGCAGAACCTAGCAGCTGAAACAGAGGCTCATTTTAGTTTCCTGAATGGAGTGTCTCCGGGCGACGACTTAGTTGTAGACTCTGGAGTTACCAGTAATATGATTAGGGATCGAGACATGTTTGTTAGTTTAGATGAGAACTTCAAATGATCGGTTAGCATTGCATATTTCTCTGAATCAAAAATTTTAGGTAATCAAATCAAGAGTGAAAGAACAGAAAGGCGAGTTCAAGATGATTGAGCTGAAGGATACTTTGTACATTCCTGAAAACTCAATGCAAATTTCTCTGAATCAAAAATTTTAGGGAATCAAATCAAGAGTGAAAGATGAGAAAGGCGAGTTTAAGATGATTGAGCTGAAGGATACTTTGTACGTTCCTGAAAACTCAATGCAAATTTCTCTGAATCAAAAATTTTAGGGAATCAAATCAAGAGTGAAAGATTGAGAAAGGCGAGTTTAAGATGATTCAGCTGAAGGATACTTTGTACGTTCCTGAAAACTCAAGAAATTTGCTCAGTGTATCAAAAACGAAGAAAGCAGGAGCAGAATTGTTTTTGGTGCGGGCTCGTTTGTTCGCCAGGGAAATGTTTCAGTTTACCCATTAAGAGAGGAAAGTGGTCTCTTTTTATGGGACACTTTTGTAGGAAAAGACGAGTGTTTTGTAGTTAGCACATTGAAACAGCGGCATTGCAGGATGGGTCATAATAACTACAAAGATTTAAGTCATTTGCAGCAACATGAAGGCATGAATATAAGTAATTTTAAAATTGAGAATTGTGAAACTTGTGAGTTAAAACAAAAAAAAAACCAGTCCCGAAAGATTCTTATACCAGGGCAACCAGGACACTAGATATTGTTCACACAGATATTTTAGGTCCTATCGACCCGATAGCAGAGGATGGACATAGATAAGCTATAGATTTTGTGGACCCTTTTTCTAGATATTTGAAAATTTATTTCATGAAGACGAGAGATGAGGCAACAGAAAAGTTGGAAAGGTTCATAGTAGACATAGGAGTCCCTCAGACTTTAGTTTCAGACGGCGCAGGAGAGTACATTGGTCAGGATTTTAAGCGAGTTTGTAGGAAACAAAAAATAAGACTGGAAACATCGGCTCCTTATACCCCTCAAGAGAACGGAAAGATAGAAAGGGTGTGGGGAACAATTACTCCAATGGCTCGCTGCATGATTTTTGATGCGAATTAATCGAAAACTTATTAGCCTTATGATCTTAATATGGCTACTAGTCTCAAAAATATGTGCTTTCATTCTGCTATAGGCAAAACACCTTACGAGTCTATGTATGGAGAAAAACCCAACCTTAATTTTGTGAAAACTTTTGGGTGTGTAGCGTATAGTTTTGTGGGAAAACAGTTTCGCAAAAAAAACTAGACAAAAACTCTAAAAGGGGAAATTTTCTGGGGACATCGGGAAATAGTAAAGCTTATCTGATAGGAAATGAGAGTGAAGAAAAACTCAAAGTGAAAAAGTCTAAAAACGTTAGTTTTGACGAATCTAAGTTCTACTTTGAGAAAAAGATAGAGAGTGACGAAGAAGAAAGAGGAGGTGATGTTGTATTTTTCGGAGACGTTCTCGAAAATATACCGAAAAGTACTAAGAAAGCTTTAGCAGACCCTGACTGGCAAGAAACAATGAAAAAAGAGTTTGAGTCATTAGAGAAAAACAAAGTTTGGGAACTAGTTAGAAATAGAGGAGACAAGCCTATAGGCAGCAGATGGCATTTTGCTTTGAAGTACAGACCTAATGGTGAAATTTCCATGTTTAAGGCTAGGTTTGTTGCTAAAGGTTTTAGCCAAGTTTAGGGAAGGGATTTTCACGAAACGTATTCGCCTACAACCAAGATGTCGACCATAAGAATAGTCCTGAGCTTAGCAGCTCAAAATAGGTATCAGTTGCGACAGTTAGACATTAAAACTGGATACTTGAATGCCAAACTAGATGAAGATATTCTTATGAAGCAACCTGAATGGTTCGAGAAGTTTGATGAAGAAGGAAAACCTTTAGTTTGTCTTCTAAAGAAAAGTCTTTATGGACTGAAGCAATCCGGTAGAAACTGGCATAGGACTCTAAAAAGCTATCTTGAGGAATTAGGTTTTGAAAATTCAGTTTTTGATGAGAGCTTGTTTGTTAGAAGGATTGTGGGAGAGATAGGTTTAATTTGTTTGTGGGTCGATGATATAGTGGTTTGTGGAGTAGACAAAAATTTCTGTAGCTGGTTTGAAAACAATATCTCTGAAAAATTTGAGATAAGCGAGATCTTAAAAAGTTCTTAGGAATGAAAATTGATTACTCAGGAAACGAAATTAGGATAAGCCAGGAGAAATATGTTGAAAAATTGATATCAAGATTTAAGATGACCGAAGCAAAGCCGATAACGACCCCTCTTGTTGAAAACGAAAAACTGACAAAATAAGATTGTCCTTTAAAAGGTAGCATAGAACAAGAAAATATGAAAAAATGTGACTATCGAGGACTTGTTGGTTGTCTAAATTACCTAGCTTTATCAGGTTGACCCGACATTTGCTTTGCAGCAAATTTTCTAAGTTCTTTTGTGGAAAACCCAAGTGAAAAGCATTGGAAAGCCGAAAAAATTGTCTTAGATATCTGCTAGGAACAAAAAGTTTACCTTTAGTATATAGAGGGGATAAGGCCTTGAATCTTAATAGCTATTCGGATGCGGACTGGTCTGGAAATATAGACAATAGGAGAACTACCTCAGGATATTGTTTTAAACTCAGTGACAACTCAGGTGTAATAAGTTGGTCTAGCAGACTTCAGCGTTGTGTATCAACTTCAACAGCCGAAGCAGAACACAATGCTGTGGTCGAAACAGTAAAAGAAGTAATTCATTTACAGGGCATACTTAGCGACTTAGGCATAATTTGTAATAGATCTTCAGAAGTTTTCGTTGATAACCAAGCTTGTATTGCCCTTAGTAAACACTCAATGAACCACGGAAAGACGAAGCATTTTGCCATAAAACTACACTTCCTTCGAGAGTTAGTTGAACAGAAGAAAGTGACATTAACTTTTTTACAAACAGCAAACATGCCTGCAGACACATTGACGAAAAACTTGGGAAGATGCAAAACTGCATATTTCCGAGACACTCTACTAAAGGCGGGGTATTGGTGATTTTTCCTAACTGAACTGGAATTGATCTTTACTATTCGGTTCAAACTGAAAGATCACTTCCCGATTTTTGTTAAAATTAGCTGGTGAAACATGACCTTTAGTCATTGGTTCGAGCAACTTTGTGCGGGTGATTTACCATATATATTTGATCTGAATTGCTACCGGAACTATCACAAAATGGATAGCCTTCGATTGATCCTCTGCGATTCGTAGAATCAACAATCAATTTTGATATAATTTTTATTTGAAAAATGGGAAGGTTTTAATTTTTTCTTCTTTTTTTGTTTTCCACGCAAAATCAGCTACCACAAATAATCATCGGTGAGATTTGAGTCTCATATCATATTAAAGCCTTTACACTCGTGATTCAAACGACAGTAAGAAATTCAAAAAATTGTTCCCATCGAGAAAAGCCGGTTTAAAATTTTAAAGCTTTTCGTCTTAATTCGAGCAAAAAAAGCAAACGAGCAGGCTTACAAAATACAATAGCTTTTTTAATGGCTGTAAAGTTTTTTTGAGTGTTTAAGCGCTTTTATGAAAACAAAATTTCAAAAATTCGAAAAACGGCAAAAAAAAATGAAAAAAATTTCGAATATTTTTTTTCAGATTTTCAAAAAAAATCTTTCAAAAAAAGATATTTTTTCAAAAAAAACACTAATTTGAAAAAAAAAATTGTTGAAATTTTTTTTTAAGACTATGGTCGGGATATTCTCTGCTGCTTGCACAGTAACCAGTTAGCCTCGTTTTAATGATTATTATCATGATTAACTTTATGATTAATTCTTTTATTATTATGATTATCTTTCTTATGATTATTATTATTATTATTATTATTATTATTATTATGATTATTATTATGATTATTATTAATACTATTATGATCGTTATTATCGTTAATAAATAGGGTGTAGACCCGATAGTCTATAGCCTATCTTAATACATGAGGACCAACACCCCGCTCCTGGCTGATCTGCTCCAAACTATGCTACTATAGTTATTAATATTAAAATGATCATAATTATGATTATGATTATGACTATTATTATGATGATTATCAATAAGATCATGATTAGTATGATTACTATTATGAATACTACGAAGATTATTATCATTATTATGATTAATACTATGATTATTGTTATAATCAGAATTATTAAAACTATGATTATTATTATTATGATTATTACTACGATTATTATTAAGATTATTATGATCATTACATAGAGGCGAAAATATTCAAAAATATGGCAAGCAAAAATATGAACCAGAACGCTACTGGGAAAAACTGAACGAGTAAAACTTTGAGTATATATAATTGTTTAAATGAAGCACGCTAATTATGCGTCAACATAACTGCTAAGTGACGCAAGCTAATTATGACGCATTAGAAGTACCAGTCAATTTGAAAAAATATATTACCAACTAACATGCCTCAATTTATATAGATGACGCATTTTAGCCAGAATACAAAAAAATTCATTAAAACATCCGACGCTGCCCAGGTTCAAACTCTCTTATTTTGTTGCGTGTCTCCTTTCCTACGTCTACGCTAAAGATCCATGATACCTAGAAGCTAAACAGCTATGTGTAATATAATAGTCTGTGTAAATATCCTTAGCATTAGCTGTACTTAATAGCTGGTTATGGATCTTATGCATATATTGCAATTAAAGAACACTTTCAAATAAACACTGCTATTTGCGACTTGGGTTGCAAAAAAAGTTCAAACTAGCACACAAGCTTTGCTTGAGTAATTATGTTTATTATTATGATTATTATTAATATAATTTTTATAATGGTTATGATTATGATTATGATTGTTAATATTATGATGACTATCATGATTATTTTTACTACAAAGAGGCGTAGCTGAGCTTCGCATCACTTACACAATCTTAAAAAAGTCAAAGTCGAAAAAAACATGTTGAAAAAAATGGATGAACAAAGTTTAGTATGTCTCTATGAAGGAAAAAAGCGATTCGGAAAACACTTTTTCTGTAATACCCGCATCTGAAGAAAAAAATGTATCCTTGACAATCTCAGTATATACAACAAGAGTCCTTTTGTGTTAAAACTTTACAAATTTGATGAAACTGTGGCCTAAAAGAAACGACCTTTCAATGAAAATTAATCTAGGTGTTGACTTTATAAAGACAAACGCGAAACGGAGCTTTGCACTACTTGCGACACAACACAATCATAAAAGAAGCATCAGTCGAAAAAAAACATGTTGAAAAAAATGGGTGAACCTAGTTTAGTATGTCTCTATGAAGGAAATATAGGACCCAGCTAAGGCTGGATATACGTGTTTGATATTTATTGAAATTATTATACTGATGCGTGACGAAATTTGCAACTTCAAAAATTGGATTTTGCAAAAAACCCTTAGCTGTTTATCTACTAAAATAGGTAAGACAGAAAAATTGAGAAAATTTTTCCTGAGACATAAAATTTCTCTTCCAAAAAAAAACAGTGGTAGACACTTTTGCAGAAAAAACCCGGGCAGCGGCTTCCTGATTGAAATTTTCATCTCACATTTGATAGGGTAGTTTTTTTAGAAAATTCAAAAAGTTGCTATAAAACGGTCAAAGGTCAAAAGCTTGACCTTCCGATTGTTTAACTTTTTTCTGCTTAAAGTAGGATGTGGTAGCTAAAATAGAAAAGATTCCAAAAATCGAATTCTCGATTAACTTTTTAACCCGAGAATTGGCACGATAATTTTAGAGTAGAGTCAAACAACTTCCAAAAAACTTTGGTTTGACAGAACTTTAGAGTAGAGTCAAACCACTTGTTTGAAGGCCATAATTTTTTTTTCCGACTGGGCATAGCAAATTATAAACCAACTTGCAAAAACCTGTTGTATCGATTATACATTTGACATCAAATTTGGCAGGATAGTTATTGAGAAAACTCCCTAAAACTGTCAACAAATCAGAAAGCTGACTTGTTGCGAGTATTTTCCCGTAAAGTCATAAAATTTAGAAAGAGAACGCTTAAAAAAATCAAAAAATTGACTATTCCGAGAAAAATTACTTTTTTTTTGTTAAAACATTGTGAGCTTCCAACTACTCGTTATCTCCGTTGAACCCAAAATTTCGGGTTTTGGAGGTTAGTTTTCGAGAAAAAATTTAAAAAGCTCAAAAACAGTGAAAAAAAAAATAAAAAATTTGTTCATTACGAGGGCAATAATTTCAGTTGAAACAAAAATTGGACGTAGTCGCTTATGCAGGAGAGCAAGAAGAGACCAGGGCAGTATGCAGGCACACAAGAATGCAGGCGGTCTTTCTATGGATACCATTTTGTAAAAATCGATGGAAGGGTTTTTGAGAAAACACTAAATTTTTGCAAAAAGTGATAAAATTTTCCAAAGCGTCTCAAAAAATAAAACAAAAACCCAATCCCATGCACTTTCATAACACCTGTTTTTATCAAATACGAATTTTAGGCAAACTTGCCAAGCAAAACATTTGAAATTCAAAGAAGCAACTGAACAAAACTCCCGAAGCGGAAACAAGGTCGATAATGATTTTGTATAAAACTTTAAAAAGGTTTAAGTCCCCAATGAAACTACCCTGTAGTAATTAGTACCAACCCAGTAGTTAAACTTGAATTTTAATGAAATTGAAAATGTCAGCTGCATAGCAGCATCAAATGAATCATTGATAGTGATTAAACTAGTAGTTAACCCGAAAAAAGGCTACGTTCCGATTTGATAACGCTTGCTATTCACCAGCGTAATTATACATGAATAAGTTAAACACATGCAAATTTTGAGCCTTGTATTGACCCTCTTGAAAAAGAGAAGGGGGACACTTAAAGGGATGCCGGAAAAAACTTTCAAAACGAACTGTTAACATACCTGCTAGTATGCTCCCTAGTGTAATGAGCAACACAGAAGCGAAGACCTTGGCCGATATGTGGTATTTGTGAAGTAGAAAGTATCCCAGGAACACATTGAAGAGAGGGCAGAGTCTCTTCAGAACATTGTACATGGGGATGTTCAGTCCATTTAGACAGAGGAGCGCAAAGGAGGAACTGGCGATGTAGCAGACACTTGGCAGGAGAAGAGACGAACCTAAAAAAAGATAAAAGCTTAACCAAACTTACCACGTTAAAATTAATTTCTTAGACGTAAACGACAAATCTAAGCACTAAGTCAACGAGAAAAACCACTGAATTCAGATCTACTAAAGAGTATTACCCTTGCGATAAGCAAGGGTATTATAATCGGGTACTCGACTTTTTCCCGTAAACAACTTTGCCCACAGGATCTTCACTTCTAGAGGACATTCACATCTAGAGAATCTTCACTTCTAAGGATCTTTCATCTGATATGCTCAAATTCTTGAAAACTCATAAAAGTACTAACAAGTAATTAGTTTAGGTCCGTTTCAGGTTGTAATTATTTAGAAAAAAATCGGGTTCCTGGTTTCCCTCCTAATTTCTGTCGGTTCAATTTTCTTTTTTATACGCGATTTTTTTAAAATCTGGTAGGGTTCTTTTTGGTTTAATTTTCAAAGCATGAGTTTCGTTCCAAATCAAACAAACTTTACTATAACTAAAATTTCACAAATTTGTAAATTTACCATGTCTGACTGAGTTTTTTTCCATTTATTTTTCGTTTGTTTTTTTGATTTGTCTTTTTTCTTTCACTATTTGTAGCGCTATTTGTTCTTTGCCCAGAGGTGCGAAGCGGAGGTTTGCTGCACTTGCGGTACAACACAAATAAGTTAGCGGACGACACAAAACATGGCAAGACAAAACATGGCAAGTTAGCCGACAAAAAATGAGTCAGAAAAATCCCCAAAAAATGGCAATTTTTTCCCCATAAAATGGTGCAAAAAATGGCGAGAGAAAATGGTTACGTGGTAAAACGTCGATAATTTTTCTAGATAATTCTTTCTAAATCCAAAGCACGTTTGTATATTCTACCTTTGACGCTTGCATATTCTATCCCTAACCTAACTTTTGTTGCGGGGAAACCATGGAATCCAAAGTTTATTGACATGTTCGGAAAAAGGTCCGGCTTAACAAAAACAAATAAACAAACCCAGTTTCATCGAGTAGTTTGACAATGATATCACCTTGCACGTCTTCAACACTTCAAAGCAGAAAACCAATATTAAAAACTGGATCAGCAGAATAAACATGGGACAGTTGAAGTTGTAGTTAGACACCAGATTCTTGTTCATGAAGGCCATAGCACCAGACATGAAGGCATAGAAGCCTGAGTTTAGGCATCGTCATAATTAAATTACAGGAAAAAATAGATACTTTAACATAAACTGACAGAAAAATTATTGCTTTTTTTAAGCATTAATCATTATAATTAAACGTTTCAGTTATGCTTTTATATCTCACAACAATTTGAAATCTTTCAGCTTAACTTATGGCGGTTTGTTGCATGGAATTGCTGGAAGAACCATTGACAGAACTTGCAGCAAATGAGATCTCCATAAAATGTGGATAGTTATTTTAAATTGAAAAACTCAATTGAAAAATTATTTCATTTCCAACAGTCATTTCTAATTTTGACGATGAGTGCCTGTGGCTAGCAGAGATCGCACTACGTCCGAGTGCAATCCCAAGAGGCTCGACAATGCTGGCAACACATGCCACTCGTTCCCACTCGACTCTGTCATGTTATAGCCCCATGCAATAAAACCTGAAAAAGACATCGGATCATGAAAAAAGACATGGAATCTCACAGTCCCCAAATAGACCGAGCTAAGAAAAGACAAAATACGAATTCTGGTTACATGTGTTTAGCGCTGCGTGTAAATTACTCCATTCTGACTGTTAAAGTTACCAAGTTAACCTCCTCTCCCTTAAATTTGAACCAAGTTAACATCTTTCTTCTTAACCGATGGGGGGAATTACAAATATTTTAAATGTCTTAACAATTTAAAAGATTTGAAAACAGAAAACTTCGGTTCCCCGAATCAATAAAACTTTTGAAATCAGAGATATGCTTGCTATTTTTTGCAGCATTACTCCAGTAACCTACTAAGGAAAACTGGCTCTTTCTATAATAGAAACCCCAAGAAATTGAAAAAATTAAATTATGTTATTTGTTGAAATCGCAAAAAAGATAATATAATTATAATTTAATTTCATTTTATTATCTTTTTGGCGATTTCAACAAATAACATAAAGGCGTTACGATAGATTTTCAGAATGCCAAAAACATTGAAATTTAGCCGTAAAACAGGACAAGACCCACAAGGATCCAGACGACGCCGCCTTCCAGTGGTGGATCCGACATCTTGGCTTGTGTGTGTGTGCCCTCCGAGCGGGACAAGCGGGAAACGCACGAGTTATCTGTGCGGCAAAGAACACACAGGGTTTTCGGAACGGAAGGGAACAAACCGGGAACGGCGAGGACCCAAAACCCCCCGGAATACCAACAGAGTGGCGAAGACCCAGCCAGTCAGAGCACCTCTTACAACAACATTGTGGCCAGAACCTCCCCCAGGTTCGAGTGTGTCGGGTTTTTTGTCGCTGACTCGGGACTAGCCCATCTGGGTCAGCTAATAACGAGGGCCGGAGACGTTGAGAAGAATCCGGGACCCACGCTGTGCGGAGAATGCAGGAAGAAAGTAACAAGCAACAGCGTGAAATGCACATGGTGCGAACAATGGATACACCAAGGATGTAGCGGTCTATCCCGGCAAGAGATCCAACAGCTAGCTAAAGCCAACAGATATGCATTTGAGTGCACCAAATGCAGTTCCGCTCTGTCGAACCCTAACAGAGAGTTTCCCGAGGTTGAAACGAGGGGAGAAAAACCCTGCGAAAACCCCGCGCAGGAGCCAAAGGAAGCAAACGGAACAGACACAAGGGTACCAAGGGAACAAGCTCCCTGGCCCCACCTCGACCAGGAGTCAGCAGAGGGTGAACCGAGGGGAACAAATACCTGCGACAACCCCGCGCAGGGCCCAACACTGACAAACGAGCTCCCGCAAAGAGAGGAACCGAAGAGTCCCTGCCTCCATCCCGGACAGGAGCCTGAAGAAGAAGAAACCAGGGGCATAGACAGTTGCGAAAACCCCGCGCAACATCTTCTGCGGCAAAAAGACTCGGACAAAGGGGAGAAAACAAGGAGAGGAAAAATGAGACGCCCCACTGAAGAACACCGGGAAGCTCGCAGACAGAAGAGAAAACAAAGAAGATTACCCACTCCCCCCGAGGGACAGCCGAGTATTACGGTAACTGCATGGAACCTACAAGGGTTATCAGTCCACGAAAGAAACAGAAACCGACTGAAGAGAGTAATTACGTATGCACAAGGCAAAAGATGGGAAATAATCTTAATATCAGAGCTTCGATCAAAATCGAAAGGAGTGATATGGCTAGGTGAAGATAGTGAACAAACAGCTGTTATACACTCCCAACGTAGCGGTATAGTTCTCAGTGGCGAGGCCCTCAAGTCCTGGATCAGCGAAGGCCAAAAGAAAAGTTTCTCGGAGCGCACTACCGCCATAGAGGTACATGGTATGAAAATTATATCAGTTTACCAACCACTTTGGAGTAACGGGGTCGAAGGAATAGAAGAATATAGACACTGCCTAGAAAATGAAGTAGCCCGAACCCCCAAGACCAAGGTATTAATAATTGGAGGGGACCATAATGCTCACATTGGAAGGGAGAGAGCCTGTGAAACAAATGGAAGGTATGGTCTAACCACGCCAACAACCGAAGCAGGAGGAGACCTCCTCGATTGGTGTGTAGCGCACGATCTCCAATGGATAAACTCTTTCTCTAACCTTAGGAAAAGGGGAACTTGGTTTAACCACAGCCACCGCAGATGGTATGAGCTGGACGGATTTATAATGAGGCGAGGAGAAAGGCACAGGCATGCAAAAAGGATACAAATTACCGAGGAGCTAACGCTATCGGACCACAAGCCGGTATCCCTCCACCTAAAAATCCCAAAGAGGTCCAGACCAACAAGAGTAGCACGGAAACCAGCAATAAACTGGGAGAAATTGAGTACTGAGCAGACAGCTCTAAAATTCCAAAAGGAGACCGAGACAAAGGAGGTGGACGAGGATAGCTCATGGAGCGAAATAGCGACAGCGCTAACGCAAGCTGCATTAAAGGTATGTGGAAAGAGAACCAGGCAGATAGCGAATCCGTGGACGATCGGCCACGAAGATGAGCTGTCACAGCTCCATAATTCCATAGCTTCGGCCGTGAGGGATAGAAACGAATCCTTAGAGCAAGACCGTCCACTCCAAGATATACTGCGTAATAGGGACAACCTTAGGAAAGCAAGGGCTAAAATGAAGGGGAAGCTGAAAGAATTAGAACGTGAATGGTGGGATAAAATCCTAGACGAATGCCAACAGGCCAACATCAAAGGAGATATGGGCACCATGTACCGAACACTACGCCAATTAGGCGGCAGAGATAGGAAACCGGATACTGGCACAACACTCACAACTGATGAATTCAAAGCCCACTTCGAAGGAGTATCGAAAAACCGATATGAAATCAGCCCTCAGCTTCTAATGGATACTGTTGCACGTATGGGGGATCACAGAGCGGAAAAGAAGTATATCGAAGAAAATAACCTGCTAAATGAGACCCCATCGGATAAGGAAATACAGGACTGCATCAGTGAAATAAGGGAGTCCGCGCCCGGAAAAGACAATGTCCGCATAAAGTACATCAAATTGGCCAGCCCACATATTAAATCAGCAATAGTGGCCATGGTTAAAAAGATGTTCTTATTCCGCGCCCCGACATGGCACGAAATCCTAAAAAACGGACAAATAGTACCCCTACATAAGAAGGGCGGAAAAAATGATGTAAACAACTATAGAGGAGTCTGCCTATTGGCCATGGGCAGCAGGATCCTGGCAAGAATTCTGTCCAAAAGACTAAGAAAGTGGACAGAACGCCTAAATATTCTAGATGACAATCAAAGCGGCTTCAGGACCGGAAGGTCGACTGCGGATGCAACACAAATCCTGGTCAGAATAACAGAAGACGCAGACGATCTAAAGAAGAGGCGAAAAATCTGGAACCTGCCTCAAATTGAACATACTGACCCTGAAGCAAGGCTTTTGGACCTACGTAAAGCGTATCCCAGAGTGAACAAACCAGCTCTTTGGGAAATCCTGCGAAACTACGGGATGAAAGGACCCTTCCTAGAATCCCTAGCAGATTTACACGAGGCAACCAGTTACCAAGTGAAAGGGAAGGAGGGAGATAGCGAGGAATGGATCCCAGAACGGGGTCTCAGGGAGGGTTGCTCGACATCGCCATGTCTATTCAATATCTATCACCAAGTGGTAATGCGCATAGCGGAGAATGAACGGAAAAAGATATCAGACGCGAAACATGGACAGACGGGCATAAAATGGCGATGGATACCAGGCAGCAATATACCGGATATAAACAAGATCGAAAAGTCAAACAGCGAGACGCAAACTGTTAACATAACCATATCCTTGTTCGCATTGACTATCATCGGCGAGCAAAGAGAGCTGGAAGAGGGCGTTAACATTATCAAAGAAGTCATGGAGAAATTTGAGGAAAAGAACAACACAGACAAAGAAGAAAAGGCTTTATTTGGATCAGAAGAAGCAGAAGAAATACGCATGTTGGGTTGTTGGCTAGGTCCCAAAAAAGACCTAATGAATAGAAAAAAGCGAGCTGGATACCTATGGGCAAAATGCCGCTCGCAACTTCTGAAAAGTAAACTTCCCAGAAAGAAACAAGCACAAGTGGTGCAAGCATGTGTCGAAAGTGGGCTCCTATTCGATTGCGCTACTCGGCCGTGGTATAACCAAGAGATCAATAATATTCAGTCGTGGATAGATAAAAGGTATAGATATCTCTGGAGTAATAAAAAGGGTCCACCGCTGAAACAAATGCATTTTGAGGGGGTTAATATGCAGGACATCCGGAACATGTACGACATAAGATCATTGAGATGGAAGATCGAGAAACGTACATTAGAGCGGATAGGCCACATATTAAGAATGAGCAACGCAAGGACGGTTAAAATGGCGGTGTTAGGGTGGCTGGGCAGCCTCGAGGAAATCCAGAAGCGACCAGGTTACAAACGGAAAACCATTTTCTACTGGAGGAAGTTGCTCAAGGAGGCCGGAATCAACTGGACCGAAGCCCCTAAATTTGCCTTAGACCGAAAAGAATGGAAAAGAAGAATCAAGATACGCATGGACCACTTGGAGAAATGGGAGTACCAACAAGGGAATCGCCATGATGGGGAAGAAAAGTTAGAGAAGAGGAATTTCGATCTCCCCCCGACGAACTTACAGTGTGACATATGTGAAAAGGTTTGCAAATCGGTAGGGGGACTAAAGATTCACATAAAGAGAATGCACACCGAAGCCTCGCACTCTTTCACGTGCAGTCGTTGCCAGAAAACATGGAAGACAGAAGGTCCATACAAAAATCACGTCAAAGTCTGTAACCCTCAAGAAGCTGAAAAACCCAGAAAATACATAGCAAAAAAGAAGGAATGTAGCAAATGCAACAGGACACTGTCGGCGACAAACATGGCCAAACACACAGACAGATGCAGGGGGGAGGGCATGGCTCGAACGAGCCGAACGCCTAGAAGAAGAAGAAGAAGAAGAATCCGACATCTTGGGCCCCACCAAGATGCAAATGGCGTCAAGCCCCCCCTCCCA